AGAGAGGAAATGGTGGAGAGCAGTGGATGAGGGGCCCAAGGGACCCAAGGCCCTTTTTTTCCAAAGGGCATCCACCAAGGGAGCTAGAGGAGTAGTCAGAGCCCGGGATTCTCAGTTCTTGATGTTGGAGAAAGATTTCTGGTGAATTCAAAATCCAGGTGTGAGGAAGGAGATTCTGATACAGGCTACAGGAATGAACCCTGAGGACGTTAGGCTGCGTGAAATCGGCTAGACATGAAGGACAACCCCTGTATGATTCCACCTACATGAGGTACTTAGGAGGCCAAGTTCACAGAGACCCGAAGTAGAAGGGTGGTTGCCAGGGGCTGGGGAAGCGAGTGTCTCCGGGGGACAGGGGTCCGGTTTGGAGGAGTGAAGGTCCTAGGGACGAGGGATGGGGAGGGGGCACAGCAATGTGGATGTGCCTGAGGCCGCTGAGCCGCGTGCCCTTAAAGATGGTTAAGGTGGTGCATTTTATTACGTATGTTTTACAGCATTAAAACCCGCGAGGTGTGACCCCAGGGTGGGTGGCTGAGGAAAAGGACCTCCGCTCTGAGGGGGTGAAGGCCACATCCAGAGGTGGAGGTTCTGAGAGCGAGGGTGGAGCCAGGGTGGAGGGGAGGCTTCAGTCCGGGAGGGAGGGGCACGGTGGGGAGGCTGGGAGGAGACAGCGGGGGGGGGGAGGGTGGCGCTGTCGGCCGGGGCGGGCATCAGGGCAGCAGATCTGACAGGGCGGCTGGGTGGCCGGCGGTCAGGACAGGACATTGAGGCGTGAGGAGGACATTGGGGGTGAGGAGGACTGAGAAACACGGATGGTGAGAGAAGGAACGGTGCCAGGTGAGAGGCGGTGGGAGACAGCGTCTTTGGGGAAAGCCAAGCTGCAGTTCAGGCAAGGAGGCCGAGGGAGCTAAGAGGAGCCTGAGAATAGGGGGACATCCTAGGGCGCATGGGGAGTAAAGGCATGGTGGGGGGTGTCGAGCAAGTGTTTCAACAGGGAGTTTAGGAGACACGCAGGGCGTCGGCCCCACCTCCTGGGGCTGAAGCGTGGAATAGGGGGTTTGCGGCCTGATGAGGTCCTGGAAGCAGGGTATGTGCCCTTCCCTACTCAGCTCAGATACGAACTTGGACACAATACGGTTTCCCAGGGAGCCAAACCAAGAATCTATTTACCAGCCCTGGCTTAGACCAACTTGCTCATTTTATGGACAAGGAAAGTGAGGTTAAGAGAGGACAGATGGTTTTCTCAGGCCAATCTGGGACCGAAAATTCAGATTTCCTGTCTTGCGCGTCACTGTGGAATGTCGGTGAGCCCAAAGGCTCCAGTGAGAAGGGCTGAGCACACCAAGAGCTGCCCGACCGGGCGGGTAGTACAGAAGGTGCGGCAGGGAAACAATGCGTTGGAAGGAGAGCGCATGGGAAAGAGATGGGGAGCTGAAGAACGGGAGGCGAGTGAGAGGCCCGCGCAAACCCAGGCTGGACCAGGGGCTGTGGAACAGGGCAGGCAGGCAACCATTTCCCCTTCTCTGCTCCCCGGGAAGATCAAAGGCTCTGTTCTGTTTCCAGCACCAGGGCTCTCTGAAAGTAAAGCCACCTTGTCCTGTGACTATTTCAGAAAGCCCCAAGACCGACCAGCAACAGCCAGCTCCTTTCCCTCCTGGTAAGAACCCAGAACACCAATTCAAAAGAACTTAATGCACCTCTATGTTCATAGCAATAGCCAAGTATTGGAAACAGCCTAAGTGACCATCGGTAGATAGTAGATCAAAAAGCTGTGGTATATTTACACAGTGGAATATTACACAGCAGAAAAAAGAACTCTTACCTTTTGCAACAGCACAGAAGGAACTGGAGAATATAATGCTAAGTGAAATAAGGCAGTCAGCAGAAGACAAATACCATACGATCTCACTTATAAGAGGACTCTAATAAACAAAATAAACTAACCAGCAAAACAGAACCAGAGATGTGGAAACATCGAACAGACTGACAGCCGCCAGAGCAGAGTGGGGAAGGAGAGAAGGGTAGAAAGAAGGGGAAGGGACTCGTCAAAGAACATGTATGAATGACCCATGGACACGGACAATGGTGTGGGGACTGACTGCGGGAGCAGGGGGTGGGCTGGGCGGAGGAGGGCAAAAGGGGAAAAATTGGGACAACTGTAATAGAATAACAATAACAAAATTAAATAAAAAAAATGACGTGAAATATAAGGAAACCCCTCTGAGGTTATCCTTAGCATGGAAGAGGGTAGTTAGGACACGGATACCTGGGAAACCATATGCATTGCTAAAAAGCACTGTTTTAAGCAATCATGATATGCATATCCTATGCATGGCTGAAAATAAACAGGGCCATATTTGAGATAGATTTTTATTGTCTTTTATGCCTTCCAGCTCTAGGCAGCTTCTGGATTACTTCGATCTGTGAGATGTCCTGGTCACTGGCAAGAAACAATCCTTGGTTTATGTAGTTTCATCCAGGTCCTGCAGAACTGGCCCAAGGACGGAGAGCCACGGGGAGACACCCCAACCCCTGGTCCCAGGGGCGAGCTGCGCCAGGGCCCCCGCCCCACTCTGTCTTCATTCCGTTTGCTTTCCAATTCCATATGAGCGTATCTGAAGAAATCTGGGGGGAAACTGCGGAGTCTCTTCAGGATACAGAGTTGGGGTCCAAGTACCCTGGATTTTTGGGTGCTCATCTGGCAAATACTAAATACACTGTGGAACCCCCATCCAGTGGGGATGCTTTTCTTCGCAGGGGCTTGACGCGTCCTGTCTCATCCCCTGGTCATGTGTTGTGAGTTGAATCACTTTTCTCCCCACACCCTAACTCACAAGGTAAAAGCCCCAGCCCTTAGTAGCTCCGGATACAACTATATTTGGAAACAGTGTCTTTAAGGAGGTTATTAAGGGAAAATGAGGTCATTAGGGTGGTTCCTCATCCGATATGACTGATGTTCTTATAAGAAGTGGAGAATAGGACAAAGGCAAATACAGAGAGAAGGCCATGTGAGGACCCAGGGAGAAAAGGCCGCCTGCCAGCCAAGGGGAGCGGCCTCAGAGGAGGCTGACCCTGCCCACACCTTGATCTTGGACTTCTCCCCTCGATAATTGTGAGAAAATAAATTCATGTTTAAACCGTGAGAAGTTGACCTAAGTTGAAGCTATTTAAAAACAGAACTAGGGAAGCCTTGCATGACTTACCCCTCCAACCTTTGGAATGTTTGACCAGGGAAAAAATAGCTTTTGTACTGGGCCAAACCAACACTGTATTTCAAACAATTGTTTGCAGGCTGGTGGGAAAGCAGGGCCCCTGACTGAAAACCAAAGACATCCCTTAGAATTAGCACCGCCACGTGCAGCTGAAGGATAACTGGGCTTATTTGCACCTTTGGAAATTCCTTCCTTCATTCATGTAATCCTTCCCCTTCTTTTTTCTCATAAAAACCCCTTGCCTTCACCCCTTAATCAAAAAACTATTTGGACTTGAAGGGGTTCAGAACAGGCCTCCCCAAGATGTGCCACTTTTGCATGTGAATTACTTTGAGCTAAAGGCAATCGAGACCCTGTCTTCTCAAGAGAAACTCTCACCTCTCCCTTAAAGAATTTAAACTTGTGTCCTTGCCCATAATAAACGTTATCACCAGGTATGAAGTTTTATGATGTATTTATAGGGCTGAGCAAACATCTGATTACTGAACATATGCTCTTATTGTTCCCCTGTGAGTGACACCCCGCCCCAGCCCCCCGGGTTCCAAGGTGCCCTACTTATCCTCAGTAAGAAGTACCATGTGGCTAATTTCCCTTTTCTGTCTCTGAACCTTTCATGTACGTGAGGTCTCAGACTCTCCCATGTATGCAGGGTTCCCATATATATGTATGTAATTAACTTTGTTTATTTTCCCTTGTTTATCTCATGTCTATTTGAATACTAGACCAGCTGGAAGAACCTAGAATGGTAGAGAAAATTTCCTTCCTCCTCCACAGGTTTCTGCTTGAATCAGTGTTTCCACTGTTCTTTTTTTTTTTTTTAATTTTTTTAAAGATTTTATTTATTTTAGACAGAAGGGAAGGGAGAGAGAAAGAGAAAGAGAAAAGCATCGGTGTGTGGTTGCCTCTCGCACACCCCGGGCTGGGGGCCTGGCCCGCAACTCAGGCACGTGCGCTGAACGGGAACTGAACCGGAGACACGTGGGTTCGCGGGCCGGAGCTCAGTCCACTGAGCCACACCGGCCAGGGCTATTCTTTTTGATCTCACAGAAACACTTGTTGCCTCTCAGTTTGGCCCTTTATTTTTTAGGTTAACAAAATCAACCAGTCAGTGTATTTTGTTCCAGCAGCTCAAGCAAAGTAAAAAACCATGTCTAGGAACTCCTTATTAAACGGGCAAAAGGGCAGCTTCCTGGCATAACCCCCCCCCCCTTTAGGAACCGGGGGTGGACGTGCAGCTGCGAGGGTTGTCTGAGTGGAGCTCCCTGGGGAAGGAGGCAGGTTCTTCGCTCGCCCTCCTGACCCACACCAAACGCCCACCTGAAGCCTGTCTCCTGGGATGTGCGAGAAGGTGCCATGGAAAAAGTCAGGTTCAGAAACATGTGTCTTGGTCCTGGCTATCTCGTGTCTAGTTCTAGGAGAAGGGAATGATTGCATGGCTGCCCTGTGACTGAAATCCTTACACTTGTATCTAAAAAAAAAAAAAAATGAAAACAAATTTCGGCTGTCCTCCCATGTAAGGCAATACAGGCCTTGGACAGCAGAGCTCAGGGATCCCTAGGCCTCCCCAGAGCGGCAGCCACAGGGCACGAATGACTCACACAAGAATGGAGTTTTGGACCCGACCCGAGGAGAGGCCCGAGCCTGTGGGGACTCATCCTGCGCGGCGTCCTGAGCGTGAGTAACCGCGCCGGCTGCCGGCACCGCCGCGGGCGGCTGTCCGGGCACCGCGCCTCCTCTGGGAGGCAGCAAACGGTGAAGTCCCGCGGCAGCCGCAGTCTGGGCGTGGCTCCCGGGCCGACGGGGGCCGGTCCTGCCGGGCTCGGAGCGAGGGCGGCCGAGGCGGCAGGGCCTTCCAGATGGCCGAGCTCGGCGTGATGGCTCCAGGGCCGCTGCCCGGGGTCCCCGCTCCCTCCGCGGTCGCTCTCAGCCCAGACTCTGGGTCAGCCAGCCCAGCAGAGGATGAGGACGGGGGCTCCCTGGAGAGCCCCCGGGGGGAGGCCGAGGGGCAGGGCGCCGGCTCCGGCGGCGACGGGGAGGAGGAGATCCTCTGTGACTTCTGCCTGGGGGCCGGCAGGGTGAGGGCGGTGAAGTCCTGCCTGACCTGCATGGTGAATTACTGCGAGGAGCACCTGCGGCCGCACCAGGAGAACACCAAGCTGCACAGCCACCAGCTGACGGAGCCGGTGAAGGACCGGGACCTGCGCACCTGCCCGGCCCACCGCAGCCCGCTGGTCGCCTTCTGCTGCCCCGACCGCCAGTGCGTCTGCCAGGAGTGCGGCCAGGGCGAGCACAAGGGCCACGCCTCGGTCTCCCTGGATGCTGCCCGGAGGGACAAGGAGGCGAGTGCTGGGGCCCCTGCGGGACAGGGAGGCGGGGAGGCGTGTGCGGGGCAGAGGCCGAGCCACCGCCTGCTCGTCTGTGCTCCTGGTTCACCTGAGGGGAACTTTACCCTAGGACTCGGCCCTTCGTCCAGCGTAAATATCCATTTCCTTGGGCTTGGAAGCCCGAAGTGGGTCACTGTCCCCATCTCGGCCCGACTCCCTGCGCTCTCTCTAGCTGTGTCTGTCCCTCCTCCTGGGGTAGTGTCCTGCTCGTATGCCCGTGCAGCGTTCGGTGACAGTGACGGCGGCGAGGCTGGGCCTGGGGCAGGGCAGGGGTGCGGCGCAGGGAAGCGATGCTTCCCTCCGCCTGGATCTGCCTGGCAGCTAATGAAGGGGAAACCTTGGCAGAAATTCAAGAGAAAAGAGTCACACCTTGCCCCTCATTTCTCTTCTTCCCTCTACCCCAAACAAGAGACTGGTAGGAAGTGGCCCCCTAGAGGTACCCGGGGTGAAATCCAAGAGCTTGAAAAGTACTAAGATTACATAGAGTTGGAAACCTACCTCCATGTACAATGTCAAGGACGGCTTGACTTGGGGAAAATAAAAGTTCTCTATCAGGTAGCGGTATCAGGAAGAGACTGGGGGAAAGAAAAAGAAAGAAACCACTATGCACATAGCCTGTGACATTATTCCATGAGATCAGGACATTGTGTCTAGAAAAACTAGCCCTCCAGCTGAGAACCCAAAGTTCCTGGGAATGGATTTAGCAGCTTTATATGCTTTATTTCTCATACTTGAACTTTCCTCGAGCACTTGTTTGTCGTCAGTGAGGAGGTGCAGGCGACTTCTGTCCCACATTCCTTAGGGTTACGCTCCTGGCAGGTCTCTGTTTGTGTTGCGCATGGGGCAGGCCCACCCTTGGCCCAGGCTTCCTGGGCAGCAAAGGAAGAGGCTCCTAGGAAGGGCACTTGGCTTGCCGGGGCCCTCCCCCCTGCTTGTCCTTGTGCACAGATGTTACCCCATGCTCGTGGGAATTAATTTGGAAAGCTGTGTAGTCCGGATGTCAGTGCGTCATTGTTTCCAACTCTGGAAGCCACTCGCTAACTGTTTTCAGGGTTTCCAGTGTCAGGGAATATCCCTCATTTCCTGGCTTTTGTAACTGTGAGGAGGCTCTGAGTAGCAGCTAGGCAGATCGAAGGGAAAAGCTCTGCATGAAGGAGAAGATTAGTCTTCCTTGAGCATTGCCATGTGCTAAACGCTTCCTGTGGGTTTTCTCATCCAGTCCCCAGGCCCCCCTGTGAGGTGGTGATCTTTTATCTCCATCGCATTTGCCCAAACTGAAACACAGGGGTCATGGAGAGAGGACCGAAGGCTTCGGGGAAGCCATCTGATGGAGGAACACAAGGGAAGGTCCCCAAGATCACAATGTTGGAACTTCACCTTTCTTTTTGCACTACAAACCTACCAAACGTATAGTAGAAATATTAAGGCAAAATGTATTGCTTTTCCCTTTGGGTATAATATCTGAATTTTATTATACTTAACTGGACAAGTGATGCATCTCCATGTTGGAAAACAATTTCCACCAAATATTGCAATAGATTATACCAGACAAAGGTCTCCCTCCCATCCTGGATCCCCCATCCCCCTCCGGGGAGGCGATCGCCGCTGTCTACACTTTCTCCTGTTTTCTCTAAGAAATGTTCTGTGCCTGTGGCAGCATGGACACAGTACGAATTTTAAACGTAGCGTAAACTGACGCATTACAGAGATTTAGGGTAATTGTGATTCCGAGCAGGAAGACCCGTGCACAGCGTGTATGGAGAGAACTGATAAGGTAAAATCAGAACACCTGGGTAAGTGTTCCAGGGACGTTTTTAGGGCTGAAAAGCAGTCATGGTTATAAATACAGGGCGGTAGCACCAGACCCCAGGTTTTTGGGGGTGGCCCCAAGCCACTCCCTCTGCTTTCTGATCTGCCTGAGTTCTTGCCCTTTCCACCCCGCGGCCTTGTTTTCAGCTCAGATATTAAGTGTCCTACGTAAGCGGCAGCCGCACTCTAGGTGGCTCTGCCAAACTTGAGGAGCCGGAAGGTTTCCTGCGAGGAGCCCAAGAAGACTAGCGCAGACGACGCAGGACCTGGACAAGGCTGCAGCTGCCACCAGGATCATTTTGAAAGTCTTGTTAGACATAATCAAGGCTCTAGAAGTCCAGTGTTCCCGTCTGCCGGCCCAGGCCTGCTGGCACCACTTGCCGAAGGTCACTTTGGATCGTGTTAAGGGCTAATGACTCAGGCAGGCATTTTGTGCGTAGAAAAGTGCAAATGGCAGGGTCAGCCATGAGGACACAAAGTGGCCAATATCCTGCAACAGGACCGCAGAGCAACTTATTTCCCAGTTAGCCAAGCGAGTCTTTTCTGAAACTCCCATGGTATCTAGCTATGTCAGGGGCAAGAACTCTGAGTTTTGGGCATTCTGGGTGTTCTTTGATTATTTTTTCTATTCCTTTCGACTCTTCCCAATGGGGACCTCAGCGTGTCTCTTTGCTCCACGCCAGCTTCCGAGACCCCTTCGCTTCTAAGGGCAGCTGGCCTTGACTCCTCTCGCCTCCTCTGAATCTTAGACCGGCTGCTCTATGGACATGTGCCCATGTGCATGTATGCGTTGTAAAACGGGCGCTCCTTCTGACTGCTTTCCTGTTTGTTCTGACCCATGAAATATACACGACTCTTTCTTGTTTTTCCTCACGTTTATCGAACATTAGGAAGTGCTTCCTGTGGGCTAAATGTGAGGCTACGTGGTCTGTTCTCAGGGAACTCCAATCAGGAAGCCAAGACACATTCCACAGCTCCCGGAACGGCAAAGGGCCGGGACAACACGCTGCCAGGGGTCCAAGGCGGGTGCGGCCGTGGGGAGGGGTGAGGTCAGGGCTGGGTTCGCGGAGGCAGGAGACTCGTTCGGGCCCTGTCTCAGATCTTGAAGCCCATTAGTGACAGGCCATGGCATTCAATGTCAGCACTGGTTCCAGAAATTTCAGAACTGAATGCTGCCCACAGAGTCTCCATGTAGAACAGGAGCCAAGTTTCTGGGAACCACAGGTATTTGTACATCTCCGGGGAGCAGTCAGCCAGCACTGGCCGCAGCCTGTCTGCTGGGGTCCGGAAGGTGGGTGATGCAAGGCCACTCAGGAAAAGAATTTCTTCTAGGAATTTTGAGGACGGCCTTGGACTCAGTGTTATGTAACTTGTTTTTTGTTAAACATGTCTTTTGAGATCAGAGAGGAAGTCTTATTTAACTGGACTGGCGTGTAGTAGGTTCTGACAAATTGAGAAAAGAAGTCAGATGTAAACAAAAGGCAAACATATGAAAGACCAACATCTTGTGGTTGGAAATACAAAGGAATTCATGCCATCTGGACTTTTCTTCTCTTTTCTCATGCCCTCTGCTCCTCCATGTCCATCTCCAACCTGGGTCCTGGCCACCGCGCTCTGGGCTGCCGCCTCTGCCCTGTAGACAGAAGAAAGAGCGATTCTGTTGCCAGTCCCGGTGGTCCTGCCCAGAGGAGGCGCCCACGGTTGGATAAAGATTGTGTGGCAGGCAATGGCAGAGACCTTCAGACCTCCAATCGGGAGGCGTTTGCACGTTCGGCATCCCCCGCTCCCGTCGGCAGGGCTCTTGTGCCCTTCAATGGGGGCTGCCCAGGCTCTTGGGCATCACTCTGCCGCTTGCCCCCGCGCCTGCGGTGTGCGGGCTGGCATCCTGGGAAACCCGGCAGCCAGAGCCGGAGCCGCCCTGTCATTTTCCGGGAGGAGGAATAACTGGAGAGACTGGTTTCCCACAGCGGCCCCACTGTCTGTGGTATGCGGGAGCGATTTCCTCTGGGGCGACTCCCTGTGGGATGACTCCCTCAGAGAGGCCTCCACTAGGTGCTTGGGAGCCGCCTTCTCCTTATATGGTGGTTTGCAGGCCGTGCAGAGAAGTCCCCCGCTGGAGGCTCTGTGGGTGTCCCCTGTGGCTCAGGATTAAGTGGGGGGCCGACTGAGTCAGCACATTGTCGCATCTATGCCCACGGCTGGGGTGCGCTCCTAGGGCCCCTTCCACCTTTAAACAGGCAGCTCATGTTTCCTTCCGCCTCCTCTGGAGCAGGTCACTGTGTAAGGCTTTGAGGTCAGGAGTCTGCAGTTGCCCTCAAATGGGCCAGACACCCCTCTCCTCCTGCCCCCCCCCCCGCCAACTCTGGGCACCAGGTCTCAGGTGTCAGGACTGGGAGGCCACTGGGGTTCCCTCAGCTCCAGTCCGTGCCCCAGAGCCTGCGCCAACGTTTACCTGCCATCTGCAGAGGGCCCTTGTGAGGCGAGTCCCCTGCCTGCCAAGGCTGCCCTCCCCCGGAGGCCTGGAAGGAGGGACACTTGTTTATAGCCTCTGAGTTCTATTAGGGAACAGTGACTCACAGCTACAAACACAGAACACAGACATAACCCATCAAAAGCCATTAGAGCTATTGTTTTTCTTTTTTGCTGTCTCATGCCCTTGTGGAAGGAGGAAAGTGACAGGGCCTCTGAGGTGTTCAAAGGCTTAAGTTTCCTGTCTTGGGACACCTTCTGGCCGAAGGTGCTTAGGGAGCCCCAGGGGGCGAGAGTGAAGGGGGCACCTCCGGGGGCTCGCTTCGCTGCCTCCCGGGGTGGACGGGAATGCACGGTGCGAAGCAGCCGTGCGGGAACAGGAGGAAGGACAGGGATGCAGTGACGGTGACGATGGCATCGCTGACATCGAGGCAGCACTCCAGTGCACCAGCGAAGTTCCTATTAACACGGTTACCCCTCAATCGGGCATTTAGTTCCCCCTGTTGCACAGGTGAAGGAAGGGAAGTCTGGGTGGAGAAAGTAAGTAGGTTTCTCCGAAGTCTCAGCAGCTAAGTAGAAAACCTGAGATCCCCCCTCGGCTCCAAGCCCACGCTCCTTGTCAGGATGATTCTGGGTCCGACGGCCTGGGCTCAACTCCCCTGCTGAATGTGTGTGACCTTGGACAGGTGCCTTGATTGTGTCACCTGCAGAACAGAGGTAATGACATCCACCTAACATGGGTGTGGTGAGGATGACGGGAGGTAGTCCACAGGAATGCTGAAAATGACGACAATCACAGCACAATATATGCGTGCCCCATATTTTAGCCAATTCATGCTGAGTTCAGCCCCAGGAGGTGCTGGCCCACAGGTGACCCTTTGCACCTCCCTTTAGGGTGCCCTTGGCTGCTTCTGAGAGCAGCTTCCCAGGTCAAGCTCCCCGCCCATGGAAGTAAGCGGAGCGTGCTGCTGCTCCTGCGGGCACGGGACTCCTTCCTGTCCAACGCTGTCCTTTCCTTCCCTTAGGCTGAGCTTCGCGGCACCCAGCTGGACCTGGAGCGGAAACTCAAGTTGAATGAAAACGCCATTGCCCGGCTCCAAGCCAACCACAAATCCGTTTTGGTAAGGCTGCTCTGTGTCACCTATCAGGTTTCAGTGCACCTGGGGCTGCCGTGGGCTTGGCGAGGCCCACCAGGGCTGTAGGACATGGGGCTGCAGGCCCAGCCTCCGTGCCCTTGGGCTACTTGGGGTGTCTCAGCAAACAAGAATTATAGGCACAGATACAGTCGGCTATACCACTGAGCGGCCTAACCTTGCTGGCAGGATTTGCTATGAAATTAATTTAGGGTTCAAAACTGGCAAATGGGTTACTGTTTCATAATAGAGAGTAGAAACAAGACTAGTCCTGCAATAACAGCATTCTTATTTTTACAGTTGTGTATGCTTTCTTAGCCAGGAGAAGGGCTGTGGGGGTTAAGACAGAGCTCCAGGAATTATACGTAATCTTGGGTTCTCCATCTGCATGCAGGTGCCACCAGTGGTATGTCCTGGCAGCCAGGAGGGGGAGTTGAGGACGGCTGGGTCAGTGGATGATAATGCTAAGGTCAGAGGTGTGCCAGGCCACTTAGTTTTTGTCTCTCCGATTTTATGATCATTTTCTATATCAACTCTAAGTAGACCCCAACAGTCCCACAAATGCTCCTCATTAGCGGCAAACCAATAACCAGCACTCAGCAGAGAATGCCATACACCTCCCCGTGGCAGTGAATCAGCGGCATCATTCTTCGCATATCAGGAATGATTCTATCCCATCCATCTGTCCATCCATCCACCCATCCACCCATCCACCCACTTACCTGAATGTAACCCATGTATTCATTTCAACTTAAAAATGTCCTCTTCCTTAGTGTTTACAACTAACTAGCTACTGAAGGATAAACATATCTTTCTTACTCACATAATGAAAATAAGAAAAACAATTCCCATTTAAAGCCTTATAAACCTTCAGAGATTGTTGATTTCCAGGCTCAGCGTAACGTGGAAACCATGCAGAGCACCTTGCCCTTCCCAGCTCTTTCAGTCGCAGACACTTGGCTCCTTCTGCAGCTCTTTCCATGATTGCATGGGGACTGCGGGAGGGGGTCATCACACTGCCACCGCGTACAGGGACAAGAAGACGGAGAGCGGTGAGGGGAGTTGTCTGGGAGCCTGGGGTTGCTGTGCCCTCGGCCTGAGAACAACTCAGCGCGTTGGCAGACATGTGCACCATCCTCTTTCAACCATTATGTGTGGTGCTGGGATATGGTTGGGGCCGCACCTTCCCATAGAATCTATTTGTTATCATGTGGGCAGCAAATGATACCCTTCCTACATTCCATTTACATGCAAGGAAGGAAGAAGTATTTCTCCCTGGGAAGGCTGGGGAATGAGAGGCCCCAGGTAGCTGCCGAAGAGTGAATTTACCAGCATCGCCTGAGGCTGCCTGTCTACCCCGTTTCCTCAGAAGGGCCTCAGTCAGGGAGGGGGATGGGGACCCTGAAGTTCATCGGTAGCCTCTGAGCTTCATGGTGTCATGCTTCTCTGAGGAACCTACATGTCATCATTTCAGGGCGTAAACGAATTCCGCTCCTTTCCCACAACACCCAGGGCCAACCCCACATTGTCTTACAACCCACATTGTCTTACAAAGTGTCAGCAAAGCTTCCAGGACAGCAGACCTCCTACCCCCGGGACTGACGGTTATGGACTCTCTTTCTGAAGACTGAATCAGAAACCAGCCACAAGTAGTTAAAGACTCACTCAGCTTGTTAGTACCAATAGAAATTTCTTCTTCTGTTATTCATGTAATAATTCCTTTCCTTTCCTCATATAAAAAGCTTGCCCTCACCCTGTACTTGGGACACTATTTGGGTTTCTGCCCAAATCTGTGCTCTCTGAGCTGCAATTCTTTTATATTATAAATAAATGTTTGTTAAAGATAGGGAATATATTAAATGAAGTCACTTTCAACAAGCTGCTAAAATTATTAACATTTTGAAGGCTGAGGTGTGAGGGAAGACTCTATTCTTGTCCAAAGTATCCTGGGAACTTAAACTTTTTGAACTTTGTCCTGTGTCGATGCCTGGGTACACATGTGGACGCACACCAGACCTGCCGATAACCCTCTGATCACCCCCGAAAACTCAGACATCCAGGCCACCTGGCATGCACGTGACATCCGTTCCCCAGACCACCGGCTGCGCCCAGACCTCCCGGCACCCGTCCTCTAGACCCCCAGGCATTCACCATCCAGACCAACTAATTTCTGACAGATAACCTTTCTGAACTAAGAGCGCCCCACCCTGCAGCCAGCCTCCTATTCTAGAACTCAGAGTCCAAAAATGCATTATTTTTATTATATTTCAAGAACTCTTAACTATAGTAAAAAAGAACTTTTTATGATAAGAACCATCAGCACCGGTACTTAAGAACTACCAAAGAGAAGAGGAAATCACTTAAAACTTGGGTTGATACTGTAAATATGATCCTGGCTGAAGGCGTTTATAACGGACATTCACCCTGTGAAAGGACAGAGTCCCACGTGCACAAGTGCCACCGTGCGAATGCTTAATGTTTAGCACATTGAGCCGTTCCATGTCGTATATGACTGGAGCGCCCCATTCTGCCCGGGTGTGCGCATCTTGCAGTGTGTGGGTGCCGTGGCCAACACACCCCCTAAATCTTTCGTGCCTGGTAGGACTCCAGACACTTGCCGGTGCTTTCGGCTCCGAGGGCCTCAGCAGACAGTTCAACCGGACAAAATGAAATGCTAAGGAAGCTCCTTTATGTGATGCATTGGTATAAGGAAGCCAAGTTATTAATTTACCACAAAAAAGATAAGTATCAAGCACACTGAATGCTTGATTGGCCCTGGCAGAAAAGCTGATAGGAGAACTGTGACTAGCAGCCCAGCTCTCAGAGCTGGGAGGGGCCTCAGACGCACACGATCCACGCTCTCATCTAGGGGATGGGGGACTAAGTACCAGGTGGGTAAATAAGGACTCACATGCTAGGGAGTCCATCTTTCTTTCCAGGAACCCAGGATTCAGATGAGAATAAAACCTTCCTTTTACAGTAGAAAACTGCTCCTTAATTTACAGGTTTACATCAGTTTGTATTTCTGTGTGCTGAGTTTTGATAAAGTTGGACGCCTTGCTAACAGGTTCTTTGCTGTGCCCTCACCCCCGTCCCTGGCCCGCCAGGTGTCTGTGTCAGAGGTGAAGATGGTGGCGGAGGAGCAGTTTGGGGAACTCCTTGCTGCCGTGAGGAAGGCCCAGGCTGACGTGATGCTCTTCCTGGAGGAGAAGGAGCAGGCCGCTCTGAGCCAGGCCAATGGCATCAAGGCGCACCTGGAGCACAGGAGCGCGGAGATGGAGAAGAGCCAGCAGGAGCTGGGGAGGATCGCTGCCATCAGCAACACTGTCCTGTTCCTGGAGGTACCGTCGGGGCGGGGCGGGGCGGGGCGGGGGTGCCCGCGAAGCTAAGGCCAGGGAACTGGTGGGCAGGTGTGGGAGTGGAACTGCTTTTTGATGAATGGGGTGCACAGGGAGATGCGGGGACGCGGGAGCAGGTGCTGATTCCGCCGAGGGCAGCCATGCCCGAAGGGGAGGGAAGGCTCCCCTGAGCCAGCGGCAAGCTGGAACCAGGGCAGGGCAGGGCAGGGCAGATGAGTAATGCTCAAATAGGAGTGTGTTCTGGGAAAGGTTTGAGAGAGTGCAACGGATTGGAGGGACTGACTGGGTGCTTCCCCAGGTGGCGCGCTATGGGGCTGGCCAGGCCAGCCAGCTGTCTGGCTGTGGGGGAAGTTCGCTCTTCACCAGGAAGCCACAGAAGCCAGGGGAGGACTTCCGCTGGGGGAGGGGTGAGCTCAGATCGGTGTGCTTTTGGAACCACTCTGGCAGTGGGCAGGAGGCTGGCCAGCAGGGTGGGGTTGGAGGCCTGTCCCATGCGTGGGGCTGAAAGAGGAAGGCCCGGCAGAGCAGATGGGACTTCTCACTGCAAGGTACCACGAAGCACCAAGGCACATGCTATTAGGGCTGGACTGGAGCACGTGTACCCTTGCAGGGAAGGACCCTGGCTTGGGCACACATGCTGCCGTCTTGGATCTGTCCCTAAATAGCTATGTAGTTTTTAGCAAGTCTTGAAACTTCTCTGGGTCCTAAATGCCTCATTTATCAAATAGGTCAGAGTAAGTAATCTGTTCCTACAGATCTAATATTCCTAATTTTAGTTTTTTTAAGATTTTGTTTATTTATTTTTAGAGAGGGGAAGAGAGGAAGGAAGAGAGGGAGAGAGACATCAATGTGTGGTTGCATTTCATATGCCCCCTGCTGGCCTGCAACCCAGGCACGTGCCCTACACTAGGAATCGAACCAGCGACACCTTGGTTTGCAGGCCGGCGCTCAACCCATGGAGCCACACCAGCTAGGGCTCTTGATTGCATTTTTGAAAAAAAAAATTCCTTCTAGTTACAACAGACATAAATGTATATTGTGGGAAAAAACAGAAGAATATGAAGGAAAATAATCACCCATCCTCCAACCCCTGAGACAATGATAGTTGTAATGAGTGAGAGAAAGAGAAGCAAAGACAAAAATACCGATGGGATGTCTTTCTGCCAGTTCCTTGCTTTTCAATATCAAAATGTGAAGAAAATATGAATAAAAATTGTCTTTCCTTGTCATGAGTTCCCCTGGAGAATATAAATAATTTTTCTTTATTTTCATTTTCCTTGTATAACTTTAACATAAAAGCTTTAATATGCACCAAATCTATTTTAGTGTAAGTTAACATTTATTTTGGTTAAAGATAACGTCTTCTCCCCCTAATAGCCAGTTGAAATGACAACATATATTGGGTAACCTATCCCTTCCCCCGCTGATTTAAAATGCTACTTTTATCACATGTAGTATAAAATCTATATGGGGTTTTAAAATGTTTATCTGTCTCTCTCTCTATTGACAATCTATTTTGGACTTTTTCTTCCCCTCCGCTCATCTCTCTCACCTCACCATCTTGGTACAACTGCTTCTATCACTGAGTTTCACGCTGTATCCAGTCTGCTTTTCAGTGCTTCAGTTGCATTTGAATTTTGATAATAATGAGTTACGTCTGAAAGCAACCCTTCCTGGTCATCACATTGTTTTGAAGCATAACTGGCTCACTGTGATTATCTATGTAGAAACACACTTCAAACTCTAAATCATAGTATGAGAATCAGAATCATGTATTAGACTGAACTGACAAGGAAAAGGCAGCAAGCGTTCCTGTCTGAGGACTTGTGTTTAAATTATTTAAAAAAAAAATCCTGAGGGTATGCATAACAGGAATGTTACCTTCATTTGGGCTCCTGGCACAAAATATATTTTTGGTTTTTTGGTTTCCAGTCTGGGCCGTGTATTGGAGCTGTTCATGGGCACCTAGTATCGCTTGATTTTCAAAAACCCACTTTCCTAATTTAAAAAATAAATGCTTTTGATGTTGTTAGACCCTGCGCTGGGCACATGACATATTTTCTTTGGGAAGTGCACATTACCACCAACCCATTTTGCAGCTGCAGAGAGTGAGTAGGAGGCAGCCCAGTTTAAGGAGAGACGGAAACCAGGGCGGGTGATGCCATGTTCCCTCCCCTCAGGAGTACTGCAAGTTTAAGAACACCGAGGACAGCGCCTTCCCTAGTGTTTACATCGGACTCCAGGACAAGCTCTCAGGCATCCGCAAGGTCATCACCGACTCCACTGTGCACTTAGTGCAGTTGCTGCACAACTACAAGAAGAAGCTGGAGGAGTTCGCAAGGGAAGGTGAGAAGCCTTCTGTGGGCTGTGCTACGTGTGCCTCTCGAGTAGTCGACGGGGAAGGTGAGAGAGAGCCAGGGGAGGATGGCGAAATCAAGGGCACATCTCATTTGCAGAGCCACCCTCTGGCTGGGCTACATTACTAACGGACACATCTTGATTTCATTTTACAATTGAGACCCGGATAGGGGGAGTTAGTCCAACTGGCTGGCATTTCTATGTTCAGCTTCTCAGATTGTTAATGTGTATACTTTTAAGTGAAATCCAAGTCAGTCTGGGATTTTTTCAGCCTATTTTACTTTATCCGTGAGAGAAATGTGGTCCAGCGAGCATGGTTCTCTGAGATGTGCCTGGGTTCCAGCCCCACCTCCCTACAGGACACCCGGGGAAGAGTGGCTGGGAAGATCTGCTTCTTACACTCCCCTGACCACCGGGACAGGTGCATATTCACCACTTTCTGATTTTCTAGAGGAGTATGACATCAGAACTCAAGTGTCAGCTGTTGTTCAGCGCAAGTATTGGACCTCAAAACCTGAGCCCAGCACCAGGCAACAGTTCCTCCAATGTAAGTTGTGAACAGCTCTCTCTTCCTTAGTTATTGATGTTGGTATAACGCTTTGCTGAAGCAAGAAAACGATCTCTCACATAGGGTTCAGGATCTTGCAATCTTGGTCTATCTCTACATGGCACATTTTTTAAACATTTAATTACAATATTTTTTAACTTTTCATTTGAAACAATTTCAAACTTACAAAAACATTGCAGAAATGGGACAAAGAACCTGTATACACTTTTCACCCATCTTCTCCAAATGTTAACACTTTACATAATTGCAGTGCATCGAGCAAAACCAGGAAATAAATGTTGTTGCTATAGTGCTATTAACTAATCTACAAAATTTCACCAAGTGTTCCAACCAATGTCCTTTTTTTGGCCTAAGGTCCGTTCCAGGGTCACAGATGCTGCCCTACTCTCCCCCAGTCTGGATCTAGTCCCTCAGTCCTTGTTTGTCTTCCATGACCTTGGCACTTTTGTAGAGCCTGGCCACTTACCAAGTGGTTCCCTGTTAAGTGTGGCATGGCCAGAATGGCATAGCCCTTTGTGCTCTCATTATGTGGTATCGAGCTGGTCTGTTAACATTATTAAAAACACTGTTTTTTCAATCAATACTTCATTATGGTTAACAAGCCGGGGCAGTTGCACCTGCTAGTAGAGGAAGGCCTGCATCTGTGCATTCAAGGCTCATTTCTTAAGGCATTTGGCTAATTCATCTTTTTGGAACATGCATTGAATGCTCTTCTAATTGTTCCTTGAGTGACCACTGGCTGATGGGCCCCGGGACCCCCTTTCCTCTGGTTATTCCACGCAGCCTCAGGTTCTGAGGCCAATCTGCTCTTCCTGCCACAGCCCCACTTTCCCAGGACCCCTTCGTTTCCACAGTTTCCAGTATTTATTCTTCTAGTCTTCCTGACGGAAGAACATCTATGTTTCACAAACAGAGGTAGTTAGTACAAGAAGCCAAACACCCTTCATTCTGAACATTCAAATAAAAGTGACATGATATCTTATTATAATCTATTTTCTTTTGCATGACATATCCTTTTGTACATCCAGTATTCACTTTTTCTCTTTGAGCATTGTTATGAACCTTTAACCTTTTATAGACTCAGGTTGTTTCCCTTTGCAAAGTTCTGGGGCCCAAATTGCCAACCCGACCAGTTGGAGCCGCTTGTACACTGGGCCTCTTTCTCCTTTAAACATTGACATTCTGCCCTTGACATTCCTAAAAGTATCATTGCTTGCTGGAACAAACAGAAAGTTCCAGGCCCATTCTGGTTTTCTTGTCCCAAAACATGGAGTCACCTGCCATCCTGGCAGTCCGGGGTCCCCTTGGATGAGGTTGTTCTTGCTCAATACCTGACGCTAAGGATGCCTCAGGGCTGGTGGTGGGTGCGGTGCTGCTGCGGACGCTGCTGGGGCCACTTTGAGACGCAGCTGCAGGCCGTCTGCCTTCGGCGGTCCTCCGTTTACACTCATTTCTGCCTCTAACTTCTTGGACTGCTGTGCCCTTCTTTTCTTCCAGGATGGGGTCTCATTGACTACTAAGACTTTCTCTTATACCAAAGGAATTTGGAAAGCTCCAGGTTGAACTAAGTTAATTTTTTTAAATTAGTGGATTTTTAAAAAAACTTTAATATGCTAATTCATCTAGCAAGGATATACGGTGCATCTTCCCTGAGCTGGAAACCCAGGATAGAGTCCCACATAAAATGTGCATCTTACAAATAAGGAGGAGGACAAACATGAAACACACACACAAATAGCTTATTACACATCACAATGAGCACATGGAGTTTAAAAAGCCAAGGGGTCTGAGAGTCAGCGATGGGAGTGACCCGGATCAGGGAGCCGCTCTGAGGACATGGGCTCTCAGCCGCGGCCTGAAAGGACCAGTAGGACTCACCCCGACTCAGGCTGGAGTGAGTCGCAGGGGGGATGGTCTGGGCCAAAGCCCTTCCGTGGGTTCAGTGTTGGGCAGGTCTGAGGTCGTGGTGCTGGAGGGTGGCGATCCAAGGGGAGAGGGCAGGAGACAAGGCTGGCGACGCAGGGCGAGGGGCCACTGCTTCATCCTAGGAGCAAAGGACACCACCAAAGAGCTGTAAGCTGGGAGACGTGATCCGCCTTCACCTACACCCTAAAATGAGCACCGGGGGCTCTACCATGGGGAAGGTATGAAAGGGGAGCAGGGGAGAGCAGTATGACCAGTGTGCAGCCTGTTGCCCCAGTCTGGGCGGGATTTGAGGAGCCTCAGGTGGGAGGTGAAGCCGTGCACTGGTGAGAAGTGCATGGGACCTAAGGGCTCGCTGCCGCCTGTGTGTGTGAGGAGGGACAAGGCAGGGGGGAGGATGAGGGCAAAAGAAATGTCAAACGTGGCTTCAGTGAGATTTGAGCAGCTGGGTGCATGGAGGTGCGACCTCCATTTTCTGGGACGTGGAGGAGAAGATGTGTGGGGATTATTTCAGAGTTCCCCTGGCTAAAAATTGGTCAATTTTGTTTAAATGGATCAAATGTGAGCACAGGAGTGCCTGTTCCTCCCAACGCTTGCCAGTCCTGGGCAGAACAGTGCCTGATTTTCAGCACATATTTGCTGAATGAATGAAACAGTGAATTCATAGATTTTATTTCTTGATTCAGTTGAGCAAATAATACAGGAAATATCAAACAATTTAAGCTTCAGGAAGAAAGGAAGTGAAATGACTTATTAAAAGAGGGGGTGGGGATTGGGACAACTGTAGTAGAATAACAATAAAATATTTAATTAAAAGAGGGCCTGGGACAACTTGCAGCATGTGTGTGGGTGGTTTCCCCAACCAGCAGCCCTCCACGGCACCAGCTGGGTGTCCTAACCCAATTCTGCCCCTGTCCACAGGTTAAGGCCTCAGTTCCAGGAGACTGCCCCGCACTTGAGACACCAGTCACAAGGAATAGGTCCCCAGGTTCACCACAACTTCTGTCCAACCCGGCTACAAATTGGGGTCTCAAGACCCCGTCCTCGGTTGCATTAGCTTGTTACAACAGCTCACGGAACGCACAGATGCAATTACTCATGCTTACCTGTTCATTAAAGGCGATGATAAAGAACATAGGTGAACAGCCAGATGTAGGGATACATGGGATGAGGTCTGGGACGGTCTTGAACTCTGGAAATTCTGACCCGTGGAGTTAGGGTACGTCACTTCCCAGGGTGGATGTGTTTACCCACCTGGAAGCTCTTTGAACCCCTCACTAATGGGATTTTTTAATGGAGCTTCCTCATGCAAGCATGACCATTTATTAACTCCATTTCCCACTCCCCTCTCTGGAGAAGAGTGTGTGTGTGTGTGTGTGTGTGTGTGTGTGTGTAGGGGGCGTCAGTGCTGAAAACCCCAAGCTTCCAATCAGGGCTCGGCCTTTGTGGTGACCAGCCCATCCGAGAGCCCACCCATTCTCTCCTCATTAGAACAAAAGACCTTTCTATTACCCAGGAAATTACAAGGGTTTTAGGAGTCCTGTGTCAGGAACTGGGAACTAGGGTCAAAGACCATATATTATGAGAACAAAAGATACTCCGTGTTCTTATCACTTAGGAAATTACTAGGTTTTCAGGAGCTCTGTGCCATGTAGGGGTGGGGGGCAGGGACCAAATATGTACTTCTCGTTATATGTCACAATATCACATTTGTGTTTGCTGTCTTCTGGTTTTCTTTTCATCTGCCTGGGAAAATAGAGAACAGAGAGATGGATGCTTTCTCATACTTTGGAGGCTGGTCAGGTTTGAAGTGTCCTGTCGGTTTCTGACCTACTCTCCCTGACTTGCATATCTCCTCAGATGCGTGTGACATCGTGTTTGACCCTGACACGGCACACAGGTATCTCCGGCTACAGGAGGACAATCGCAAAGTCACCAACACTACGCCCTGGGAGCATCCCTACCCGGACCTCCCCAGCAGGTTCCTGCACTGGCGGCAGGTGCTGTCCCAACAGAGCCTGTACCTGCACAGGTACTACTTCGAGGTAGAGATCTTGGGGGCAGGCACCTATGTTGGCCTGACATGCAAAGGCATCGACCGGAAAGGGCAGGAGCGCAACAGCTGCATTTCTGGAAACAACTTCTCCTGGAGCCTCCACTGGAACGGGAAGGAGTTTGCGGCCTGGCACAGTGACACGGAGACCCCGCTCAAAGCCAGCCCCTTCCGGAGGCTGGGCGTCTACGTCAACTTCCCGGGAGGGATCCTCTCCTTCTACGGTGTGGAGCCAGACGCCATGACTCTGATTCACACGTTTGACTGTAAGTTTTCGGAGCCAGTCTACGCGGCCTTCTGGCTTTCCAAGAAGGAAGACACCGTGCGGATTGTGGACCTGGGAGAGGAGCCCGAGAAGCCAGCGCCGACCTCAGGGACGGCTGCTCCGTAGACTCTGGGATCCACATTCCATCTTGCGCTAACGCAAGCGGCAACTTGCCTTCTGAGAGCGACCTGGGGGCAGAAATCTCTGCCAGGGGTCACTGGCTTTAGAAATCCCGGAATCTGCGGATGAGGAGGCGCGCCTCTGGCTTCGCCCTTTTGCTCCTTGCCGTGCTGTTCCCAGTGTTTGAAGTCACCTTCAGATGAAAGGTCCCCTTGAGTGATACTTGAGTCTTCCATTTTTGAGTGGTATTCTCCTGTCTGCTCTGGTGAACGACATATTGGGCTCAGAATTGCGAACCAGGAATCTTCAGAGAGATCGAAAAGATCACAGAGTAATCATAATAAATTGCCAGCTTTCTGATGCATGTCCTATGTCCCAGACACTCTTTTGAATGCTTCCTTTGAATCAACACCCCAACCCTCACCCAGTCCCATGAGTAGGTGTTCATTTCAGCCCCAGTTTGCAGATGGGGAAGGTGCCCTGGGGGGACAGTTAACTTGTTCAAGGTCACTGGAGTCACATGGTGAGTAAGTGGCAGAGCTGGGTTTCAAACTTGGAGGGCTGACCTTGAACTTCTCACCACGATAACATGCTGCCTTCTTCATTAGTTCATAGGTGTTGCATGTAAGGGAATAGACTACGTGTTGAACTATTCACATGGAAATAGAGCATCCTGCACCGCCTGCAAATCTCTCTGCGGGCCCCACGTCTGACGGGGCTATGCAGCTGTGCAGCAGCAGAACATCCACGCCTCCGTTTGGGGATAGCAAGGATTGCAAGAAAGGTGTTAGTGCAGTCCAAGTCTTAGTCCTCGTGACCTCTGGGGAGGGCCTCCTGCCTCTCTCCTGAAGTCACCTGGAGTGTGTGGACTTGTCTGATTTCTTGTTCAAAGGCCAGTTCTTCGAGCATGGGAGGGCGGTTCTCACAACACATCCTCCCAGGAAGCTTTTCCACATGGTATTTCCCACTTTCCTTGTTTTCACGCTTTATTTCCCACTTTCCAAATCTTTCACCCTCCTGGTCATTGCATCCTCCTTTCCACAGGTGTGCTCCATAACACTTACGGTGAATAGTCATCAAGCCTTTAGGCAAATGACAAATTAATTGTCTTTGAGTGACTTTCTGAGAACATAGCCTGAAGCCCCTGTGGGAAATACAGCCTCTGGTTTTGTGTCAAGGCAAATCTGTTTACCAAGCTGCTCTTCCCCTGGTAAAGGGGTGCGTGAGAACCAGAGAGCACAGATGTGATACTGTGATTTATAATAAGGAATACCTACTTGGCTCCTGCCCCCCAGGTTCCTGGCACAGGGCTCCTGAAACCCTTGTAATTTCCTAAGAGATAAGAACACTGGGAGCATACTTTGTTCTAACATTTGTCTTGCCTTTGACCAATGCGATGTTCCTATTTCCAAAGTGCGTTACTTCGGCATCTTGACTTGTTGCCAGAGGCCCCTATTCTTATTTGTATCTGAGGACATATGCAGTATAGGATCTGAACTTCTCATTGCATTTTTTAAAATTTGAATTTAATTTTTTTACTTGAATTTTCAATTTCATTACCTTATTGCTGCTTGCTGAGATGGTTTTGTGTCATGATTCTATTTCCCACATATTAGCTCTCCTTCTTAGCCTAGTCCAGAATTGTTCAATCCTTCTGCTTAAGTCTTGATCTTGATACATGTGTTGTTTAGGGTAGGGCCAAATACAGAATCTTGCAGCACTCAGTCTGGCGGCCTTCGGTTTAGTTACTCAGTGAGTTACGCATCGGTGACACTGGAGCGTCAGGTGGCCCGCCTTCTGCCCCTCCATCCGCTGGACCAGAAGGGGACGCAGCAGTGGCGGAGATGAAGGTCAGCCATTTCTGCCTTCCCTTGCTGCTCCTGCCTAACACTGCTCTCCAAAGAGAAAAGGAGGTCAGCTTGGCCTGCTTTGTTTCTGTTGAACCCTGTGGGTTGTGGATGCCTGTTGCTTTCTTTTCTAAATGCTCACAAAATATTTGATAAACCATTTTAGAATTTTCTGTGGGTTAACATCAAGTTTACTAGTCTGTTGTTTCCAGGATGTACCTTATTTTTCTTTTTAAAAATCAAAACAGCTTTCCTGCCCCCATCTTCTACCATTCTCCTCAGTTTTTCCAAGAGGAATGAATGCCCAGTGTTTAGTAACGCTGGTAAATTGTGTTGGTCATGAGATGCCATTTTTTAAATTTTATATTTATTTTTAAAAATATTTTATTTATTCATTTTTAGAGAGGGGAAGGGAGGGAGAAAGAGAGGGAGAGAAACATCCATGTGTGGTTGCCTCTTGAGCCCCCCCTACTGGGGACCTGGCCCACAACCAGGCCTGTGCCCCGACTGGGAACTGAACCAGCGACCCTTTGGTTCACAGGCTGGCGTTCAATCCACTGAGCCACAGCAGCCAGGGCAAGATGTCATTTTTTTAGACCAGAATATCTGACTCATTTAAAAGGAACCCTTCGGGTGCCTCCCTGCCTGTTGTGAACTTTGTTTCCTTGTCAGCTCTTTTTGTCTGTTTTCAGTTTCAAGGCTTTTTCTTGATATAAAAAATCAAAGCAAAATTGAGAGTTAGGAATATTTGCTTTCTGTCTGTCATTGCCTCAACAGATAGGCATAATATCTTTCTTCCCCCCCCCCACCCCCGTGGCCCACTAACTGAAAATAACCTAAAACAAACAAAAAAATGTTTAAAGAGAACAACGGCCTATTTTACATTCCTTATTATTTCCCCTGGCTGTGTGTGTCACTCTTCTGTATTTACCGACATTTATTTCCTCTTTCATTATGTAAACTAAACTCATTTTGGAAAAAAAAATCCGAACTCATCAAGAGCTCCTTTTGGTGCCAGATTATTTTGTTCCATTACCAGATCATTTGTGATTGGAGAGGCAGAACGCAGTTTTAGCCACCACATAAATTTATTTTTGTCAACTGTTTTAGTTTTAAATCTTTTTTTATTTTTTAGTTACTGCTGACATACAATGTTACACGTGTTTCAGGTATATAACCCAGTGATTAGACATTCATGTAACTTACAAAGGGATCTGCCGCGACCCCCACGGAGTGGTGGCCCCTGAGTGGGGATGGGAGACTGAGAAAGGACAACAGACACAAAGACACAGCACAAGGCAGTTTACAGCAAAGCGGGGGCCGGGGCGGGGGGGGGCATCGTCCTCTGATGGGGAGACAATGACAACGACCACGGTCTCCGTGCTTATTTTATTGGGGTTGGTTAGATAAAGCTCAAGGGAGTTTTGCAGACTTAGGGGAGCGCTGTGGGCACGGATTGTTCCTTTCCCAGGCTTTCTACGTGATAAAACTTTCTTCTGTAAAGGTTGCAGTCGTCTTCAGCGGAAGCTTGCGGGTGTCTACTCCCTTCTCAACGCCCCCACCCCCACCCTGGGCTCGGGCTGTCGCCCGTTGCCAGCTTGCTCTGCTTTGCAGATGCAAGTGGTCGAGAGTGGCCTTGCCAAGTGCTTAACCTGACTTTTGACGTCAGCCTTCACCGTCCTCCACAGGGATCACTCTGATAAATCTAGAAACCATTTGACACCATGCATAGTTATAATATCATTGACTATATTTCCTAGGCTGCACTCACCCCCATGAGTGTTCTGTAACTAACAATTTGTACTCCTTAATCCCTTCTGCTTTTTCGCTCATCCCCTAACCCCCTTTCATCAAACCATCAAAATGTTCTGCTTGTTTATTTATTTTGTTTTTTGTTTTTTGATTCCACATATTAAGTGAAATCACCTGGTGTTTGTCTTTCTCTGTCTGAACTATGTCACTCAGCACAATACCCTCTAGGTCTATCCATGTTGTTGCAGATGGCAAGATTTTATTCGTCTTTTTATGGCTCAGTCATATTCCATTGCATATATGCAATCGGCAATGGCTGCTCCTCGTGCTGGGCTTAGTGGTGCCCAGGAGAGGCCAAGCTGTGAACCAAGCCTGGCTGCTGCAAATGCTGGGCTTGGGGTCACTGAGCAAGAGGTATGGGCCATGCCAAGGGCAGATACTGGTTGTTTAAGAGATCTTAGGAAAGTCTACCACGTGAGCCAAGACAGGAAAAGCACTCAAAATGGCCTGGTGAGCCTGCAAGTTGAGTGGGGCAGGTGTCAGGGAGTCACAGGAAGGCGAGAAGGAACAGTGTGAGCCAGGCTGATGGCGACTCAGATATGGCAGTCACCTGCGGGTTCCGTGGGGGAGGGCTCAGCAGAGGAGCAATGGCCTCTGCCAGCACCTCTGTCTGGGAGAGAGCTGCCCCTTCAGCTTGCTCTGATGCCAGACAATTCAGTTTTTCCCTCTATGTCCCTTGACTCTTTTAAGCTGCTGCCCCAGTGCTGGAGCTCAGAGTGAGTCTGAGGAAGTTTGTGCCTGGGCCCCTTGTGAGAAAAGCCTGGGACTCCAGAAGTCTTCAGTCTCATTCAGCCACAATCCCTGCTGGATTTTAGAGTCAGAAATTATGGGGACTTCACTTCCTGTCACTGGAACGCTGGGCTGGGGTGCATGGTGTGGCACTGGGATCCCTCGTTCCTTAAGGGAGACCTCTGCAACTGGGACATCCCTCCAGAATTTTAACACCACAGGTGGGCACGTATGCACACATCGGCAACTCCCCATGTCCTATCAGTCCGACATGGCTTCTTCTTTATATCGTCAGTTATAGGGCTTTGGTTCAGCTAGATTTCAGGTGGTTCTCAGCGATGGTTGTTCTGTACTTTAGTTGTAATTTTGACGTGTTTGTGAGAGGATGTGAGTACCTCACTCACTTCCCTGCCATCTTGACTGGCTTCAAAGGCAAATGGCATTTTCTTCTAGGAATCTTACAAATTCCGAGCAAATTCCCACATTTTCCCACTAGTCATGAGGAAGTGATGAGATACGAATGAATACTGGCTCAGTCTCAGAGCCCTTATCTCTTCAGCGGGGTTCGGAATGTTTTGGGGGTGACTGTCCTCAAATCAATTCAATGGGTGTGACATTTACAACGTGCAAGCCACTGCACTAGTTGCTAAGGTGCAGTAACTTTGATGACAACCAGCTGTGTCTTTTGAGCACAAGACGTTGATTCAAGTTAAAGTGAAAAGTGTTCATATGTGAAGAGCTAAGTAGGAATCTACTGTTCAAAACAATGATAGACCAGGGAGCCTATGGAAGGGATGCCTCATTTCCATGCCCTGGTGCCCCGCTTCTGAGATAACATTTTCTTAAGCCACCTCCAGTGACTGAGCTCTTCATGGTGTCATTGACTGACGTGTTCCTTGGTTGCTTCCCATTTCTACACCAGCTTCCGCCAGTCCAGGGGCCGCCCGTCCAGCCCCATTAGCCCCACACAGAATGCGGAAGGAAAAGTAGTGTGCGCATTGCATGCGTCTCCCAGCGCCTGCGCATTCGGGCACTGACCCCCCCCCCACTCCACACCTGTTCGGAGACATCACGGTGGTGGGGCAGGAGCCCTTGCAGGGCGGGTCACTGTCCCATGTGTATCTGATATCCGCACCCAGGGCACGCGCCGTGGACGGCACAGACAGAGTGACTGGCCTTCGGGACCTTGCCGGAATACCCTGACTTCGTTTCTATTTCGGGTTTGCTCTGGAGCTGTGTTGAGAACATTCCACCGTCTCTCTCAGAGAAGGAGACCAGGCACTGGAAGGGAAGACGGGTAACAGGTCATCTAATGAGGATCGAGGGTTGGCGTTGCGGTGATCAGTCCTCTGAGGTTCAAAATTTTCCCTCAAATTAATTACTTATATAGTGACCCTGATGATAACCTGAAAAAGAGTGTGTGTATGTGTGTGTCTTTGTCATATAAAGAAAAATCTCTTAAAAATCCTATGAAGCTGCTGCTGGGTGTGCTTGGCCTTTTTGAATTATCATGTTCTCTCCAGAAGACTGCATATAAACTCTTGTCACTCTTTCTTCTGTTCCGGCCATGCCTCTCAGACCCTCCCTCGCTTCTTTCTGCTCCTCCTTCTTCAGTGCAGTCAGTTTAAAGCTTACTTTTGAAGTTGAGCTTTGTTTTCCCCCAGGAAGCTCCAGGCTTTATGCTGTGATATTATGGCAGCGTGAATGGCTCTGCGTGCCGGGTGGCTGGCCTCCTCCCTGGCACCCTGGCTTCACTGCTGGAGGTGCTGGAAGGGCCCTGGGAACCTGTGTGAGCTGGCAAGGGTGGTGGGAAGTGGGGATTGTCTTAGTGGTCCAGGGCGCAGACAGAGGCCCACTCAAGAGGCCGGCTCTTGGTCTATTTTTATCCCTGTCTCTTTCTGGGGGAAGACTAGGATGCCTGGCTCTGTGCGATGAGCTTATTGGTCCTTTTAGTTGGTTAAATCAATTTAGAGTGAAACAATAACCCATAAAATATGAGGTCTGCTTGTTAGTTAGTTTGCTTACTCTTCAATGCCCAATCTTTCCATTTGACAGTATTGTTCATTTCATTGTTCTCACCCGTTCTTCCATTTAGTTTGGCTATCTCAACCATTCTGGGCCTCAGTTTCCCCATATATGAAATAGGACCATTGGACTCCCCACATGTTTCTCGGAGTCATCCAGCACTAAAAACTGGCCCTTTTCTTTAAAATTTTTTTATTGAGTTTATCGGGGTGACACTGGTTAATAAAATTATACAGGTTTTAAGTGTATAACTCTATAATACATTGTCTGCATATTGCATCATGTGTTCACCAACCAAAGTCAAGTCTCCTTCTGTCACCATTTATCCACCTTTACCCTCTGTACCTCCCCCATCCCCCTTTCCCTCTGGTAACCACCATACTCCAGTCTGCGTCAGAATCACAGAATATTTCACAAATTTGTGTGTCATTTTTATGCAGGGGCCACGCTAGCCTCCTCTGTATCACTTTGATTTTAGCGTATGTGAGTCTGAAGTGCGCTCAGGCCTGGCCCTTTTCTTAGTCACAGAACATCAGTGACCACTTCTGTACCCTTAACCAACACATCATGTATTCATCAGTGATAAACATCAGCCAGAACCCACAAAAAGCTATTAAAGCTACTGTGGCCTGATTTCTAGAGCCTTTATAAAAAATAAACTAGATGATTGATACCCTCCCTACCTCTGATAGCTCCCTAAGTACAAATGAGAACGTGTAAGAGCATATTGAGCTGGTCCAACACAGCAGAGGTTCAGGGTCCTCTTTCTCTCTTCAAATCCATCCCCGGCTACTATGTTCCTGTGCTAAAGTTTTGCTGAGGTCCTTAGGTATCCTCTAAAAAGCTCAGTTTGTTAAAAAAGATTAATGAGAAGTAGAAAAGGCTTTAGAATTTAGAGTAACATTTTTGGATACTATTTCCCACTACTTATCTCATTTAATCTTTGCAGCCCTAAGAGATAGATATTATTTTCTCTATTTCATGGAAAGAAAGCAAAAAACTGGTGGCTCAGAGAGGTTAAATAACTCAGTCAAGGACACTTAATAGTAAGTTTTGAAAGAATTAAGTATTATGTTTATGTTGAAGTGAAGTCATATTTACAGATATTGAGACACAAGCATAGCTTCTATCCGTGGTTCTCAAAGTGTGGTTTCCTGACCAGCAGCATCAGCACCACCAGAGCAGTTACTAGAAATGCAAATTCTTGGGCTTCTGTTCAGATGGAGAGACTCAGGAACTCCCAGGGTAGAGCCCAGCACCGTTTTCATAAGGCCTCCAGAGACTCTGAAGCCCACTTAGGTTTGAGAACCACTGGTTACATCTAGTCTCTGTCTCCTGCTCTGCCCTTCAACCACCAATAGCAAGTGCCTGTGAGTTGTAGTACAAGCAAGAAGTTTTTGGCCGCTCCAGGGATACAGTGTCTTCTTGGAGTTTTCAAGCTTTTTTCAGCTAGATCGAGAACTTTCCTGTATTCTCTTAGTTCTTCCCATTCTGGATAATAAAACATTTCTAGCCAATGACCTCTTTCCCACATATGTTGTTGTCATCGTTTTCTTCTTCTTTTAAGATTATTTATTTATTTATTTTTAGACAGAAGGGAAGGGAGGGAGAGAAACATCACTGTGTTGTTACCTCTTGAGCGCCCCCTACTGGGGACCTGGCCCGCAACCCATGCATGTGCCCTGACTGGAAATTGAACTGGTGGCCCGTTGGTTCACAGGCCGGCACCCAGCCCACTGAGCCACACCAGCCAGGGCTCCCACGTGCTTCTTTTGAAGCCAAAGGACAAACTGGCAACCTGGAAACTCACTGGTTTCTCACGGACACAGACTTTTCTCACTTACTTGGTCATCCAACATAATAATACATGATGGGAAAGTGATGGCTGAAGAATGACAGTTTCCCCGTTTTCCCTAAAGATAACAATACAGTTGTTCCCCCTTGTCTGTGGTTTTGCTTTTTGAAGTTTAAATTACCTGTAGTCACCCACAATCCAAAGATGTTAAATGGAAATTTCGAGAGATGAACAATTCATGAGTTATAAATTGGGCATCCATATGAGCGGAAAGATGAACTCTCGTGCTGTCCTACTCCTTCCTGCCTGGGACATGAATCCTTTGTCCAGGGTCTCCATGTGGCATGCACTCCCCGCCTGCTAGTCACTTAGTAGCCATCTTGGTTATCCAATCAGTTATCAGAGGTTTTGAGAGAGAGAGATAGATCACATTCATATAACTTTTTTTACAGTATATTGTTGTAATTGTTCTATTTTATTGTTATTTATTGTTTTAATCTCTTACTGTGTCTAACTTATAAATTAAACTTTATTATATGTATATATGTATAGAAAATACATACTATATACAGGGTTTGGTGCTACCCAAGGTTTTAGGTATTGGGGTCTTGGAACTGTACCTCCCACAGATAAGGGGGGAATAATTTCTTGCATAGCTCTTCACACATTATAAAGTGACTTTTCAAAAACATGCATTCCTATGACCCTGACACCTGCCTGTGACCTAGGTTGAATTATATTCTCCACGTGTCTGAAGGAGAGCAGGCTGAGAACAAAAAGTGAGTTATCCTGCTCTGCCGTGCAGCCTGGCTTCATTCCACACGCTCCTCCTCTGGACCCTGAGCCCTTCCTGACTTCTCCCTGGCTGACCCAGGGCAGGGAGCTTTGCGGGAGAGTCAGAAGAACCTCGGGCGCAGGGTTAGGCAGGACAGCACAGCAGGGTATTGGGGGGTGAGCAGCCGCACTGGCAGGGCTCTCTAAACCACAGGGGAGGGTGGGAAAAGGAAGTGGAGATCCAGTGCCATACGGCAAGAGGATTCAGGCAGAATCATGAACAAGGGATAACAGAAGGCAGAGAGGAAAGCTGGGGGGGTTGGTCTTCTGGCTGCTGGTGGCCTGGATATCTGAGAAATACCTACTTCTCAGCCGCAAAGCCCTCCTCTTCGAAAAATGTTTTCCTGTCTGATGAGACCTCTTTGCCTGCCTGCCTGCCTGCCTCTTCGAGTAGCATCAATGACATTCCTCTACCCTGGCTCATCCCATCAAGTCGTCTCGTTCTGTCCTTCACCAAGGCCACTTTCTAAACTCTACTGCCAGATCCCAAATGGCTTCAACTTTCCTGCCAGAGCCAGGTGACAGGCTGTGTGCACGCACCTGAGTGCACCTGCCTGTGTGCGTGCATGCACGTTCATTTCTGTGTGTGCAGAGGTGGGGAGTGGGAGGCAGCAGTAACTACCATGCTCACCTACTCTGGTTAAAGTAATGCTCACATTACAACATCCCGCGGGGCAGGGAGGATCCTGTGTCATCTACAGATAAGGAAAGGGGGGCTCAGAGAAGCTGGAATAACTTGTTCAAAGCCACAGCCACACCACTAGTAGGAAACAGCAATAGAATTCCACCTGTCTCTGACTCTGAAGTTTGCGCCCCTCAGTGAGGCTCATTGGGCCCCTAAGCATGAAAGGAAGGCTGAATTGGGTTGGTAAAGCTGCTTCCCTGATGTATGTCAGGCTCACAGATTAAAATCCTAATTTATTTGGACTTTCAAAAACAAACTACTTTTAGCCTGTAGCTCCTCTGGGGGTAACATGTCCCCTCCCCCTTACATACCCACACCTCTGCTCTGGGCCTCCCTCCTCCTGGCCACCCTCCTTTGTCTTGCCTTCCAGCGATGGGATGCTGATCTGCTCTTGCCTTTCAGATGCCTCCTCAGTTAGAACAATTTGAGCTGCGAGAACTGGTGTCCTCCTGAGCCTGACTATTGTCCCCCACCCGATCTTGAATGAGCTTGCCATTGCAAACCGACTCTGGCAATGATTTCCTATGCCTTTCTTTAACTGGGCCACGTCCCCAGATGTGGGCACTGGAAATGCTCACGGCATCGTAAACCTTTTGGTTTAACCTGGATTAATAACAATAACAACAATAGTAGCAGTGACACTGGTCTCATGCATTTGATATAATCCTAGATGGTAGCTCTAATTTTTATTATCTTCCTTCATCTCTGCCATCCTTGTCAACAGGGTGGAGAAACTGAGGCTTAGAGAGGTCAAGCAGCCTACTCAAGGTCCTAGAGTTCCGAAGGACCAGGATCGGTGTTTGGACCTAGTCTTGTCTGAAGTAGGACGGTCTTGGTGTGTCTCTGATCTCTTCTCTTGGCTGCCAACATTTGCAAGGGAAGTTTGGCTGCAGTGGCAAGCTGGGCAGCTATGTCAGGAAGCAGTAATCTTCCTGACCTTATAGTAATCTTTTCCAACTGAGCAGTTAGTTTGAAAAATTTCAAATCTACAAAAACCCGAAAGAATGGAACAATGAACATTCATCTACTCTTTACCCACACCCCCAATTATTAGCATTTTGTTACAGTTGCTCTTTCTGTGTGTGTGTGTGTGTGTGTGTGTGTGTACATATAAACACACAGGATATGTGTTTGTGTGTGTATCATTTTTAGTGGAGCCTTTTGAGAACTATTTGCAGATACCCATCCTGGATATGTCGGCACTTGATAATGACTTTTAGGTTGTTTTCTGTGGACTGTAGGTTCACCCTGCTGGCACATGGGGGACAGAATCACTTCCCTCCTCACAACAAAAATAGGGGGCATTCATGAGCCTTGATTCAGGGTTGCCAGAAGGGGAACGTAGAGTCTACAGAAAACATTTTGAAAATCACTAATTTAAATTTTGTGGATTTTGAAGCTGATGTAAGACAGTATCTGTCATCTCTGGCTTCAGGTTTAAAGGTTTTGTCTTCATCAGAATAGCCCCATTGTTCTCAATAATTGCCTTGCTAACAAGTCAATTTTTGAATTAATAACATAACTTGGTATTAATAGAATATTACATTTTTCTATGGTATGTATTGAGCCTTGACATAAGATATGATTTGCAAACAGGATTTTGCTCTTTAAAAATGGTTGAAAACCCAGTGAGTCCTTGGTCTCTTTCTGGGGCATAACTGCCCACAGAGGCCTTCTGTAGGAGGTGGGCCCTTGTGGACAAGAGAACCCACTCGTGGGCTCTAATGGCCTAAGTCATCTCTCCTGAATGGATCGTGAGCCAGGGCTAAAAGGTAAACATCGCATGAAATCGGTAAGTCATTTTTCTTTTAAAAACCACATACATACACATACCACACTCATTACTTCTTTACATGCATCTCAATGTATGAACATACACATATACAGATATCATAATGGACATTGATTGTTTGGCGGCCCAGAAGAATGATCCCAATGACAATAATGATGATGACAATAGGTCCATAGCTAGCATTTATTAAGGGCTAAATATGTATTAGGCAATCTTCTAAGCGCTTTGCATATAGTCGCTCATCTAATCCTTACTTATGAAGTAGGAACTTTGGTTGTCTCAGCTTTTCAGACAAGAAAACTGCAGCAGAGCGGATTAAATAATGTACCCGTGTTCCCAGAGCTGCCGTATAAGTAAGCAGGTGGGCTGGGCTCCAAACTCAGGAGTCTGGCCCAGACCTCCTGTTCCTCACTCCTAAGCTGTCCTGCCTCCCAGACACATGGGCGGGCATGCGACTGAGGTTGGATGTTCCCCGACACACTCTTGGTCCCAAAGAAAATCCTTCCACCAAGGACTATTTTCCTAAAGAGGTTTCCAGTTCACATTGAAGCAGTTAAATAACAAGTTTATATTAAACAGCTGTGCTTTTACTTCGATGATGAATTAAGAAAATGAATGTAAATATATTCAGGACCATTGGGATAACCACCATATAACCAAACAGCTATAGCCGTAAGAAGTTACATCTAATTTTATATTCACAAATATTTAAAATTCATTAATAACAACAACTGGAGCTCAACACAAGGCTTCACATATTTTTTTCTCTTTAAAAGTGGTCTATATATTACTTAAATTTGATTAATCCTACTCTTGTTCTAGAAATGAAGTGACCAGCTCTTTCAGAATATACAACAACTGCCTCCATGTAAGTAGTGCCAGGTTTAGGAGATTTACGGTAAAGCCTTGTTTCCTAGGAGGTCAGTACAAAAAGCCAGGCTTCTACTGGCAGTTTCCGGGAGAGATAAGCTTTCCATCCGTTGTAGAGGTTAACTTTTTCTCTAGGAGATGTTTATAATAGAAAAGGCTCACTTGGGATATTTGTCAGCTTCTCCTGGCCCTCTGCTGTTTGGTGGAGTTGACCACAGGCAAGGATAAAATGAGCTGGCCACCTCAGGATCATGGCAAACCTGGAATCAAGTCTCAAGAATGCCTCCTACTTTCGTTGTGAGAAGGGAAACGATTCTGTCCCTGTGTGCCAGCGGTGCGAAACGTGCGTCTTGGCTCGGAAGATCTTCTTTACCAAAGAGTGGTTCCAGAGGATCGGGGAGATAGCTCAGAGGAGGTTTCTAGTTAGCATCCTGGAACAGTTAGATAGCTTTTATTTGTTACACTATTTCCAAACTATCCTCCAGTCCATTCAGGGGAAGGATTTCATCTATAACAGGTCCCGGATTGACCTCAGCAGGAAGGAGGGGAAAACCATGAAGTCCTCCTTAAACCAGATGCTGAGTAAAACAGTAGAACAGAAGATGAGGGAGCTATTGTGCTGGTTTGGGACCACCGCCCACCAGACTAAGGCAAAGTATACACTCTCGCTGCTGCAGATGTGCAACCCTCAGTTACTGCTCACGGCTGCCACTGTCGTCAGAGTCCTGTTTCAGAGAGAGCAGAACAACATCTCAGGTAAATGGGCCACGGAGGAGACCTGGGGGCCCTGGAGACCAAGGAGCCGGGCTCCGGGACCTGTAGAGAGACCAGAGGTGTGGACAAACTGAGGCAGATGGGGACTTCCCAGAAGGCAGGAAAGAGTTCTTTGTCCTGACACCTGATCCTGTTTCCCAAAGGAGAAATTGCTGAATGTGACTTCCTTCTAGAAAATTGTCAAGTGACAAATGCAGAAGGGTGGATAGAACTTTTAACTGTCCAGGATTTAAAATGAATTTCTGCATCCCTTTGGCTGAGAAATGGCTGGTCTGTGTCTTTATTACTTTAGGCTGGTGTGGTGCATGATTAGTGAGCTAGAGATTGGACTGGCCTTAGGAAGGATGTAAGGGGGAAGCTATTGAATTGTTTTGCCCCTCACCTGGCTCTGAGCAGGAACCAGTCCAACAGGTCAAAAGTTGTCTCCCCACCTCACCCCCATTCATTCTACCATATTCCTTGCTTGTACATAATATCCAGACTTGAAGTGGGGTTTATCCAAGACTGGGGAAAGCAAAAGGGCCAAATAAGACTAGCAGCATCCTTCTCAAATTTTAGATTGTATCTGAATCCCCAGCGGGGCTTATGAAATCCCAGATGAGGGGGCATGCTCAGGCCTCCTGACTCAGCAGGCCTGACAAGTGACAGTTCTAACAAGTTCCCAGTGGACGATGCTGAGGTTGCTGTTGGCACTTCACTTTGAGAGCCATTGATCTAGGGTGTTGGTGAAAAAGTCTTGGAAATGCTGAGCCTACTCAATAAGGGAGGCCAAAAAAAAAAAAAAAAAAAAAGACAGAAAGGAGGCAAGAGATAGGAGATTCTACTGGGATCTGGGAGTGGAAGGTCCAGTGTGGGGAGGCACAGGTTTGGAGGAGAGGGTAGGAGAAGGCTGGCGGCGGGGAGCATCAGGTAGAGGAGTTTCAGAGTCTGACGTCTTGAAGCCTAAGAATTCCTAATGTCCATGAGACCTGATTTGTGGTTATAGGTGCAGACTAATGGGATCCCAAACAACTTTAAAGCTAGACCTGCGGGGCAATTGGATCCCTATGTAGCCAAGGCTGGACAATGCACTTAACTTCTTTGGTGCATTAGGGAGGTAAAAGAACAATAATCCGGAATGAAGACAAGGTGGAAAAAAAGGAGACTCCTACAAATAGATCAGAGGTCGGCCAGGCCAGCCCTTTAATGTTATAGATAAGGAAGTCAAAGTTCAGGGAAGTGAGTGACTTGAACAAGGTCACCCAGCAAGGGGGCTGAGAACCAGGCCTCCCCTCCTGAGCATCTCCCACAGTGCAGAGCTATCGCTCACCCCAGGGGGGGGCCTGCAGCGGGCCTGGCTTCCACACGCACAGGCATCCGTCCGTGGGCCTCTCTCAAAGGCTTTCCTCATCCTCCACAGGAATCAGCTACTTACCTTACACTAAAGTCCAGTTACGGGTTGTGCAACCTTCTCCTTTCCTAGGGAAGCTTCTCTTCTAAAATATTGAATTTTCTGTTTTGACTAAAGGACAGTTATGCATATCATTGAAGAAAATTAAGCCAGAGCTTTGGGAGAGCAGTCCCTCTTCAGGCTCTTGCCCTCAGCTCTCTCATGCTCCCTCCTGTACGGAAAGCTCTGATCAACTTTGCATTGTAGGTGAGCTGGCAAAATCTAAGTAGGGGCTTTTGCAATTTTTGCATAGAAATTCAGAAGCCCCAAATGAAAACAGACATAACTGGTCAGGCCTATTTTGTGCAGAATTAAAAGAAGCAAGTAGAAATGAAACCATTTACCTCTGTCTCTTTCTCCTCCACACACCTGCTTAAAGAACAACTTTGTCCTGATCTTCTGTTTTTCAGGGCTCGATCAAGACTCTAACCATATGTTTTTCTTCCCTGAAAAAGACTGCAACTCACAGTTTGATACTTTACATGTTTACCGCACAGCCAGAACCAAGAACACATCTTTCCCTTTGTCCAAAGATTTAGGAAAAGAAAGGTTGCATAAAAAGGCTCGGGGGGAAGCATCTAATACTGGTAAGTCTGCTTGACGTGAGAAAGCCAATGGACATGAAACTGGGAAGTCCCAGTGGAGGTGGGGGTGCTGAGAAGGCAACAGCATCTGGGGATGACAGATTTGGGGAATTAGCCTTCATTTTCACCTATGGTGTGTTGGACTCGCTGATATTTATTCCCTCCTTTAATCGCACATCTGGAAAGGGAAGCAGCAAGGACAAAAATCACTCAGGATGACCCAAAAGCCCATGTTTTCACTTCTCCAGCGCGGTGCCTCTCAGAGACACCTGAGAACAGACATCGGAAAGGGAGCTGTCGTTGAGGCATCTTTGGAAGTCTCCCTCTGCCCCAGGCCACAGCCCCTTGTCCAGCCCCTGACCTGTGGCGTAGCGGGCGTCGCTACAGTTCAACCCACCCTTTTGAAAATACTCAAGGGCCATTTTTGCAACATTGGATTCCTTATGGAGGAAATAAGAGCAGTGGGGAATATGGACCCTGACCCCAAGGCCATCCTAAGCTTTGAACAGCAAGACATATATATGAAACAGTGACAGCAAATGCAACACATAGGTTCTGAGACTTTTTTTCTACAGAAAATGTCAAATTTCAAAAATAGGATAGTATAATAGCCATTCACATAACTGTCACCTAGCTTCAATAATTAACAGAAAAGCAAAGAGCGTCGTGTGATAGTTCAGATTTCTAACTTCTCTTGAAAGCTCAGATGGTCTGGGAGGCTGAGCTCCACAATCTCCCATGGCAATAATTAGCTGCAGCTGAGTAGCAACCGGCCCTTCAGATGGGAAGCGAACCCTCTAATTCATCACCGTCCCATCATCCTTTACTGCTCACACCACCCACCTCCCTATTCTTATTTCATCCACTTCTCTCCTCTAAAGTTGTTTAAAATACTTTCCTGTTGGGGTGATTTAAAGGAAATTCCAGGCACCATGGCACTTCACCTGCACAGGCAGACTCTGAGGCTACAGACATATCCTTGAGCTGGGAAGGCTGAAAAGAACTTGTATGTTTGGATAGGGGGTTTCTCTTTTCATTTTGGCAGAAAAAAATGACAAAAACCAATAGCCTAAGAACAGACTCTGATGAGTTCTACTGGGTGGAATTACCACAGAGACAACCTACCCATGCACCTTTCTCCGGCTTCATTCTAGAGGGAAGATGGAAGGGTTCGCTCCAGTGTATTTCCGAGATGAATAGGCTATTTCCCAAAAAAGCAGACATGCACAAGACTGGGCATGCCCCCTCCGATCTGTTGGTTGACATGGATGCTGTCAGAGACCTGTCTTCTGGCGTCAGCAAGTACCGGGACTTCATCCGTCACCTGCCCATCCACCTCTCCAAGTATATTCTAAGTATGCTGGGCTGCACTGGGGCATTTATCAAGCGCCCTCCCACTTCAACCCAGCTCGAAGGTTCCCATGTTTATCTTTTTTTCTCTTTTTTTTCAGGTATGCTTGATAAAAAAAGCCTGAACAGATGCTCCTTTGTGAGCCAGCACTGGGCTGTCCTGGCACAGCAAGTCAGGTTGGACCGGTCCATGCACACATTCATCCAGAACCGGATTGCCTTACTGCAGGTACGTCCTGCCTGGGGGGGCGGCCTGGAGACCCACCCCCTCAGTGAGGCTGGCCAGGCTGTGAGCCCTTCGGTCTACTCAGGAGACCCTTAGCAGGACTCCTACTCCCTGCTTGCTGCTTCGTAGGCTTAAGGAGTCACCTCCTTTCTGTGTGGACTCCCCATTAGTCACTGCTTACTATACCATTGTCAGTACACCTCACAGGGGCAACATGTACAGAAAGAAGCCTTTTAGGAAGAGAAAGGCAGAATCTGTGAAACCTCACAAAGCAGGGAATCCCCGCTCCCCGCCCCCCAACTCCCACCCCCTGTCAAGAACTGCATTGTGGCTGATGCAATCAGAAAGCCATGAGCATGCTTCTAGGTCAGCCTGACATGGTCCACAGATGTGTACAAGTCCACAAAGTCTATTTCCCCTGGTATTTGCCATTTCTGGCATTTTATTTGTTTTTCTTGCCTGAGTCCTGACTCGAATCACAGATTCCTGGTAGCTGGGACTTGCCCAGCAGAGATCGATGAGAGAAGAGGGGAAGAGGCGGGCACGGTGAGGCTGGCCGAACTCGGGAAAGCTGGAAACTGCTGGCCATGTCTTTCTGGTCTTGCTCCAGATTTTTGGCATCATTATCCCCTTACGCTAGTCTGTACCCCTCCTGGCCTACCTGGCCAGGCCCAGGCCTTCCTTAGCCAGAGCTCACCCATCTTTCAGATCTTGCCAAGCACTTGTTTCCCCTTCTGTTGGAGAGTGGGGACCAAGAGTCGCCGTTTTCTGTTTTTTCCCCCCTCAGGGGTCCTACACAAGGGGAATAGATCCTAATTACGCCAACAAGCTTTCCATTCCAGTTCCTAAAATGACAGATGACGGAAAGCGCATACGTGTGAAAAATCAGAAATGGAAACTGAGAACAAAGGTGGGTTCTGACGGCATCAGGGGCAAGTCGCTGCGAGTGGCGCACTCTCGTTGGCCTTTGAAGGCTGAAGGCCAGGCTCCGTCCTCGCATAAGGACTCACATATAGGACACGGGAGGACATAGAACATAGCATACGGATGTAGGTAGGATAGGGAAAGCGACCTTCCTTAAGGGAGACCAGAGTTCTGTGCTCTATGTTCTTACGTACGTCACTTCCTTTCATTAAGCCTTAAATGCCTCCCCTGTTAAACAGGTGGATTGGTTTGGTTGTCCTCTCAGGGTTTGTCCTTACTTCAAAGCCCATAGCCATGTCCCACATCCATGGCGCCCAGTCACCCGGTGGTGTGCTCGGAGCCGGGAGCATGCCAGCAGTAGCTGGGCGTTTCCTCCACACCCACCAGTCCATGCATCTAGCGGCTGGAGAGATGAGGCTCTAGGACGAGAGGCCATCAGAGGAGGGCAGAGCCGGTCCAGAAAGTCCAGAGTCCAGGATGAATTGAGCTTTCTCACTTTTCACTTCCATGTTTGTTCTGACTCTAGGATGGAAGGGGAGAGCTACTCCACCACAGACCTCCCCACCAAATCTTTTTCTGCCTATCCAGGCATAATTCATTCCTAAAACTGTTAGATTCCTGCTCCCTCCCCTTTGCTCAAGGACCTTCTATTTTGAAACTATTCAATGGGCCCCAAAAGAATACTTAATGAAGGGTGGTCAGACTGCAGCTTCCGATAAGAAAACTGGGTAGCATAAATTATAATCTGAGAAATAGAAGTGTCCACAGAGACCATCTAGTTCCCCTGTCTGTAGAGGCCAGGCAGATCCCATGACTGAGGGAGGAGGGTGGGGTGAACGGAGAAGGGATGATGGGACAGTGACGAGTTAGAGGGTTCACTTCCCATGTGAAGAAGCCAGTTGTTGTTACTCGGCTGCAGCTAATTATTGCCACGGGAGATTGTAGAGCTCAACCTCCCAGACCATCTGAGCTTTCAAGAAAAGTTAGAAATCTGAATGATCGTGCAACACTCTTTGCGTCTCTTAAATGCTGGCAACCCATTAAAAATATTAAAACAAACAAAAAAACCTATAAGGGCCAAGGAAAACATTTGTTTACCTCATGTGACCTGCAACTTTTTTTTTTTATCTTTGAGTTGGCCCAGTCACTCATTTTATAGCTAAAGAAATGGAGGCACAGAGAATTTCAGGTTCCTAGCCAGTGAAGCGACAGAGAACAAGTCAAACGCTCACGTGCTTGTTCCAAGCCTGCTGCTCTGATAAGTATAGTGAAATTAACATACTTCTTCCTTTGGTGATGTAGCTGTAATTGCCTGAAAAAAAGGGGGGGGGCTAGTCAGACAGTGTTTAATATTTTAGAAATGTGTAATTTAAGAGCAGAGTGAGAAACGGGTCACGCAGGATGGAGACCAGGAGAGAACATGAGAAGCAGTGAGCCTACGCAGTTAAGGGGTCTGCTAGGAAAAGGTGGAGGTGAGTGCTTCTGAGCTCAAACAGTGTGCCAGGCATGGTGACAAGGGCTTTGTAGACATTCTGCACTTGATCCTCACCATAGGTTGGGTCGTTAGCATTGCTCTCAGTTTATGGAAGTGGAAATGAAGGCCATGATGTCAGAAAACTTGCCAAGTTCTCATAGCTGGTCAGTGGCAGAGCTGTAATTTGAACACAGGTGTTGTTCTTCTCAACGACTCTACCATGTTGCTTCTAGGCTCTCAGAACTGAACTGATGAGCAAGAGCCAAGGAATTCCAGCCTGGGCTATGAGAAGCCAGGGAAACCTCTTTTAATTCAAGGCAGAATATCAGAGCTGTTTGCACTCTGGTGGGGAGAAACTCCTAGGTGGATATTACTACTTGGTTCGAGATTAAAAGGGAGAGTGAGCTGAGGAAAGCTGGTGTCCTGAGGAAGGGTCTACGGGCATGGAGAAGGCTCAGGTTGGGAAGGGGACTTAGGGAGAGATGTCCCCAGGAGGACTCCCAGATGCAGGCATGATGGTGTGGTCTTCTTTGCTTTCATGAGAAACTCACCCTGTTCTTTGGCTTCCTGGTAGTATGATTATTATTTTCTGCTATTGGAGGGTAAAGGGTATGGCTGGGAAGAAGTGTGGAAATAGGAATTCAGTTGAGTCATCATCTATGCCAGAGTTTAGCGTGCCTGGCATGCCATAGCTGCTCAGAAGGTGTGTGATTAAGGGAGGGAGGGAGGGAAAGAAGGAGGGAGGGAGGGAGGGAGAAAGGAAAACAGGAAGGGAAGGAAGGAAGGAAGGAGGGGAGGAAGGAAGGAAGGAGGGGAGGAAGGAAGGAAGAATTGAAAAGGGAAGGCAAGCACTTCTGTTGAGATTTGATATATCGATTTCTTCTTTCTGATGCTCAGACACCTCATCTGTAAAATGATGTGACTACTTTGTGGGATAAATGGTGTACTTTGTGAGGCAACAATAACGAGATATTAAGGTTGCAGTTGTATGAAAACTTTGATGTGCAAATGCATAGAGTGTGTAGCAGTAATTTCACCTATGGCTTGAGTTCCCAAAATGTACTTTGTACTATCACGTTACGTGATGTAAATGTGAAACCCCCTCTTCCGTGAAGTGGCCAAAGGCACCTGTGACTTTAGTTGTGAGCATACCCTTTGTGAGCTCATTTTTAGAAAAGTTGTGCTATCAGGGACATTCAAAGTTCATGGAATTAGTACACATAAGGAACAGAAAGAGGTGGAAGAAGAATTAGGACTCTGGACTCAACATTTTCTAACTTAGAGATTACTCTAGTGCCAGCTCACTGGCCCAGCCCCATCAGCACGGCAACAACAGCCACAGCCTGCAGAGGAAGACTCCATGGGTTCCCGAATCCTCTCCAGGGGGCATGCGTGGGTTAAGTGGCTGCCGTACTTTGACTCCAAGTGTTCCTTTGTCAGAGTGACTACAACCTGTGGACGGCATACCAGAACCAGGAAACGCAGCAGGTCCAGATGGAGGAGAGAAATGTCTTCTGTGGGACTTACAACATCCGTATTGTCTCTGACGTGTAGGTACTGAGGTCTGAATCCAGGTCCTCAGAGACCCTGAATTACCCCCAGTGGCATCTTCGGTTTCCCATGACCTTTGTTCACTTGGAAAGGCTCTATTTCCAAGCTAACATGAGAGGAGGTGCTTGATTTTTTGAACCATTATCAGCAGTGTATAGAAGACACTTCCCCTTATAAATTTTGGGTATACTGACCAACAAACTTTTGCAAAATTAATATGCATAAAATCTTTCTTTTTGAAATATCTGTATTGTTTTATTATAATTTTACAAGTAACCTATTCTTAGTGGGGAAAAAAATCCACCAAATGCCAGAAAATGTATAGAAAAAAAGCAAAGATCTATAATCTTGTCATCTATAGATAATCACCATTAATAATGGTGTCTATTCTAGAATTTTTCCGTACATGAGCCTCTATTTTAAATAGGAATGGAGTTACGCTTTACATATTTCTGTAACCCACTTCAGCAAAATACTGTGGATATCTTTCCATGTTAAATATGAAAATAGTATTTATGATGACTGCATAGTGTGACATCATTTGGATTTGTCATAAGAAGACCCTTTAATAATCAACTTTCTGCCATACTTTAGGCCCAGGACTTCTTCACTCTTCATTCATAATGTTTGTGAGGACCATTCCTATTTTATTTTTGGCTCTGAATGGTTTTAAGAAATTGCATCTTGACCAGTTCTTAAGGGGAAGGTAGAGCAGAGAGGGGAAAGGCAAAGTTGAGTTTTTATGAGTAGTATGGTGATAAGTGTTCTTTAGAAGAGATGACGACTGCTTGAACTCGAGCGATGACAGATGCAAAGAGGACAAAGTTGCTCCTCATATTTAGAGTGACCATACACCCCGTTTTACTGAATCATTCCTAACTTACTCAGTGATCCTGGAGTAATTAATGTTCTATTTCACAATAAAAATGTATGAACAATAAATCATTTGGTCATCCTGCTCATATTTTATTTATTTGCTAGTAATCCCATTACTAGAAAATTAATTCAACTCATACTGTTTTATTGGACTACAAGCTCGTTGAGAGGAAGGTTCACGTCCTACTCACCTTTGTATTTCCCATGGTTCCTATTAGTACAGGACTGTGAACCTAATATATGCTCATTGGATATCAGTTTTAAAGAAAGGAAGGGAGGAAGGGAGGGAGGAAGGGAGGAAAGGAGAAACAAACAGTGGTATATGCAGTGGGTACAGGGCTTCCCAGCTGTGTTCTCTGAGGTTTCCATGAAAAAAGTTTTCTATGGTCAAATAAGTTTGGGAAATGCTGCATACTCTATTCTCTGCTTTGGGGATCTATCATACATTAATTAGCAGAAGTTTTTGGGTGGGTTGCCTTTTGTCTTTAGGTTTTAAATCTACTCAAAATGGATTTTTTGTTGTGGTATGAGGCAGGGTTCTATCAGGGTCTGTTAGTACTAAGCCTTGCCTAGTGCTAGTTTCCGAACTGGGAGGCCTTGAGTTCTCCATTATACCTGCAGTGAGAGCCATCATGCTAAGTGAGTTCCAGGCAGCACACTAACTCTTTTTTTGTGAACCATCCTTTTCCCTGGCAACTCAGGTGGGACAGAAACAGAATCATCCACTATTCTGGGGGAGATCTGGTAGCTGTGTCATCCAATCGGAAGATCCAGCTCCTGGACATCCTACAAGTAAAGGAGGTACCTGTTGAATTTCGGGGCCACGCTGGCAGAGTCCGTGCCCTCTTCTTGTGTGAGCAGGAAAACTTCCTCCTGAGCGGCAGCTACGACCTGAGTATCAGGTGAGTGGGCCAAGGAGGCCGTGGTTCTTCAGCCCGCCCGGGGCCTGATGCCAGCTCATGGAAGAAGCACACACTCTTTTTCCTTTTCCTATTTGTCAGAAAGGTATCCCACGTGATGCTAACTTCTAGAATAACACACAACATTTTTCTTTTTTGGCGAGGTAAAGACCAAGAATTTGTATATTGTTTAAACTTGAATGAGATAGACTTATAACAATTAACAGATCTATTTTTTAGTTGAAGACTATGATTAAGAAGGCATTTATTTTTTAGCATTCTTTAGAGGCATAATTTATATTTGCTTTTATAGATTCCTTCAGGGGAAAGTAGTTTTTTGTAGGTACAAAATATGATATAGAAGCAAAATAGTGTTTGAAATGTACATTCATTATTAAAGAATATAATAAACAGTCATGTACTCATTATCCAGGCCAAGAAATAAAACATTATAATTCTCCAAATCCTACTATGTGCTTTTCTCTTATTGCTTCTTTCTCCTAACTAGAGGTAATGTTATCCTAAATTTTATACTACTTATTCCTTTGTATTTTTATAGGCTTCTTTTATAGTTTTGCTATCTACTTACATATCTCCAAATATATTTATTATGTTTGTCCATTTTTGAACTTAACATAAATGAAACTGTGTTTTAAATATTCATCTGGACTTGATTTTTGTACTTAACTATGATGTTGAGATTAATCCATATGATGTAGTTAGCAGTAATTAATTTATTTTCACTGAGATATAGTAGTTTATTGAATGAATATATCTTTATTCTTCTGTTAATGAATATTTGCATTATTTCTACTATTTTTATTCTTTCAAGAATGCTGCAATAGGTGTTCTTAGATTTGTCTCTGGGTGCCTGTGTATATAAGTTTTTAGAAAAAAATTGACATAAAACATTTTAGTTTTAGGTGTACAGCATAATGATTTCACATATGTATATATTGTAAGCTGATTACCACAATAAGTTTTGTTATATCCATGATCTCCATTGCCATACACAGTTACACTTTTTTTTTGTTGCGATGAGAACTTTTAAGATCTCTCTTAGCAACTTTCACATGTAAGACACAGTCTCGTTAATTATAGTACGTGGATTTTTTGAAGGTATATTCTTAGTAGTGGAATTTCTAGGTAAGAGTCCTGAATTGTTTACTGAAGTGCTTGTATTTACTTACAATTTCATGGGAAGGTATGAGAAGATCCCTTCTTTCAAATCCTCATCAACAGTATTGGCAGTGCTGAACATGTTTGCCAATATGATGGGTATTCAATAAATCTTCATTGTAGTTTCAGTTTTGACTTTCTTGATTATTAATGAGGTTGAACCTTTTGTCTTACCTGTATTAGTCAGGGTAATATATATATATGTGTGTGTGTGTGTGTGGCATTTGTGGGCGGTATGGGAGAGGAACGCTGACAGCTGCCCTTCCAGCGCGGCCCTGGAGCCACGCAACCTCGCCTCTCCTCCCGGGACTCCAGCTCCCTGTGGGCCACGCCCCCTCTCCTGGAGCCCGTGGTTAGTGGCTGTGAACAAGATTTTGTGCCTTGGCCCTGTGAAAGGGTATTCCGGTTTTTAGCAGACTCCCATTTCTCCCTGGCAGACAGAATCCCTGCTGATTTTCACAGCCAGGTGTTCTGTGAGCTCCTCTTGCTGGCAGTGGTGCTGTGGGCTGGGGAGCCGGCCCGGGGCTGAGACGCCATGTTCCTAAGGTGGGACCTTTGCAGCTGAGAAATTCTTTCTGATTCTCAGCTGCCAAACGTGGGTGTGGGGTCAGCCCTTTTTGCATTTCTGCCCTTCCTTCCAGTCCCAATGTGCCTTCTTCTGTATATCCTTAGTTATAAGGCTTTGTAGCCTAGTGATGAGTTGGTTATTCAGGTTGATTGTTTTATATGTTAGTTGTAATTCCTGTTTGGTCCTGGGAGGAGGTGAGTGTAACTTGCACTTGGATCTCCTAAACATTCCTAATATACTGATTTACTAAAAATACCAGTTTATCAAGGTTTTTTTTTTTTGTCTTGTGTCTGTGATCCTTCCCAACTCTAGGTGACAAGCTATTTAAAAAAATTTTCTCTATTAACTTTATAGTTCTTCACTCTATTTGCAGTCAGATTTTGTATGTGGTATTAGGTAGAATTTTTTAAATGATTTTATTTATTTATTTATTTTTAGAGAGGGGAAGGAGGGAGAAAGAGAGGGAAACATCAATGTGTGGTTGCTTCTTGAGCGCCCCCTGCTGGGGACCTGGCCCACAACCCAGGCTTGTGCCCTGACTGGGAACTAAACCGGCCACTCTGGTTTGCAAGCTGGCACTCAATCCACTGAGCCACACCAGACAGGGCGAATTTTTATTTTATTTATTTTTAAACAAACTGAGCAGTTTCCCCCCACAGCAACTACTAAATAACCTGAAATTTCCCCCACTGATTTACGGTGTTATCTTTTTCTCATGGTAATTTCCTGTATGTTGGGAATGTAAATGAGAGCATCTCTAAGCTCTCTATTCTAGACCATTGGTTTGTTTTTCATTCTTTTTTTTTTGCATCAAGATTACCTTTTTAAAAAATTTTAAAGACAATGTTTATAGAGCAGGTTTCAGTTCACAGCAAATTTGAGAGGAAGGTGCTCAGACTTCCTATGTGTTCCCTGCTCCCATGCATGAACAGCCTTCCCCATTATCAACAGAGCGGTGCCGTTGCTACAATTGATGAACCTACACTGGCACATTATAATTACCCAAAGTTCATAGTTTACCTCAGGTTTTACTATTGGAGTGGTACATTCTATGAATTTTGATGAATATATAATGACATGTATCCATTGCTATAGTACCATACAGGGTATTTTTACTGCCTATTTATCCTTTGTTTCCCCAACACCTAGAAACAATTGATATTTATAATTTTCATAGCTTGCTTTTGCAGATTGTTCAATAGTTGGAATCATGCAGTATGTAGCGTCTTCAGTTGTGGTTTGTTTGTTTTTTTTTTACCTAATAATATGCATTTAAGGATCCCCAGTGTCTTTTCATGGCTTAATAAATAATTTCTCTTTCACACTGAATAACATTACATTGTCTGGATGTGCCACAGTTTATGTATTCATTCTTCTGCTGCAGGGCATCTTGATTGCCTCTGAGTTTGGGCAGCTGTGAATAATGCTGCTGTAAACACCTCTGTGTAGGTATTTGTATGGAGATAAGTTTTAAACTCCTTTGGATAAATACCAAGAAGCTTGACTGCTGGATTGTGTGGTAAAAGTATGTTTAGTTTGGTAAAATTATCTTCAGTGTGACTGTCCCATTCTGCAGCTCCATCAGTGACAAAGGAGAGTTCCTGTTGCTTCACATCCTCACTGGCATGTGGAGTTGTCAGTGTTCTGGATTTTGGCTATTCTAAACAGATTTGTAGTGGTATTTCATTGTTTTAATTTGTGTTTCCCAGATTGCCTATAATGTGGAACATCACTTCATGTGTTCCTTTGCCATTCATGTATCTTCTTTGGTGAAGTGTCTGTTAAGATCTTTAACTCATTTTTTAATTGAGTTACTTGTTCCCTTATTGTTGAGTTTTAAGAATTCTTGCATATTTTGGATGGTACTTCTTTATCAGATGTGTCTTTTGCAAATATTTTCATTCAGTTTGTGGCTTGTCTTCTCATTTTCTTGATACTTTCTTATGCAGAGCAGGCACCTTTAATTTTAATAGAGTACAAATAATTCTTTCATCGGTCATGTCCTTGGTGTTGTACCTAAAAAGTCATTGTAATGCAATGTCATTTAGTTTTCTCCTATGCTCTCTTTCAGAAGTATTATAATTTTGGGTTTTACATTTAAGTCTATGATCATTTCAGGTTAATTCTGGTGTAAGATAAAGGGTATAAGGTCTATGTCTAAATTCAGTTTTTAGCATGTGGATTCCCAGTTGTTACAGCACATTTATTGAAAAGACTATGGTAGTTCCATTGTACAGCCTTTGCAATCAGTTGATTATGTTTGTGGGGCTCTCTTTCTGGACTCTCTATTCTGTTCCATTGATCCATTTATTTGTCACCAGTAACACACTGTCTTAAATTATGGTAGCTTTATAGTTAGTCTTTTTTTTTAAATAATTTTTTATATTTCCATTACAGTTGATGTACACTACTGTATTAGTTTCAGATGTTCAACCTAGTGATTAAACATTTACATAACTTATAAAGGGATCACCCTGATAAATCCAGTACCCAACTGACCATACACAGCTATTACAATATTATTGACTATATTCCCTATGCTATACTTTATATCCTCATGACTATTCTGTAACTACCAATTTGTACTTCTTAATTCCTTCATCTTTTTTTCCACCCATCTCCCAACCACCTCCCATCTGGCAACCATCAAATTGTTCACTGTATCTATGAGTCTGTTTCTGTTCTGTTTGTTCACTTATTTTGTTTTTTAAATTGTGCAAATATGTGAATCATCTGGCATTTGTCTTCCTCTGTCTGGCTTATCTCAACTAGCACAATACCCTCTAGGTCCATCCATGTTGTTGCAGATGGCAATATTTCATTTCTTTTTTATGGCTGAGATATACTCCATTGTGTATGTGCACCACTTCTTCTATATCCATTTGTCTGTTGATGGACACTTAGGTTGTTTCCATATCTTGGCTACTGTAAATAATGCTGCAGTGAATATATGGAGATATAATATGTCTTTTTTATTTAGCCTTTTGGGTTTCTTCAGATAACTACCCAGAAGTGGAATTGCTGGGCTCTTCTTTGTCTCTCCTCCTATTATAGCCTTTTTTTTTTTTTAAAGTCTATTTTGTCTGGTGTAAGTATTGCTATCCCAGCTTTTTGTGTGTGTGTTTGTTTCCATTTTCATAAAATATCTTCTTCCATCCCTTTGCTTTCAGCCTGTGTGTTTCAGTCTGAAGTGAATCTTCTGTAGACAGAATATAAAAGGGTCTTGTTTTCTTGTAGACAGTGTATGAAAAAGTCTTGTTTTGTTATTCATTCAGCCACCATATGTCTTTTTACTGAAGCATTTACTTCATTTACATTTAAAATAATTGTTGATAGATGTGTTTATTGTCCTTTTATTATTCATACTTTTAACTTCTTTTTCTTCTTATTCTTTCTTTTCCTTCTCTTTTTTCAAGAAGACCCTTTAAAATTTCTTGTAACTTGCTGGTTTGGAGATGATGAGCTCCTTTAGCTTTTTATTGTGTGTGTGAAGTTCTTTTTCTGCCCTTTAATTCTAAATAATAGCTTTTCTGGGTAGAGTAGTCTTGGTTGTAGGTCCTTGCTTTTCATCACTTTGAATATTTTGTGCCAGTTGCCTCTGGCCTGCAAAGTTTCTATTGAGCAATCAGCTGACAGTATGTAACTAACTGCTTTTCTCTCACTGCTTTTAAGATTCTCTCTTTGTCTTTAACCTTTGCATTTTAATTATGATGTCTCTTGTTGAGGGTCTATGTGGGTTCATCTTGTTAGGGATTCTCTGCACTTCCTGGACTTGAGTTTTTTAATGATTATTTTTTCAAATAGGCTTCCAATTTTTTGCTCTCTCCTCCTTCCAGCTCTTCAATGATGCGAATGTTGATTCACTTCAAGTTGTCTCAGAGACTCCTTAAACTATCCTCATTTTTTTGGATTCTTTTTTCTTTTTCTTGTTCTCATTAGATGTTTCTTTAACTTCCAAATCGTTGATTTGATTCTCTGCTTCATGTATTCTACTCTTGATTTCCTGTAATGTATTTATTCCAGTTATTACACTCTTCATTTCTAACTGTTTTTTTTCATGCTTTTTATCTCCATTTTTATGTTTGCTATATCTTTTTGAAGTTCTCACTAAGTTCATCTACTCTTCTCCTAAGTTCATTGAGCATTCTTATAACCAGTGCTTTGGGTTCTGCATCTGGTAGATTGCTTATCTCCATTTTGTTTCGCTCTTTTTTCTAGAGTTTTGTCCTGTTCTTTCATTTGGGACATTTTTCCCCGTGTTTGTTTCTATGTTTTAGGTAGAGCTGCTACGTTTCCCAGTCTTGGTAGAATGGCCTAATGTAGTAGGTGTTCTGTAGGGCCTAGTGGCACAGCCAACCTTGATCACCTGAGCTGAGTACTCCAGGTGTACCATCTCTGTGGGCTGTGTGCACTCTCCTGTTGTAGTTAAGTTTTGATTGCTGTTGGCATGTCAACAGAAGGGATTATCCTCATGCGAGTCAGCTGTGAGGACTGGCTGTGGTTGTGGAGGATCTGCTACTCAGAGGCTGACTCCATGGAGCCAGACTCATGAGTGTGTCTTGAGTGTGTCACTAGTAGAAGTTGTTGGTTGGTGCTAAGGCATGGTCTGAAGCTGTCCACCAGGTTCACTGTCTCTGAAGCCTCCCAGGAGGTACAGGCCAAGGTCAGTCAATGGCTGTGCCCTGACCAGGACCACCCTGCCTGAGCTACAAAGCAATATGCACTTGACCGCTGCTTGTGCTGGATTTAGAGGTGCCTGGGAGAGGAAAAGCTGTGATCCAAGGCTTCCTGCTGCTAGTGACAGCCAGGCGCCACTTAGAAAGAGGTATGGGGCACCCTGAGTTCAAATGTTTTTTTTTTTTTTGAGAGATTTTAGGAAAGTCCATAGCATTGGTCAACACAAGTAATTTGTATGGAAAAGCCCCTGGAAATAGCTTGGGCGGGTCTGCAAGACAGGTGGTTCAGGATTTTAGGAAATTACCAGAGAGAGGTGAGTAGTATTTGCCAGATTGATGGAGATTCAGATATGGTGCTTCCTGCCAGTTCTGTGGGGTAAAGACTCTGCAAAGGAACAACGGCCTCTGCCAACACTTCTGTCAGGGAGAAAGCTGCCCCTCTAGCCTTCGCCCGAATGGCAGACAATGCAGTTCCTCTTGGTATGTCCCCAGGTCCTTTTGAGCTGCTTCCCCAGTGCTGGAACTCAGAGCGAGTGAGGCCAAGTATGTCCATGCATGAACCCTTTAAGAGGAATGCCGGAGACTCTAGAAGACTTGCGTCTGCCAGAAGTTATGGGAACCTGTCTTTTGGTCACTGAAACCCTGGGCTTGGGGGCCTGGTATTGACCTGGGAACCCTCCTTGGGACCAGTTGTAACATGGCTTTCTCTTTATATCCTCAGTTATAAGACTTCCGTTTAGTTGGATTTCAAGCAGTTTTGAATGATGGTTGTTATGTAGTTTAATTGTAATTTTGATGTGGTTGTGGGAGGATGCAAGTACCACATTACTGACTGTGCCATCTTAACCAGAAGCCCTGCTTTATAGTAAGTCTTTAAGCTGGGTACTGGCAGTTGTCCAACTTTGTTTCCTCCTTTGGTATTGTGTTGGCAATTCTGAGTCTGATGCCTTTCCATATAAACTTTAGAATAAATTTGTCTATATCCAGAAAATAACTTTCTGGGATTTTGATTGTGCCCATGTTGTTTTTCAAATTTTTATTTGTTTATAGTCATACACTTGGAGAATATTTTCATATTATGTTTTTTAATGAAGCTTAGCTATGGTATATAATTTTTGAGTTCTTAGTGTAAGTTTATTGACTCAAGAAAACCTAACTAAGACTTGATTAGGGTTGCATTGCATTTACAGACTGATTTGTGCAACACATTTATTTCTTTGCTCTTTCTTAGAACATTAAATATTTTAAAACTAAAAGGCCTTTGTATTCTTATTTAATACCTAAAACTTTATACTTTTATCGGTATTGTGAATGGTATCTTATTTTCACTTATATTTTAATTTGGTTTTTGCTGGTGTGGAGAAATTACATCAATTTTTGTAGTTTGTAGTTTTGCAGTTTGATTTTTTTTGTCCATTGATCTTGGTAACAATCCTTGTTAATTCTAATCGTATAGGTGTTGATTTGGTTTGTCTTTCTAGATGATCTTATCAACTGGAAATGACAATATATTATCTTCTTTTTCAATGATCACATGATTTCTTCTTTCTCTCTCATTCTGCCTTTGCCTGGGCCCTCGGGTGAGCAGCGGCCGCGAGAGTGGCCACTGTGCCGAGTTCCCCCTCCTGAAGGGCGGGCACCCGAAGCGTCTCTCGTGAGCATTATGCCTGCGGTTATGACTTCGGTTTATAAGATCACTAAATCAAGGAATTTCCTTCTATTCTTATTATTCTACAAGTGTTATCAAATATATTTTCTGCATAAATTAAGAAAACCAACCTGGCCTCATGGTTGGCCATGTTGCTAGAAACAGAAATTCAAAACATGCTTTTTTTTCAGGCTATTGGGACATTGTTACACACATTGTGAGTGCGTAGTAGGCTCTGTCAGACGGGTAAGGCCATAGCACACTTGGTAACATTAGAAGAAAACACTTAACTCATTCAAAAACATGTTATTATTAATTATTATTATATATTATTATTAATCATTTATTTCGTGCCAAATCTAATAAGAAGTCTATGAGGTAGGTAACATTATGACCACCAGTTTACAGCTGAGAAAACCAAGGTACCAAGAGGTTCAGTGACTTATCCAAGATCACACCGGATCTCAGGCATCCGGCCCCAGCGTCTACTATCTAAACATCACGCTTTGCCCCGTCACAGGAGCGATCTGGCGGAAGTGGGAATCCGTGATGACGATAGTTGAGACCTCAGGCAAGTTGGTTTATTAAAAAAAAATGACTCATACATGTTTCCATACACCTCTTAGATATGTTTCAGAAACATACACACAGTATTTTGGATCTAAGTGGCTGTGGTAAATTGTTTTGTTGTTCTTGTTTGAATATCAGCTCTCCCACTGAATTAATGCCAGGAATTCTAGGCCTGGTGGTCGTTCCAGGAACCCTTCTACCTAATGCCAACTAACATTTATCAAGCATTTTCTACATGTTGGTCACTGTTCTAATGTTACATGCCTTGATGCAGGGTTTCTCAACTTCAGTACTATTGACGTGCAGGGCTGGAATATTCTTTCTGGGAGACAGTCCTGTGCACTGTAGGATGTTTAACAGCATCCTTGAACTCTACACACTAGATACCAGAAGCACCTTTCTCCCTACCTGAGACAATCGAAAATGCCTCAGACAGTGTTGAATGTCCCCTGGCATGGAAATCACCCTGGGGGGACAATCACTGCATTTCTGTATTTAATTCTTCACAAAAATCCTATCTGGTAACTACAATTTTTATCATTTCTGTTTTACCAATGAGGAAATGAAGCTGACACAGAAATTAAGTAACTTTCCCAAAGTTATACCAAATAGGTGCTACAACTGAGATTCAAATCGGGCCTCTGAGCTTCACCAGGAAACTTTTGTACCTTTCAACTGCTTCTTGATTTACAAGAACTCTATACAGTATGATCCTTTGGGCACTCAGAAAATCTCAAAAACATTTTTTTGGCCTAATTCCTGCAGATACTGGGACCTGAAAAGTGGGGCTTGCATACGAATCTTCAATGGCCACCAGGGGACAATCACTTGCATCGATTTATATAAGAACAAGCTCGTATCTGGAGCAAGAGATTGCCAGGTGAAAGGTGAGAAAGGAATGCCTTAAACTTTCAAAGAAGTTTCCCCAAATTCATAGGTTGCCAAAATACATATTTTGCTCATTTCTCTAGGCAACATATTTACTCTTTTATTCATCCATCCGCACATCCATATATCTATTGATCCATTCCTTTGACAACTATCGGTTGACTACCTACAATATGCTAGACACCATGGTAGGTGTTAAGGGAAAAAATGAGTATAACATGGCTCTTTCAATATGGCTCGTTATTTCCTCAGGAGGCTTATCATCTCCTAATGAAAATAGATACATACATAATGGGGAATATAATAAATATGTGAATAATAACAACTGCCACTTACTGAGGACTAACTTTGTGACTGCGATACATGCTTTATATGTATTATCTTATGTAACCCTCACAAGAACACTATGAGGTGGTACAGAAGAGGAATCCAAACTCAGAAAAATAACTTGCCCTAAATTAAAGCTGTGAAGTGGTAGAGTGGAGGTTTGAACCCAGGGCTGTCTGAGTCTAAATCACATGCTCCTAACCAACATTCAGAATTGTAAGGGACCACAGAAGTAAGAGCAAGAGGGGCAGCACCACAGAAGGATGCTTTTTGAGTATGGCTTTGAGGATTTCTACAGGCAGAAGGAGAGTGGAGGACATTCCAGGCAGAAGGAACAGTGCAGGCAAATTCACAGATGGTTGAAGAAAGCTCTGCATTCAGGGAATTTCCCCTTGCCTGGTATGGCACTGTGGTGTTGAAGAGAAGGCTGCTAAGTTTGTCTGTGGCCAGGCGATCAGGGGCTTTCTGCACCATGGTAGGAAATTGAACTTTATCCAACAGGACATGGGAAGCTCTACATGCATTTTAAGCTGAGTACTGACATGATCAAATATGCCTCTGAGAAAGGTAACTCTAGTGATAGTGTGGAAGAAGGATTTGGAGAGCAGTGGCTATGTGGAGACAGGGAACAAGTTAAGACACTACTCAGCCTAGAGAACTACGGCGTTTTTACCTCGATGCTCTTGGAGACCAGGCAAGTGTGAAGAAACGCAGATGGATGTCAGTGCAGGGAGTCTCAGAGGGAGAACCGGCGGGACTTCACCACCAATGTGATATGAAAATTGAGAAAGGTGGAAGGCAAATGATGAGGCCGGACTTTTAAACTCAGGCCACTGGGGATCTGGAAGTGCCATTAATGCAAATAGGAAGTGGGGCAGAAGAGTAGGGTGGGCTGAGGCATGGAAGAGGAAGCGGTGGCCTAGGTTTTGGGCGTGATGAGTGTGGTAGGCGGAATAACAGCTGACCGGAGGGCTGCACGTCTAACCTCCGGGCACCTGTGGCTTTGCTCCTTTGCATGGCAAGGGGTGCTTTGCAGATGTGATTAAGGTAAGGGATTTTAAATGGAGAAATTTTCCTGGGTTTTCAGTGTGGACCCATGGGGTGTCACATGGATCCTTAAAAACAAACTTTCTTGTCTGTGGTAAAAAAGAGATATGACTGCCCTGACTGGTGTGGCTCGGTGGATGGAGCATCATCCCATAAACCCAAAGGTCATGGGTTCAAACCCCAGTCAGGGCGCCTGCCTGGGTTGCAGGCCAGGTTGGGAGTGTGAGAGGGACAACTGATGGATGTTTCTCTCCCTGATCCATGTTTCTCTCCTTCTTTTTCTCCCTGCCACTTCCCTTCTCTTTAAAAATAAGTAAATAAAATCTTTTAAAAAAAAGGGAGATGTGACTATGGAAGAACAGTCAGAGAGATGCAACATTGCTGGCATGAGGATGAAGGGAGGAGTACGTGAGCCAAGGAATGTGGGAGGCCCCTAGAAGGCGGCAAAGGCGAGGAAATCGAGCCCCTTTCCCAGTCTTCGTAAATGAACACGGCCCCCTGGTACCTTGACTGTAGCCTTTTGCAGCCATGTTGGATTTCTGTAAAATAGTGAATTTGTGTTTTTTTCAGCATTTGAGCTTGTGGGAATTTGTTATAGCAGCAACAGAAAGCTAATAAATTGAGTGCGGGATCCCTGAGGCTATCCAGGTGAGAGGTGCAGTGGGGAGTGGCAGGTGTGGCTGTCCTGGTCTGGAGCTCCAAATACGGTGATTCGGTGGTTATCAGCTATAATGAGAGACGGAAGCCCCCGTTATGGATGAGATGTCCTATGCAGATCAGGAGGAAAGACTGAAGGGAAGAGAAGCAAAGGACCCTGGAAACCACAGCACATGAGGGGCAGGTGGAGGAAAAAAATGTGGGAAAGGGAGAATACAGTGGTGTTAAATCCATAGACACGCACATTTACTTAAGATATTCCCTACCTCTTTGCCCTCCTCGGCCTGAATGAAAGTCTTGTTGCCATCGTCACTTTGAGAAGGAAAGCAGAAAGGATGAAATGGGGAGGGTCCGGTGGTGGAAGGGCAGACAAGGCCGCAAGCTTGGGAGAGTCTTGTGTGACCACAGGCAGGGCCATCATGGAGGGTTAGGCCCTCACCTCAGGTGTAAAACTTAGGGGGGCACCAAAAAACAAACAAACAAACAAATAAACCCTCAGTAATCAAGACACATATTTGAATGCAGCATTATTTTTTTTTAATTTTATTTCTTTATTTTTTAAAGATAGGGGAAAGGAGGGAGAAAGGGAAACATCAATGTGTGGCTGCCTCTCATGTGACCCCCACTCGGGACCTGGCCCCGCAACCCAGGCCTGTGCCCCGACTGGGAATTGAACTGGCCACCCTTTGGTTCATAGGCTGGCACTCAGCCCACTGAGCCACACCAGCCGGGCTTAATGCAGTATGAAAAAAGTCAAAATTAATGCACATGATGAAAAAATATCAAAAGATCTCTCTTACCTTAACCCTGGCTTGGGCCTCCAGCCCACCTGCTTCCCCTGGGCTCTTCCTACCTGCCTGGGTCACCAAAATAGAAGGAAAAAGTGACCACTGGAAGGTAACTCCCCACTTCTTAAATTCTTTAAACTAGGTCACCTTGCCAATGAATATTTTAATTCCTTTTTCAATTTTCACATACTTAATGTGATAAAAGGGCCAATATATATGTAAAAAAGAAAAGAAAAACATGCTCCGGCAGTTAGAGTTAATCTGATGTCCCTGGATCCAGAGTCTCTGGGTTTAAATCCCAGCTTAATGTGCTAACCACCCGGGTGATCTTGAGCAGGTTCCGGAACCTCTCTCTGCTTCAGTTTCCTCATCTGTGTAGTGGGGAAGAATAACTGTGCTTGTCTTGTGAAGGTGACTTACTGCATGTCAAGCGTGTTGAATGGTGCCTGGCTCGTCGTTAGCACTATACAAGTATCAGCTGTGGTTATTTTGTCTTATGTCATACATTCTGTTGCTTGGGAGGTACTTTGGGAGCTGATGAAGCTGACTTTAATGCTCTCGTCCCTGAATTCTTGGTGCCCACTTTCAATTTTAGCCTTTAAGCTCTGTTCTCCCGCCCACCCATTCACTCTCACAGTCACCCAGCTTGCAGTACCCTAGGCCAGGGCGCCCCAGCACCGTGTTAGGAACCTGGCCGCACAGCAGGAAGTGAGAGGCGGTCAGGCAAGTGAGCAAAGCTTCTCTTGCATTTGCATTACCACCTGAGCTCTGCCTCCCATCTCCCTACACCCTACCACCCCGGTCCGTGGAAAAATTGTCTCCACGAAAGCAGACCCTGGTGCCAAAAAGGTTGGGGACCGCTGCCCTAGGCTGTTGCTCTAGCACCGTCTACATGGAGCAGCATTAAACCTGCCCCCGGCTGTGACAACCTCTCAGTTAGGAAAATCCACATCAGATTCGGAAACAGTTAAAAATGTAAATGAAAATAGAGAGCTTTCTTTTGTTTCGGGGTAGGAGGGGTGGGTCAGGAGCACAGCCTCTCGGAAGAACGATGCCACGAAACACGTGCCGTCCTTTTCCTGACATCGCCAGAGCCAGCACTTTTCAGGCGTGAGGGGGAGCCTCGCTGGAGATGGGCTGTCCAGCACTTGGACTCCGAGGCTAAGTTCCTGGGTTAGGGCCAAGGTCTAGGCATTGCTGGCTCTCCCACGACCAGGACGCTCTCTGTTTCACGTGCACAGAGCTCCTGGAGAGCCTGTGGGGTGCCGGCCCAGACCAAGGCCGTCTGGGGCCTGACTTAATGGGCTGCACTGGTCTTAGCTTCTGGGATGGGACGCGAAGTTCTGCTGTAACCTGCCGTCACCCCCTTCTTACCCTCCCCCCCCCACCTCTCTCTCTCCTTCCTTTCAGAGTGGGACATAGAGACGGGGAAGTGCCTGAAGACGTTTAAACACAAAGACCCCATCCTGGCCACCAGGATCAATGACACCTACATAGTGAGCAGCTGTGAGCGAGGGCTGGTCAAAGTGTGGCACATCGCCATGGCTCAGCTGGTCAAGGTGCGGGCAGGGGGCTGCGGAGCGAACGGGGCCCTGGTGGTGATGGGTAGGAGGAGAATGACGGTCTCTCCCCGTGCTGCCCCCCGGACCACCCTGGAGCAGTCAAGTTACAGTCTCCGTAAGGTTGGTCCTGAAGAGCTGAAGGGGAAGGCCCCCTCCAAAACTGAGCCATTGTGTGTTGGTGGAGAGTCAGGACCCGTATGATCATGGCGGCGGTGGTGGAAGGCTGCTTTCTTCCTTGGCATTATAGACGGGCTCAGGGTATTTCAATAGCAGTGAAGCAGCTTTTCTTTTTCCAGAACATTCTACTCCGACTCTGGCATGGGTAAGAGAATGAATAAAATCACAGTGGTTTTTCTCCTTACTCTCCGATGAGAACATTGAGTCTTGGAAGTGATTGAATGTTCACATACACAAAATGTTCTTGCTGCACTTGAAACCCCCTGGCCCTAGTGGGTGGTGGTGAGGTATTATTTATGCCAGGATCGTAGGATCACGCTGAGAAGGTGTTGGGAAACGCCTGGCCTGGTTTCAGGAGCTGTAACGCTGCCAACAGGCTGGAGGGCCCCAAGGCTGGAAATAATCAGGAGGCCTTGGAGAAACAAGCTCCTCAGGTGACTTGACCTGTTCCCCTGGGCAGGGGCTATGCTTTGTCTTGTGTACCTGCCAAGGACAGGTAAGACCCCTCGGGGGAGGGGCAACCTGACAGGCATTGACCGATATGGGCAGCAGATAAGAAATTGGGGGACACGGAGAAGGGGCAGAAAGGCCCCTGCACCTCTCGGCTTGGCTTGGACATGGCCGGAGTCCTCATTGCAGCCGAGAAGCAGTCCCCTTATCTCTTGGTGGTTCCCTCCCCGCACCTGGCTCAGGCTTGAAACAGTGCAGGAAAAACAGCCCTAAATCAGATCTGGTGGTTGCCAGGGTAATCAGGCCTAAAAGTAAATTCTTTAGAGTGTGCTCTGTTCCTCACATCTCTGGCCAGCTCATGCTGCGAAGGACCTTCACATTATTTATACCCTTTACCCTTTATCATTAAGGCGCTTGCCCTTACTTTCATTCTCTTTTGTTTAGACTGGTCTCCTCTTGGACCCGTGTAAATCAGTGAATTCCTGCCACTTGTTTTCTTAAAGGTATCCCTTCTCTGTGAAACTTACCATGCTAATGTAACGAGTGTACACATGCATTCCTGTTACCTAGCCCACTGATAAGAATCTCAATAAGATTCTCATTTCAGAGAAGGGCTCGGGGCCTTCCCCACTAGGGGGATGTGCCCCATCTGCTCTCCCGGCAAACAGAGAAGTGTTTGCAACATTTTGTGTTTATTCCCCCATCATCCGTGACAACCCCAGGAACCCAGGACGGGCTCTGCGGGTTCCAGAGCCCTGCTCCCACCTCAACTGGCCCCAGCCTGTTTCCCTCAGGTTTCAGGGGGCACTGTGCCCTCTGCGGTGCTCCCCTGTGGCGGTGCGCCCCTATAGCTGCCGCGCAGTGCGACAAGAAGGTGCTGGCTTGGTGGGTAGATATTTTTTTCCCACCAGTCTTGTCACTGTGGTCTAACCAGTGTTTGCAGGCACAAGGATGCCCAGGTGCCCTCTGGGCCCTGGCAAGGAGCTGGGAAGGAGCACTCTGCTGGCAGCAGAGGATGGTGAGTTCTGGTCTTCCCTGGCACTCCAGGGAGATGGGGCCTGCCTCAGCCGCAGACCCTCCAGGAGCCAGTCTTCTCCCTGGTCACATTCTTCCTTCCCTCGGGGGAGGAGGGCTCTGGAACGAGGGAGGCATGGACTCTAGCAGCCCCCTTAGAGCTGAAGCAGAGTTGGCTAGTTAAACACCAGTGAGTGGGAGTCATGGATGGGTTCAGTGTGGCTTTGCAATTTATCTAAAGAAGCTTCCTGCTTTGGCCCTTGGAGGAGGCGCAATCGGAGTTGAAGATGGGCTGAAAACAGAGGCAGCTTTCCTTGCAGACTCTCAGTGGCCATGAGGGAGCTGTGAAGTGCCTGTGCTTTGACGAGTGGCACCTCCTCTCGGGAAGTACCGACGGCCTGGTCATAGCCTGGAGCATGGTGGGCAAGTATGAGCGATGCCTCATGGCCTACAAGCATCCCAAGTACGTGCCTGAAAAGCCCTGTCTGAACGACGTAGTGCTCTCTCCTTTCCCCGTCACAGCCTAGGCCTTGAGTCTTGGCAGATCAGGCCCTTCCGCTGCCTGCTGACCTTTGGTCCCGTTTGCTCCTCACCCATTTCTTTTTCCTCCTCCCTTGCTGCCCGGTACCAGTTTCCTTCCGTCCCCTGCTCTGTTTGGCCAGTCCCTCTCACCCTCCCTCCACCCCCCTACTCGTGTCTCTTGAGAAATAATAATACCAGATGTGGATTTTGAGAAATGTTTGAAATGTCATACTTATGACACATGTGATATACTTGTATCTGTTTCCTACTAAGTGTATGAATATTGGCAGAACGGTCCCAAATAATGCCAATTCCAGTAAACTTAAAAGTGTTAGAATTGGCCTTTACCTTAGGAAGCTAGAGTTACAAAAGCTTAAAATGATCCAAGTGACAAAGGTTTAAGAATAACTGAGGGCTTTCTCTGACTTATTTCACTTATATGTGGAATTGCAAGAACAATATAAATGAACCAACAAAACAAAACAGACTCATAGATACAGAGAGCAAGCTGATGGTTGCCAGCTCGGAGGGGGTACAGGGGCTGGGTGAAAAGGGGGGAGGGACTAAGAAGTACAAACTGGCAGTTACAGAACAGTCATGGCACGTAAAATGCAGCATAGGGAACCCAGACAATAATATTCTAGTATCTATGTGTGGTGCTGGATGGGTACTAGACTTACTGTGGGGATCACTTCTTAAATTATATAAATGTCTAACCACTATGCTATACACCTGAAACTAATGTAAAATAACATTGAATGGAAGCTGTAATTGAAAAAAGAAATAATAACCGAGGGCTTCAAGGAGCTTACTTCAAGTCTGTGGGCTAGATTCTATTCCAGGACTGCAAATGGATTTTATCTTACAATTCCAATCCCGGTTTAGTGGTGGTGGCGGCTCTGAGCCATTTGAGAAGTAGTCTGAAGTCCCATCTGGGCGTAGGGAAAGGGTATTGTGGTCAGTTAATGGTTTTGCCACGGCCGTAGGTTTTATAGGCTGCTCTGTGCCTCTCCTGTGCTACACGAATAATTCTTCTTCCTCTGAGTGCGATATAAACAATTCCAGGGGATGAAATGCTATCCTGATCGATTAAAGCAGTAAATGGATCTTCCGGGGGATCTGTCGGGGGGCAGTTATTTAGTAAAATACATCCCTAAATTTCCTTATACCCTCAAAAGAACCTCTTGAACAGGCACGCCGGCTTTGGGGGAGGTGGAAGGGGATTTGGATATCCATGTGTGTGTTCTCTGTCTGTGGCATGTGGCTGCACTACTGATGGGTGCGTGCTGGGCAGGGCCTGTGTTCAGTGATTTATCCAGTCCTTAGGTGATTATCAGTAACTCTTTGCCTATCATCTGGATTATCAAACCTTGACCCCCATATGGGAGTCAAACCTTACAATGTCATCTGCAAATTATAACTCTGTTTTTAAAACCTTCCAAGCTCAATTTGGTAGGATTTCGTTTAAGTATTAAAAAGTAATTTGTTGCAAGAAAACCCAGAAGTCTTGTCACCGTTCCACCAATCCATGAGCCTCTCACTCTACTGTAGCTATGAGGCCTTCTTAAACCATCCTCACTCGCATTGAATGACAGTCCCAACATTCCATTTGCACTGGTCTTGCTTGATACCTTGCGTAGTTACAGCAAATCCACAGACATCTGGAGGACATGGTCAGTGCTTTTGTTTATACAACCCTCGTCCTACTCATTGGTTTTAGCGCTGTACATATGTAAGTACTCAAAAAGTATTTCCACTTGATTTGTAATGAGAACTAATTTGACAGATTGCCTTTCTGGAGAGTTGTTATAATGATTGGGCTGATACCCATCTTTTGAAGATGACATAGGTGAAAAAACAGAGTTGTTGTCTGTCTTCTTGGTCTAAGTTTTTCATCCAAAATTAAAATTATGCATACGGTGGGAGAGAATGGATATGGGAAATAAAATTAGAGGATACAAAGTAGGACTGACAACAATGATAATCTGTAGACAAGCTTATGTATTCTGTAGAATCTTAAAAAAACCCCGCAAAACCTTTATTCTCTAATGCCTTTTCTACAGCTAGTACTATATTTTTTTAACTTTTAAATTAAGATATAATTTATATAACATAAAAATCACTATTTTAGAATGTACCATTAAGTGGTTTTTAGTATATTCATAATTTGTACAACCATCAATATTTATTAAAGAACATTTCCATCAGTTACTAAAATTACTTTGATTTTTGTAATTTCAGTTTTCTCTCTTATTTTCTTGGTCAGTGTAAATAAATAATTGTCAAGTATTTAGCTAAAGGTTTGTTCATCTTTTTAAAGAACCAACTTTTGGTTACATTGATTTTTCTCTCTTGTTTTTAAATTCTCAAATTCACTGATTTCTGTTACAAGCTCTATTTTCCTCCTTTCTCCTTGGTTTGAGTTTAGTTTAACCTTATTTTTTCTAGTTTTTTTTAAGGGGAAAGTTTAGGTTATTGATTAGAGAAATGTAGGCATCAACTGCTATAAATTTCCCTATGTGCAAATTTTCCACATTTTCTTCTATTATTAATTTCTAAGTTAATTTATTGTAATTGGAGAACTTTGCATGGTTTTAATCTTTCAAAATTTATTGAGACTTGTTATGTGGCCTAAATTAAGGCCTATCCTGGAGAACATTCCATGTGATTTTGAGATTAATGTGTACTCTGCTGGTAGTTTGTGGAAAGTTTTGTATATGTCTCTTAAGTCTAGTTGTTTTCTAATGTTTTTCAGATCTTCTGTTTCCTTGCTCACCTTCTGTCTAGTTGATCTATCCAATATCTAGAATGTGGTATTGAAGTCTTCATCTATAATTGTTGAGTTGTCTATTTCTCCTTTTAGATAGGTGAGTTTTGCCTCATGTGTTTTGGGGTACTGTAATGAGGTAAATATTCATTTGTAATTGTTATATCTTCTTGATAAATTTATCCTTTTGTCATTAGATAATGTCCTTTTTTGTCACTATTAATTTTATGTGGTATTAATATAGCCACACCATTTCTTGTTTGGTATGGACTTTTTCCATTATTTCACTTTTAAATTTTTTTGCATTTTTTATTCTTAGGCGAGACTCTTGTAGACAGCATATAGTTGAGTCATGTTGTTTTTAATCTTGTCTTCCAATCTCTGCATTTTATTGGAAGAGTTTAATCCATTCGCATTTAATGTAAAAATAGCTTGTTTTTACCATTTTGCTGTTTGTTTTCTACAGTCTTATATATTTTTTGTTCCTTAATTCTTATATTACGGCCTTTGGCCTTAAATTGTTAATTTCTAATGTTAATCAGAGAGACTGGCCTGTGTTGTTCTCATCTGGCTTTGGTATTAGGGTAACGCTGGCTTTGTAAAATGAGTTAGGAAGTATTCCTTCTTCCAGTTTGAGTATTTTAATATGAAAACTCTGGAAATCAAACCTTTCTTTTCCTCAGGGTTTGTTTTTGTTGTTGATTATTGTAGCTTATTGTAGTGTTTGTATGTTTAGTGTGTCTGTATTCTTCATCTTGCTTGGCCACTGGTCTCCATTTTATTGCCTTGGTGGTACACTAGTGACTAGAATGAGATTTACTTGAACATCTGGAAATAAAATACCTCCAATTCTCTGTCAAGTTGTGCTGCGCTGTTGATGGAAGCCTTCAACACTCATTTAGGCAGGTTAAAACTCCGCCTTAGCTCTTACTTCCTGTTTGTGTGGAACATCACAGTCAGCCAAGAGTGAGACCTTAGGGCTTTTCCACATCTTTCCCAGTAAATGCATAGCCCCAGGAATATGTATGAGCTTTTTAAAGTCCTATGGACATTTTACCCACCATCCCCCACCCCCCCAGATTTTTCTCCAAAGCTTTTTGGTTAGTCAGTTGTATGCCCCCAAAAATATGCATTGTCTTAGGCAGCAATGATGAAAATATGAGTCTAGAAATGTTTTCAATAAATTCCCCCAGGCTGCAGCTTTAGCACTGAGTTCCTAGTGAGGTGAAATAAGTTTTTTTGAGTCAGTTTTCAGGAAACCATCAGACAGATCAATTAATTCATTGTGAATGAGTTTCCTCCAATACCAGGAACATGAGCTATTTTCATGGCGACCATTGGACTGGGGAGTTAGGAAGGGGACTAAGGTCCATACTGAGACTAAGACTTTTTTTTTTTTGTCTAAATGCACCCTGGCTTTCTGTAAGCCTTTGATTATTTTCCATAGTTCCTAAATAGTTGATTCTGATAGGCTGTTTTTTTTGTTTTTTGTTTTTTTTTTTGCCCTTTTTTCATTACTTTAATGGAAGGGTAGAATTCTTGAGCTCTTGCCTCCTCTATTTTCATTGACATCACTCTTTGTAGTGTTTTTTGTTTTTGAAAAACAAGCAACAAAGGAGGATACAAATGACTTATTTCTAGGACAGAGACAAAACCTGAAAGGAGACTGGTCTACGCTAAGATCATAATAACCACAATTAAGTTAGGTACTGAGCTGTTTTTGAAATACTTTCCCTGGTTTAATCCCAACAGCAGTTCTCTGAGGCAGAAATCACTTTCCCCTCTCCATAGAAGAGAAAACTGAAGACTGAGAGGTTACTTTCTTAAGGTTATACAGCCAGCTAGCGGTAGCATAAGGTTTTGATCCCAGGTTTTCTGATCCCAAAGCCTATGCTTTGTATCAGTGGGCTGTAATGGTATAGGCTGAACTACCCAATGTCACAGGAATCTATGAAAAGTGCAGGCCCAGCTCAGCAAGATCAAAGGAGACAAAAAAAGAGGCAAACCCTTCCACCACAAGGCATCTTTCCTAGTACTGATTGTCCTACAGGTGGACTAAGATGCACTTAGGGCACCAATAAAGGTATTCCATTTCCATCTGGGGAAAAATCTGTAAGTTTGTAGGACTTTCTAATATTTAATTTATTCTATCTATCTATCTATCTATCTATCTATCTATGTATCTATGTATCTATCTATCTATCATCTATCCTCTATCACATGAGGAGGGATTCAAGCCACATTGGCCTCTCTGGTTTCCTTTGAATAGGCTGAACATGCTTCTGCCTTTCAAGTTCTTTGTTATTTCTGTTTTGCTAGTGGTAGGGGCTTTGAAAAGTCTTCCTCTGGCCCTTAGATCTGATCAAGGCTCACACAAAATGGTATGAAGTGGATGTCATTTTTTTCTAATACATCGTAGCAATGATTATACTTGGAAACATGAGCCAACACTCACTTTTTCAACAATTAGTTATTGAGGACCTGCTGGGGGCAAGGCCCCATGCTGGGCACACAAAGATGAATGAGACTTAGGTTGTACCCTAGAGAACCCATCAGTATGCTTAAAGTTTGTGTGTGTGTGTGCATGCATGTGCGTGCAGGGGGAAATGGAGACAAAGACGGCCTTATAAGCCAGGCCATGGATGGACTTAGATCAGTAGAGATGGCAGGGATGGGTGGATATGCTTTGTGTATAAAATCAAATTGGTGGCATCCAATTCAACTTTTCAGTATAATCAATAGGAATGGGTTAATTATACCTCTCACATTGAATAATCCACATATCTGCAGTCTGACTGGGACCCATCCATTGTAGCAAGCATTTTGTTGGAGTCACCTCTCTAAGTTTTCACCTGCTCCTTTCTTTTTTCTTGCTGGTTGTCACAGAAGAGAACTCATAAATCTCCTGCCTGGGCACAACTCTCCTTCAGGATGTTTAACTGAAAGAATGAAAGCCACCAATTTAGACCCAGAAGAAACTGCTTAAATACCAGATTTTTGCTTCATACAAGGATGATCTTTCTTTTCTTTCTTTCTTTTCCTTCCTTCCTTCCTTCCTTCCTTCCTTCCTTCCTTCCTTCCTTCCTTTTCTTTCTTCCTTCCTTCCTTCCTTCCTTTTCTTTCTTTCTTTCTTTCTTTCTTTCTTTCTTTCTTTCTTTCTTTTCTTTCTTTCTTTTCTTTCTTTCTTTCTTTCTTTCTTTCTTTCTTTCTTTCTTTCTTTCTTTCTTCTTTCTCTAATAATACTATTTGAAAAGGAATCAAAATATTAAATAATTGTCAGGAGGACTTTTGTAGAAGTTGATAGCCAGGAATCAACTATAAGAGAAAAGCAGGATCACCTATAAAACAGACCTCACACAATGACATAAGCCTTTGTACTTGGCCACCAGTGGCACGATGACCAAGGTGCAGGAAGAACTGCAGAAAGGGAGGAGAGAGACAGCCCCATCTTGAGGGTTACGGTTGACATCCAGAATTCTAAAAGGACGGCAAGCAGCAATTCAGGCACAATTAAAACCACTGCCTCCCAACCATACGCAAAATACCCTGAACTACAACAAAACAAAACAAAACAAAACAAAAAAACAAAAACACTAACAGCTTACTGCCTGTGGCTCTGTTCTCTTCCAGGGAGGTGCTGCACGTGGCCCTTCTCTTCCTCAGGGTCATCAGCTCCTGTGCAGATGGCAAGATCCGCATCTACAACTTCCTAAACGGGAACTGTCTGAAGGTGATGAAAGCCAACGGCAGAGGTGATCCCGTGCTGTCCTTCTTTATTCAGGGCAACAGGTGGGTGGTAGGTGTGCAGGTCAGAGCCATGAACAATTCTGTTTGGATGATCTTTTTCTTCTCCTTTGGGACACCAGCCCTGGATTCTCGGGCAGTGGGAGAGAGTAGGTAAAATTGGACTCTCCTCCAACTTTGGATGGAGGACAGTACTTGTCTCATGGGAAACCGAGTGGTCTTTGCACCAAACTTAGCAATCAGGGTTCACATCACTTTTTTTTGTTCTGGACGTCTGGGCAGATCACGCAGTGAGTGCCATATGGCTTTGCTGCGGGGGCCACGGTCTGCGAACTGCAGCCCCTGCCTGCGCCGAGTGAGCGTTCGGCTGCCTGAGAGCTCCGCGAGGGCCATCCTTGACCCTCTCTTCTGCTGTGGAGATGTACGGAGGCTGGGGGAGGCGGGCGACAGCAGGGGCAGGAGGTCTGGTGTTCAGTGCGATGGTGCTGAGCAGATGAGTCAACAGAAACCGGAACCATGACTAAACTGACTGTATGTAGTACTGTGTTTGTTATATGACACGTTCAGGGTGATATTACGTGAAAATACCCAAGTAGAATTAACTTTTAAATTCTACCAGAGGCTCACTTCAGGCATCAGTTGATCTCCATGAATTATCTTGCCTTCTCTTTAATGAAACTTTATGAATACTATTTCTCATCTTGAAGGGGGAGGGCTGGTAATAAGTCTCAATAAACACACACTTCTCAGTCATGAGGCAATGATGTTAAAAAAAAAAAATCACCCCTGGCTTTTTCTCATTCAGGACATCTGAAGAGAGAATGTTTCCTTTTGGCTTGAATTAAAATAAATCTGAAAGACATTTCTAATTAGAATGATTCCCCAAATTTTATTCCAGTGTTTTCAACTGAAACTAGTCACCATTTCAGAGCATTAACAGTCAGTTAAGGTCTTGAAACTGCAGCCTCTTGGGGCCAGGAGGGACCCGCACACAGTGTTTCTGTTCCTTGTCTATAGTGGCAGGAGGTCTATGGGACCAGAGTGGGGAAAGCAGCTTGCTCTGTGGACACTGGGAACGACAGGAACCAATGCAGAGGTGCGAGGCAGTTCTTGGGGGGCCCAGACTTGGAATGCCTTCCCTACCAGGTCACTGAAGTGGGGAATAGGGAGACAGAACTCACCCGACTTTGTAAAGAAGAAATGTTCCATCTAAACACAGAGCGAGCCCAGAGACCCTGGAGTCCTGGAGGGAAGGAGAGCGGGCTGGGGGATCGTCGAAGTGGGGCACGCTCCCCGTTGAGGAGTTGTCCACATCCCCATCACAGCACTAGAAACATGGCATTTGGATGCTGTGCTTTAAAACAGAGTGAATTTCAACACATCTGGGGGCGGAACACCTAAGCGTCTGCCTTGGGCATCCTAGGTGCTTGGCACTTCCTCCAAAGTCAGAAACTGTTTTAAAAAGATTTTAACTCCAAAAGCAAAGTAATCAGAACACATGTGCCCACTCACATTTAATTAACAGCAACAACAACACAACTACGGAGCCTGGGAGCCCTGCTGTGTGGCTGTTGCCCGTCGCCAGTCTAGACCCTCCAACAGCCTGTACACCCTGCTGGCACGGCCACGTCCCGGGCATTTTCCTGTGGCCTGAGGGCTGCACAGGACAGGAGCCAATGTGCAGGCTGGGAGGCCAGGCAGCGCAGTGGCCTCCAGGCTCCTTTAGTGGGCAATCTCGTTGTTGTGGTTCCAGGATGGTGATCAACACGGAAAGCAATATTCTCATGTTCCAGTTCGAGAATATAAAGTGGCAGTACTTCCAGGAACGGGCCAAACAGAGGAAGAACAAGGACAGAGAGGAGGACAGGGAAGAAAGCAGCCTCACAGAAGTCCTCTCCAAAGCCAGCACTCAGGCATACAGCCTGAAGGCCTCCACATCCAGTAAACAGGTGGTGGCCCTGGAGTCCCTGCTCAGTAAGCCTCACAGGTCCCGTGTCCTGCTGAGGGCAGCCAGGTTCCCATCAGGTAAGAGGACAGACTCCCGGGGCCCCTCAGTGGCAGCCAGTGGGGCAGGTGACAGGCTCCCAGTACTAGTTTCTTTGTGGGATATTTTGGCCAGTGTTTTCTTGATGGTATGAAGTCCCTCCCTTGAAGGAAGGTGGGAGCAATTCTGTTGGATTTGCCAATCTGTTAGCCAGCTCCAGGAAACCCGCTGATTTTCAAGGCCTGAGTTTTCAGATGTATTGCAAACTTTGTATGGTAACTAACACTTGCCATTACAACAAAAAACAAACCACCAACATCTTCTCCCCATACCCCCAAGCTGAACACACAGTACATAATGATTTCTTAGGACAGACAAGATAGTATACTGCAGAAAAGTGTTCAATGCAGTGTGTTATCTCTAGACCCCTGACTGATAACCTGCATACCTGGAAGATATTAGTTATAAAGCAGGTACTTGGGCGTGTGTGCATGTGGGTGTGCAGGTATGGGGCGGAGTGGCGTGGCTCACTCAATTTAGAAGACACCCAAGGAATAAATTATGTGCGGGCTAGAGTAGGCAGACTCCTTTCCTTTACCTGCCCTGTACTTGGTGTGCAAAATTGGGCCCATGGATCAATAGATCTTGTCCCCGGCATATTACACTGCAAACGGTCAGCCAGGAGAGAGGTTTGCATAATGCCCAGAGCTGAGTACTCAGGAGGAAAAGCACGCAGGAGGGAAGTCAGGCAGTGACTGAATCCTTAGGCTCCAGGTGACTACCTAGTTTCCCCTGGAATAAGATAATAAGCAATAAGCAATAAGCTAATGGTTTGGGTGAAAACCAGTCAGGTGATCAGCTAGGCCCCCACTAGTCACACCTCACTGGATTGTGTATAATTCTCTGGTTTCCGCTTCAATTTGTATTTAGCAATCTCCACAGAGGAACTTCACGGTCAAGGAAAGCCAGCATCACCCCAAAGAGACAGCAAGAAGAGAGCGAGTCCTGTTTCTAAGGCAGCAAACGGCCTGGATGGTGGGCCGGAGAGTTCGGAGGCAAACGCCCTCGCAGGAGATAAGATGAACGGTGATGCTTTAGTCTGAACCAGCGGAAGACCCAACTCTCTCTCTCTCTGCTCCCCCCAGCCCCCTCCACCCTTCTCTATTGCTCAATCTAGTTATCGATCTGCTGTTGTCTGGTTTTTCAGCAGATCGATACTTTGCTTATTTTTAAGAATTCTGGGTGGATAAAATGCCCAGTTTTTCCTAAGGGTGATTGGTTTTACTTGTCTCTACTAAGTTGGGGCCACATAGCAGGTACCTTTGTAAGAGCCAAGTTTCCAATTTTGGACTCACAGCCTAACTCCCTTCCCTGCTGTGCATTCTCCTCGCTTCTTGGACTGTCATCGGTCTGAGGAAGGGGGCACAGAAGAAAGAACAGGCAGTTGCAGCTGATTTCAGAGGGTGCGTTAGGGGATTTCATGAGGAAGGAGCTAGGTTTGGGGACGGGTGCTATGTACGTGAGATACGGAGATGAGCGAGAGAGAGATGGGGAGGGAGCTTTTTAGAAGAGTTACTGGACATCACAAATAGTATGCCCCTTTGTTGTTTTTGAGAAACTTTGATAAAGATTTAAAATGCCTTTCCAATAGTTTTGGTTAATAGAATAGTGTTTCTTTGAATCAAACTCCCTGCAGAGACTAGCTTCAAGGTGAGGATGGAACGACTGCATTTTAGGAGGGCTCTGCTAACAGTGGGCACCTTTGTCTGCACCTGTGTGGGCACGCAGTGGTGTAAAGCCTCAGGGGTGGCGCTGCTGAGCCAAAGGATAATTTCATTAAAAAACTAGAAAGAGGTTGCCATGGTTGTCCTTTAAAAATGATGGGTCACTTTACCATCCTGCCAAGAATGAATGAGAGCTCCCACTGTACCCACGCCAGCACTAGGTCTCATCCGTCATTTTGTTCCCATTTGTATGATAAGTAAAAATGGTGTTTGCATTTTTTAAGGGTGATCACTTACACACTAAATGTCCATCAGTGGGCAATGACTAAGTAAATAATGAAAAATCCATGTTACGCCATATTCTACAACAGCTAAATTGTTATCATGAGGACCTCCCTATATTGACTTAGAAAGAGGTCCACAATATATTATACAAAAAAAGACAAGTTAATGGACAATGAGTCATCACAATTCCTTCTCATAAAAGGAGAAATAACTGTGTTTTCTCACGCATGTACATACACATGTGGAACAGCTTTCCCTGCAATTGAGAGGGGTGAGGGGAAGATTTTGACATCTTAATTCTAGTTTTATAAGTTTTAATAAAATATTATTTAATTCACAAAGTAAAAGTCAGGGAGAAGTTTGAAGTTTTATCCCATCCTAGTGTGTTCATATATAAACACCTTGGGATAAAACTATTTGATCAAGGAAAATTATATGCTTAACAAATGGCTGTATTTTATTTACTAATTATAGATTGGTATAGTATGGGGTACAGACTTTTCCTCTCAAGGTTTGACTAAAAAAATGACTTCCACTTACTATGACTCAGTTATTCCTTTTGTAAAATAGGAATAATGCATTCAGTGTATCCATGAAGTACTGTAGGGACTGAAAGGACCAAATGGAATATAATAGATTTGATATAATAGATCTGCTCACCTGTGAAGACATCCTTGTTCACTCACGGTCTTAGGCACTTTGGAGATCTTGACCACGATATACCGTGAAAGAATGAATCTCTGGTCTTTGTCAGCAGCTTTTGGACCCACTGATGTTGTTCAAACATTTTGGGAACTCCTGTTCAGGAACTGCCTTCTGGTCATGCTGTGATATTTAGCATTTCCCAGGGATGACATTCTTTTTAAGGCGATTTTGAATTTCAAAAATGTCCAAAGATCACTTGGAATCAAATTTGATTAATATGATGGAAATCAAATTTTGTGATTCACTTTTTCTTTAAAAACAGAGGTATGTTACTATACATGTATAAGGCCTGTTTTGTGGGAATCATAAAAGAGGTATGAAGTTTCAAAAATGTGGAGCACTGGGATCACATGTGTTTCCTGCAGAAGATGCATATCTACAGGTTAATACACATTTGCACACTAGTGTATTTGTTAAAGACTTGTTCTGTGGAATATGCCGTAACTGCTGGTATCATAGAGGACTTCTGCCCACATGACGGCATATCCATTAAGCAACAAAGACCTCAGTCTGCCTAGCAGTTAGAATTGATTTAATTTTTATGCATACATACTTAATGTTTTGATGGTACACTGATTTGTTTTCTTTCTTTCTTTCTTTCTTTTTGAAAAACAAGATGATGTGGAGAAAGTACCAAAACAAGAACTGGAAACTCCTGGAGACCTGACCAGTCCCTCAAATAAAAAGTCCTGGCAAATCCCCATGTTGCCAGACCGGTTCCTCCTGACCATTAATGCCCTGCAGCAAGCCCATAATTCACGGGAGTTTGCCTATCCCCGCAGGCCCCAGACCCAAGTCATTGACACCTGGGTGCCTTCAATTTCACACCCAAGGAAGGTCCTTAGTTTCAAAGGAAAATCAATACAACATGCAGTTGATAGGCTGAGAGCCAGCCACCCTCCCATAGATGTGAAACAAACCAGTATTCCCCTTGAAATTCAGACACTGCAGCCTAACTTGAAGAAGTCTTTGCACAGTTCCCGAGTCCAGTCCACCATACCCCAGCGCAGGATTATCCACACCAGGCTCGCTGGCCGCTTAGAGGGTGAAGACCGAGCAACCGGTTCAGTTGACAGGACAGTGCGCAGCGTCAGCCCCTTAACCAGCATGCAGGTCATTATGCCAAACCGCATGCTGCCTCCACCAGTAAGCAGGACAACCCAGTCTGTCAAGAAAGAACGGCCTCGTCTCTACACGGCCCTCAATCCCTTTAGAGTGAACACTGAATTCATGCTGTTGACTGTGAGGGAGGAGAAAGAGTATGAGGAAGCCAAGATGAAAGAATATCAGGCCAGAAAGCTCACCGGAGTGGTCAATCCAGACAAAGCCAGGAAAGCTGCTTGGATCAGGAAGATCAAAGGCCTGCCTATAGATAATTTCATGAAGCAAGGGAAAACAGCAGCCCCTGAACTTGGTCAAAATGTATTTATCTAAACCACCCTTGGGAAATTACAATGTTCTGCAATTAAAAGGAAACCAACTGGATGTTGGTGTTTGGCTTCTTGTTGTTGTTGTTTTTAATGTTCCCTGGCAGTTAACACGGGGACTCCTAATTATCTTCCCATGAACCAAAGAATTGATATTATCAAAGTAAGAAAGCAGAAGGAGGCTGGGAGACATTAGCCTCGTATTCCCACTGAAAACCATTCACTGAGACTATGGAAACCCAATTTTATGGAGGGGGGGGTGGGGAAGTGATCACTGGAAATTAAATACCACTCATCACTATCAATTAAGTACTATCATTTTTATAGCGAATGAATGGATACAATTGTATCAGAATAATGCATTGGAGTTCCTTGGTATTTTTGCATGGAAGCCTGATGAAGCTCAGTGAGTTAAGAATCTATAGCAGAAGCCCTCAATGGTGTTGACCGATTCCAACTGAGAACATTATGTATTCTTTTTCTTATTAGGACTAACTCCTATGAAAGAATATTAAGCAGACTTACCCTTTCTACAAAGGGAGTGGGCACTAATAACAAGTGTGTTGAGGTTTCTAGTTACACCTTCTTAGGATGGTATCAGGGTTCAGGCAGATAATTTAGAAGAGAGCATCTCACAAGGGCATGGCCCATTGGGGACCTCGAGTCCCATCCAAAGGGCATACCTCCTACTGAGCGGCTCAGCAGGGCCACAGGAGGCCGTGAGATAACAGAAAATACATATCGGCCCCTGCCCCGGCTCCTGGCACAGAGCTCCCTCACCCCTTGTACATTCCTAAGTGATAAGAGCAGTAGGAGTATCTTGTTCTAATGAGGTGACTTTGGGTGGGCTCCTGGATGGGGTCTGGCCACCAGGAAGACCAAACGATGATAAGAAGCTTGGCACTTTCAGCCCAGCCTCCCATTCTTTAGAGACAAAAAGAGGGGCTGGAAACGGAGTTAACGGTTGAACATGCCCGCATGAGGGAGCGCCACACAATCCCAACAGCAGGGGGTCTGGAGAGCTTCGAGGCCGGTGAACACATCCCCTCCCGGGAGGGCGACACACACCAACTCCCCCGGAGCTCCTGAGCTCAGGACCCGCCAGACCTCGCCCTCTGTCTCTCTTCATCTATCTGTTCATCTGAGTCCTTTATCATATCCTAGAATACACTGATAACCGTAAGTGTGTTCTTGAGCTCTGTGAGCTGCTCTTGCAAGTTAATCTCACCTGAGGAGGGGTCCTTGGAACCTCTGATCTATAGCTGGCTGGTAGGAAGCACAGGTTATAACCTGGGCTCGTGACTGGTATCTGAATGTGTGTGTGTTTGTGTGTGTGAGGGAGAGTCTGGTAGGACTGAGGAGCCCTTAACTTACTGTGTGATCTGATGCTATCTCCAGGTATATTGTGTCAGAATTTAATGAAATTTAGTAAAGACACACAGGAGAGAAACACAATAGGGGAGAACTGTCTCCCCCTGCCCCATACAGATGATTATGAACTCAAATAGAATGCAAAACAAAAGCAACAAAAATCCCAACGCCGCAAAACCCCGCAATGTATATTTTGGATGGGCCACCAAAAATATGGCATGGGCAGTCTAGGTGTACAGGTAGCCTGTTCACAGCCTCCACTTTCCACTTCCAAGTGCAGGAATACAATTGTTTGCCAAATTGAAAAAAAAAAAATTCTCATGATTAGGTTTAAAGTAGCATTGGAAAATAGCAATGTAAAAATAGAGGTATTAACAGAAGAATCCTCTCAGTTAAGGAAATGTGCTAGTATGCATTATTCCATGAGCCTTGAAAAGCACCGTGACCCGTAAGCCACACAGATAGGACGTTGCTAAAATCAGGGTTCAAAGATGACTTACCGTCCCTGAATTTCAGGCCCTTCCCATGGGCCAGACTGTTCCCGAACCGAACCCGCAACTGATGTGGGTTCTTGTCTCCCCAAATAAAAAATTTAGCTCAGGGATGCTGATGATGAAAATTAAGATTCATTTCAGCTCTGCAGAGAGAGGAAACTGGCAATCAGAACCAGACTCCTGCCTGCGTGCGAACGCTCAGGCTTTTTACTGGGTCCGGGAGGGTGGGAGTAGGTGCTTCCGTTTTTGGTGTGAGTTTCTATGGCTACAGGGTGCTGACCAACGTTATTTTCTTCCCACAGGTGCACCCCGGTCTTGTTTTTCTCCTTCTTTAAGCCCTGTGAATAAGCTCAATAGAAATAGTTTATTTTGTGTTTCTCTTGTGATTTTCAGAACAGGATCACTGAATTAATTTCTCTTCCCCTCCCTTCCTTGGTGTGTTATCTGTCCTGCCTAACATTCCTCTCTTCCCTGGACACCTGTGGTCTGTCGCAACTGCAAGAAGTATCAAAGGAAGCCCCCAGACGAGGGTGATTTAAGGTACCCATTCTCCAGTCAGAGAGGAGAATTATAAACCACTAGCTCCCTTGGTTACGGGGAATAAGGTATTGAGATTTACCATGTGACTGTAAGCTGCTCAAAACTGTTTGGCCTTGTTCAATTTTTTTTTTGTATTTGCCCACTCCACTTGCCCAGGAATTTTCCTAGCTTCTTACTATCCTATATTGTCACAATGTCACACCATTAGCAGCTAAACTTAAAACAGCAGTGAGAATACCATCTTCTATTTACTACCCACTTACCTTGTAGGAGACCATTATCAGACCCATTTTACAACTCAGGAAAGATGTACATGGAGGTTAGAGCATTGGCACAAGGGTGGAAGTGGGGCAGGCTCAAAATGAGATGCTCAAACTCTGGCGCTCAGCTCTCAACCTTTCTGTTTTTTACTGTTTCCCAGTGTCCGGTCTGTTTTCCTCCCATAATAAAACCCTTCATTGTTTACTCAGTCCTCCTGCTTTGTTCCTCTTAATAACCTTTTACCCCTTCTGGGGAGCACAATAAATTTTTTTTTCAATTGCTTCTAAAATATAAGTTACAAAGATGATACTATACAGGAAAATATATCCAGAAAGCCGTTCAAACAAAACGCAACTATGGAATAATAAAGCCTTCTACCTTCATCCCGCCTTCAGGATATCGATGCTGGTGGAAATGACAGCTCTTAGGGAACAACAACATCTCCACGCGACAAACCACGAAGCTTTCACTCTTAGACCAATACAGGGACGGGGATCCTTTCCCAGCTGGTTTTTCGCTCGGTCTTGGATCAGCACTCGCCCTAAGTGGCAAGGCTTGCCCTGATCTATAGCCGTCCAGCCCACTTTCTCGCCAAGGCCCCGCCACGCCGCGCGACCCCGCCGCCCGTCCCGCTTTCCCCCTTAGCAGGCATTTGTAGACCCTACGCGCCTCTCCCAGACCCAGCGTTAGGCGTACGCCCGGTCTCCAGCTCCGGGGTCGCCCCGCCCACTCCCTTGTAGCAGCTCCAGCGCCCCGCCCACATGCTCGCCCCGCCCCCGTATATGCTCCTCCTGCAAGGCGCCTAGAAGCGGAAGTGGGAACGGGCAGGAGCTGTACGTTGGCCCCTCCCGGCCTGACGTGGCGCCCGGAAGTGGGATAGGCGCTGGGCCGCGATGTTGCAGCAGGTGAGGGGCTGTGGGGCGTCGTGAGGTTGGCGGTCCCTGGGGACTCGTCCTGGAAGGTGGTGGGGCGCCAGTGGAACGGCCTGGGGCCATTGTGTCCGCCTCCCGGCTTGCTGCCGGAGTCGGAGGAGGGGCGGGACGGGCGGAGGGCCGCGGGCCGCTCTCCGGGGACGCGGCTGGGCGCCCCGAAGCCCTGGTGGACGGTGACCCAGGTTGTGCTGAGCGAGAACAGATCCCGTGCGGAAAAGCGCGTCGTCATCACGCGTGGAGCGCTGGTCGCTCCGGTGCCGGCTCACAGAGGCGCCCTTGCGGCAGGTGGCGGTGGGCTTCTCAGCTGCGCGTGGACGGACAAGTGCGGGGGAGCAGCCTGACCCCTCGGGGTGCGCTGCCACCTTGTAGTAATAGGAGGCTCCGCCGGGGCCTTGCTTTCACGTTTACTTGCCAGACACCTTGAATTGAGGGCGGTTAATGGTTTTAATTACAGTCCACAACTTTACAACCAGACACTAGAATGAATAATTAAATACTCTCTTCCTATTAAAAAAAAAATACTGTAAAGTGCACTTTAACTTAGATTCTCAAAGGTTTTTTTTCCTCCCCTTGTTTGAGGGATTGCTATGGCCCAGGCACTGCTGTTACTGAGGCCCCCTGTTAGAAACACAGCGGCCACTTTTCCGTTTTCATCTTGTGGCCTCTGCGTTCATGGTCTCAGCACCTTCCCGGACTCCGACCCTCCTGTGTTTCTCTTATCAGGACCATTTTAATTACACCCCTGGGGCCACTCGGATGGTGCCCATCTCAACATCCTTAATTTAATCACTTCTGCGAAATTGGTTCTGCCAAGTAAATGTCCAGGATCTCGGGCTGCTTTGGCGCAGGGAGCGGAAGCTCGCTGGGGCCGCCGCCGCAGATGCGGGGGATGGCCCGGGCGAGGGCTGAGAGCGGGGCAGGGGCCGAGAGCGGGGCAGGGGCCGGAGCGCGGCGCCGCGCCGCAGGAGTCGGTGTTTCAGCCAAAGTGCTGTGGGTATCAGACAGGAATGATACGGCCCAATGTGAAAGGGTCACCTTGGCTGCGGGGTGGAGATGGGACTCCGGATCAAGAGCTGCATACAGCAGATCTCAGTCTTGGCTGCACGTTATCCCCATCTAGAGAGCCCAGAAAAAATCCTAATGCCCAGACCACACACCTGAACCTCGGGGTGGGACCCAGGTATCCATTTTTTTGAAAAAAATGTAATTCTTTCATGTAATTCCAGCTTGTAGCCAGGGTGGAGAACCACTGGTCTTATAGATCTGAATGCATTTTACCTTTCTAGCTTTAGTTCCTGCTTCACCTCTTCCACCTCTCACTTACTCTGTGGGTTCCTTGGGCATTCCCTATACATACGTGTGTGCCCTCACTTCTGTGCCTTAGAAAATGTGCCTGGTCAAGGGACTAGAGAGAGCAGGAGACTGACTTGTTCTGTCCAGACCCCGCCGATTAACTGCCCTCAGGAAGCTTCTCCAGAGCCTCTTCCCTGCGCTCCCGTCTGCACCTACGTTTCTCTAGCGCTGACCCCAGTCTGCTGCGTCTCACGGGCAACCGTCACCTTTGTGTCCTTTGTGTCCCGCAGGCTTCAGCAAACAGTGGGCGCTGCCTCACCTGGCGCTCTGCTAACCCCAGAGCCCTCCAGTAGCTTAGCGTCTGGATGGAGGTAGGAGTAGGCTTGCAGGAAGAAGACCCGGAAATACTTGTTCAAAGGGCGATTTGTTCAAGTGCTGTGGGAACAGGGGAAACGGTATGCCTGGGGATTTCAGGGGAAGTTTCTCTGCTAATTCAGTATTTCAGCTGCAGTTTGAAAGATGATTTGGTGTTTGCCTCAGGGTGTGCTGTGTAGGGGATGGGGGAAGGGAAGAGCTTTCTGAGCAGAGAAAATATGAAAGGCAGGAGGAGGGGAGAGGTCAACGTGTTTTCAGGACACTCAGTAACTATTGCTGTACTGTCCAGCGGGAGGGAGGGTCCTCAGGTGAGTAGGGGGATCAGATCATGAGATCTGTGCTATGTGTGCAGGAGTTCAGTTTTACCCTTTACATGGAGCGGCACCATAGAAAAATTGGGGCAGGGAGTGATGTGGTTCCATGTCACTTCCATGTTGGGAGGTTGACTCAGTGAACAGTGAGAGGCTAGAGTAGAGCTGGACATGTGGCTAGAAATGGAGGCGCGGAAGCTGGCGAGTGGTTGGCACCAGTAAAGGGGTAAAGAGCAGATCTGTCGTGGTTGAGGCTGAAGGTGAATTGCAGTGAGTTGAAGTGTGAACCATTCTTAGAAGCCTAAAGTTGTGAGAGGAAGGAGCACTATAAGAAGGAAAGTAGAAGATAGAAGGAGAAAGTCAAGATCAGGGTTTTTAAAAAATCTTTTTCGTGCTATAAAGCAGTGGTCCCAAACTTTCAGGGACCGGTTCCATGGAAGGAGGGGGTGGGCTTTACTCTGCTCAAGGCCAGTTCCTAACAGACTGGCACTGGGCCTCCGACCAGAGGTTGGGACCCCTGCTACAAGAGAACCCTGAAGAAGTTTGTATGCTAATTAGAAAGATCCAATAGAAACCTTTGAAGTTGCAAGAAAGTATAAATGAAAGGAAAATTGATAGAACAAGCCTCTCAGGAGGCAGGAAAAGAAGTGATTCTGGGCACAAATAGTTGATTTTGCTTTGGAGAAGAAGAGTTGTGAGAAGGGGTCAGGGCAACAAGAACGCAAGTCAGACGATTCTATGAAAGAGCCAAAAATACTGAGTGTGTCCCCGGTAGGCTCAGCGGTCTCTGACTTTGCAGGAGCATCGCCTCCACCCTGGTGGATTTCTCACAGGGCTCGATGGCCCGGGTAGGGACGAAGACAGCAGGTACTTGGATTAGCACGTGGGGCTTCTGCCAGGTGATTGGGACGAGGATGAAGGAACCGCACATGCCCTTTTCCTAGGCTGCGAATTCCAGATGGCTTTGACCGTGTCCTAATCTTGTCTTCCATTCTGACTCGCATGCTGCCTTGCATGCAGTCGGCATGCACATACTGCATTCATTTTGCCTCATGGATATTTAATTTTCTTATTAGGACAGTAACGATGACGCTGAAGATGTTGCACTGTTTGATGCAGAAGAGGAAACAGCTAATAGACCCAAAAAATCCAAAATCAGGTATGAAGATAACTTTGAGGAGTTGTGTTCATGTCCAGTGCCGTTCTGTGTGTAGACTGCTGTCAGCTGATGGGACCCAGGGCAGAGGGGTTGTGATGTACGTGTGAATATTGTATAGCACTAGTATGATCTGTAGTCTGAGACAAAAATGGCGTTTCAGATTTTCTTTGAAAATAACTGGCATATGGAATTTTACTCAGTACTGAGTGTTCACGTCTGCAAATCCAGGTAAGGGAACACTAGTATGTTAATTCTAGCTACTGTTTACTAAAAAGACCATTTCTTTAGGTGGTCTCTGTACATGCATCATGACATTTTGATTTATTTTGCAAATTTCAAAATTGCATCTTTTATATAAATACCGTGAGAATGTCAAGCCAAACATTTCTGTTCCAGATTTAGTTCCCGCTAAAGAAATTCATTTAATGGAATCAAATTCTACCTGAACCTTGAAAACATTATACTGAGAGATGCCGGTTACAAAACACCACATATTGTACAATTTCATTTATGTGAAATGTCCAGAATAGGCACATCTGTAGAGACAGAATGTACACGAATGGTCGCCGCGGTCTGGAGAAGGGATGGGGCTGGCGGTCATGGGGCTGGCTTTGGGCAGTGAAGAGTTCGGCCGCGCATTGTGGTGTTGGTTGCACAGTCTGTGGATGCATAAAAAACCATGGAATTACACGCTTTATATAGGTGAGTTGTATGGTATAGGTGTGTATCTCAATAAAGCTGTCAAGAAAACTGCACTTCCTGATGGTTACTTTGCCTTCATGCCTGAAGTGATTTCTGAGGGCCTTGAAATTCTTTTGTCGTGATTCTGGGACATAGAAAAACAGGACTGAGTCCCGAGAGTATGGTTTCAATATTTCTCCAAACATAATAAAGTTTCTTCTCATGTATTTTGTGAAAGTTTATATTCACCGAGGTGCTAATCTCATGTTTACATAGTGGATTTGCTCTGACAGCAGGGCTTGGTCAAATAGTGGGACTTAGGGAAAAAGAGAGGTATGCGGTTTGCTTCTTCCCCAAGTCATCTCTTTTATTTTGACCAAACTGCATGGTTATGCTATGGCTGAAGCATTTTTCATCTACATCCGCAGTACCTGTCTAAGTGTAATTGCATTTCTTTTTTTATGTTTTGGTTTTCAGACATCCAGTGGCATCATTTTTCCATTTATTCTTTCGAGTCAGTGCAATTGTAGTCTATCTTCTCTGTGAATTGTTCAGCAGCAGCTTTATTGCCTGTATGGTGACAATTATCTTGTTGTTGTCATGTGACTTTTGGGCAGTCAAGGTAGGTTTGATTATTTTTCTTTGAAACCATTTAATATGATGAGATTGAATGGCATATAAACAATAAAAAAATGAAACTTAGCATTTTGGGTTTGCATTAAATTATCTTTTTGTTCGAGTGCCAGGTATGTCAGATCACAGGCAGGTTATCCTACTTGCTTGTCTGTGCCTTATGTCAGCCTACGTCGGCTTTGCAGTTAAACAAATAAATGTGACCAGCAGGCGCAGGCCCTACACAGTGCTTCTCATCCAGTTCACTGCCTTTGCTTCAGGGTCACCTCCAGCTGTGCCGTATATGATTTCTAGAAAGACCCCAGGATAGTTTGTTCACAAAAGCTCCAGGACTACCCATCATTTGTGAAGGCTCTAGGGCAGTATTTCTCAACCAAGGCTAATTTTGCGCCTTGTCACATATGTCAATGAAGACATTTTTAGTTACCACCACTGAGGTGGGGGAAGTGTGCTGTTTGGAACATCGAATGGATAAAGCCTAGGGATGCTTCCAAACATCTTAAGATGCATGGATAGGACAGCTCCCCACAGCAAAGAATCATCTAGCCCATAATGTCAGTAGGGCTGAAGTTGAGAAACCCTGTTGTAGAGGATAGAGAGGAGCGTAAGAAGTGGTTTCCAACTCAAAGGCAATGAGTAGAGGGATGGATGGATAGATAGGCACATAGACGGGTGGGTATGTGATACAGTAACTTTTAAAATATTAGCTGTAGGCCCTATGTGTTCACCATAAAACTAGACTTGTCTACGTGTTTGGAAATTTTCATAGCAAAATGGTAGGTGAGAAAGTCAAAGGAAAAAAAAGTAAAAGCCGATTTTGGAATTCAAGAGACATGTGTATTGCTTCAAAGGCCAGTAAGATGTTACAAGTCTTCACAGCCCCCAGCTCGGCCGCTTCAGATCTTTTGATTCTTGCAGATACCAGAAGTGACTGGCTTGCTGGCAGCTGGTTTCCATAGGCCACGAAATGCTGAGAATGAAGACTACAGAAGTCTCTTTTCTTCAGGCTTTTCTTTTGTACGGCCCTCTTTGGCTTGTTTTTCTTTGAATTTCGTCTGTTGCTTTATGCTCTAAAGCGTTTACTGTATCCTGGTCACAATTTTGTCTTTGAAGAATGTTCCTTTTTGTTGTTCATGTAATTTCTGTTTAGCCACATAGAACATGGCCTTTATGCAGTTCTTCCTGGTAATTTATACCAAGTTCTTATAATTAAATGCCAGTGGGTTTAGGGTTTTAAAAAATGGAGCCTAAAAGCATATTTTTTGATAAGTTGCCTTTTTTTTTTTTTTAATGAGGGCTTAAAAATGTCACCCTTTTATCTGTGGCAAAATTACTTACAGATACCCAAACAAACATTAGATGGAGCACGGTTAAAAAGTCAAGATGGGGAAGTTATTAAATGAACTTGAGAAGCGGGGTAGGCAGGGTTCCACACTAGTTAGAGCATAGATGGGTCATAATTATTATACATCTCAATGCAGTTATCAAAAGAAGAGATAGAATCATTAAAAAATAAAATAGATAAATAAAAGGGTAAAATTATTTTAAAAAATTTTTTAAATTTAAATGTTATTGCCTCTGGTGCTATTGTTTTATTCCTTATTCCAATGGAGTAAAAAATGTTAAATAATGGTTTTAAAATTTTCATGGTAACTATTAATAAAATTTAAAATAAGTTGTGTATCTTACTGGAGAAGATAAGAGCAACTAAAACATAGTTTATGAAGCAAGAGAATGAAAGAAAGCACATGTCAAGGAAGCTCAAGTATCACAAGACATAGTACAAGGAGAGTGACGGAAGTGGCAGCAAATTTGTTACAGCAGTAAATGTAATTAGATTACACTCTCTTTTAAGAGAGTAGAATTTTAAGATTGGGTCAAAAATCAAAAGTCCAACCAAAAAGTTCTAACTAAAATCATGACATTAGAAAAAGGGTAAAAGGCAAGGATAACATCAGACCAATTCAAACAAAAAGAAACTTGGCATTAGAATATGATCATTAGACAAAATAGAAATGTCAGTAACAGCATTCAGTGGGACAAAAAAGGTCATTTTATGAATGACAGTGAGGTTCACTCACAAAATTCAAATACGCCAAATTATGCGCAGTAAAAAACCCAGAAACACTAGAAGAACATGGAGGGAACATTACTGTGGTAGGGGCCTAACAAGCCACTGCCTCTGATCAATCAAAGCAACAAAAAATAAATGAGGTCTAAAGGATCTGAATGAAACAGCAAGGTCAATTTAATAACAGTATTTGGAACTTTTTATGTACAAGGATAATTTAATGACAAGAGTTCAGTTCCTGTGCAACATTTGCACAAATTAAATGTCACTACAAAGAAAATTGAAATAAATTGTTCGAAGCACATACATTTTCTAGCCCAGTGCAACAAAACTAGAAATTAATAAAAAACAGTTGTGAAAACTGGAATTTTAAAAAGAGCCAACCTGATAAATATCTTGGCTTATAAAGAAAACAAAAACTCTAAATAATAGATTATACCTAATGACATTTAAAAACTATAAATAATAGATTATATCTAATGATAATGATCATATATATATACATATAAACATTGGGAATGTGCATGAAGCTGAATTCAGAGCAAAAAAAAATAGACTAAAGGCTTTTATTATTAGAGGTCCAGAATTTTTTAAATTAAATTTTATTTTTAATTCTCACCTGAGAATATGTTTATTGATTTTAGAGAGAGAGAAAGGGGGAACGAGAGAGAGAGAGAAAGAAAGAGAGGTATTTATCGGTTGCCTTCTGTACAAGCTCTGACTGGGGATCGAACCCACAACCTAGGTATGTGCCCTGACCAGGGATTGAACCTGCAGCCTTTTGGTGTACAGGACGATGCTCCAACCAACTGAGCCAAGCAGCCAGGGCAGGTCCAGAAGTTTTAAAAACAAAAGCAGTCAGCTTGAAAGAAATTAGGAAAATAAGCTAATATTGATAAAAGTAGAAAGTAAAGAATTGGGAAATGGGAAAATAGAGGATGAAATATTCTAAGAGGTATTACTTGAAAATGCCAATAAAATAGACCTTGGGCTGGTCTCGGTCTTTGCCAGATCTCCATTTTTAGCTTGGAAATGTTACCATTTCCTCAAAATGAATTGCAGTCTTTAAGACACCTCCTTTTCTTCTTTATTCTTTTCCTAAGAACTACCTTCGTTGCTTCTGGTTTCGGGTGCGTATCTCTAAGCCAGGTTGCCTCAGAGATCTGCAACCCCAGCCCAGGTTTGTCCTTGCTGCTCCAGACCTATCCAGCTGTCTTCTTGACATTTTCACTTGGCTTTCTTGGAGGCACCTCAAATTCAACATGTGTAAAATACTCCTTGTCGTCTCCCAGCTGTTCTTCCACTAGCATTTCCTTTCACAGGGACTTGAATCAACCTTTTTTTTTTTTAACATGAGCAAGCCAAAAATATATGAGTTGCCTTCTTCAAACCCCATATCAAGTTAATCATCAAGTCCCATGAGCCGGTAGATTGTGCTTCCTGCCTGAGGCCTCCATGCCTGCTTACCTGCTGGGACTGTTCTCTTTCACACGGTACCTCAGCACAGGGCTTCCTGATCTTTTTGTGCCATGGATTCCTTTAGCAGTCTTATGAAGCTATGAGTAGTGTTTTTAAATACATAAAAGAAAACACATTAAGAATGAATATCACTACGGAAGTCAAAGGAAGTAACTTATATTGAAATATAATGAAAACATTAAAAAGGCAAATTTCTAATTTAGTGGTATGTACTTTATTCATGCATTAAATAGCAAGATCTAGTAGCAGGCTTAATTACTTTGAAAGCAATGATGAACACAAACCATATTTTGTGATATCTGCAACAAGTATAATATGAAAAATATCTGTGGTTTTTATTGTGACAAAACTGCAGGTACTGTTAATTCTACCGTGGCTAACTGTCTATATTCATAATTTAAAGGTAAACTAAATTTTAGCCAGAAGTTAGTGAAAATAAACAGGATTTTCCCCCAAGTTCGGAGAACCCCTGACTTAATGGACACCACTGATTAAAAATTTCTTGCATTACTGATTCCTACTTATCCTTTAAATTTCATTCCCAATGTTGCATCTTCAGAGACACTTTCTGATTCCTGACAAGATCGTTTTTCCCTGTTAGACTCATGAAGCCCACACTTGTTCCTCACAGAACTTAGCATGTTTGGTAATGGAACATACGCACATTGGTTGACTCTCTTCTCCACAGCACTTAAATCTCCACGAGGATAGGAAACGTACCTGCTATCGCCATATTAGTACATGCTCAATAAATATTTGTTGAGTAAATAAGCATTAGGAAAGCTATCGTAATTTGTTAGTAAGAGGAAGAGAACTTGGCACCTTTGAGGTACTGAGTGAAGGGCAGCACCTGTAACCATTGCCTTCGGCAGTCGAATGCTGTCTCTTGATTCCTGTAAGGTCACTAATCCCATGTAAGAGGGCTCCACCCTCATGGCCTCAGCTAATCCTGATCACCCCCTAATATCACATGGTGGGGGATAGAGTTTCAACATATAAATTTGGGGGGACATAAACATTCAGCCCATAACAACGATTTTTAGAGATACACAGTTATAAAATATATAGCGCTATGTCAGGATACCTAGGAAAGATAGGCCAGAGTGCTAAAGAGCAAGGGGCTTAGCAACACAGTAGGGGTGGGAGGATGACGAGTCCAGGAGGGACAGGGGAGGGGAATGTTGATGGAGATGCCTACGCGGTCCCCTCCGTCCTGCTGGCCCTGCCGTTGTCATTTTTTCATCTTTTCTCCAGGCCTGGTATGTCAGGGTATAAAACAATATTATGGAGGTAGAGCTGATGCTGCTTTGTTTGTGAAAGGTTATGCTAAGATATGACTTTATGGTAGATCTTTAAATAATGTTTTTAAAACATGTGTGTGATATTAATCTTTACCAGAATGTCACAGGTAGACTAATGGTGGGCCTGCGTTGGTGGAATCATATTGATGAAGATGGAAAAAGCCACTGGGTGTTCGAGTCCAGGAAGGTAGGCCCCTCCCTCCCCCTTCTTTGAGTGCTAATCAATAAATTAGGTGTAGATTATATTTGAATATTTATGGGCAAAGTATTTAAGATTACAAATACTATCCCAAACATTGAGCATGTCAACCCTAAGCCATATGGCCTAAAACTAATTATATTTTTCTGACCAGTTCAGACCGGAAACAATGTGGGTGTAGGAAGCACCCGCAGAGAGTGGACTTACACGGTGTGCTCAGCTCTCTGCTAGGGGCTGCTGTCTGATGACCCTCAGCTTTATGGTGCCAGGCCTCGGATAACTGCGTCTAGCAGCTTGCTCGGTCCTTGCCCCCGTGGTCCTTTTCCATTGTGGGCAAGAAAGAGAAGTGGAAGGATTGCAACCGGGCAGAATATCTGAATTGATCAGCAGTCTATTCTTTACGTTGGAACCTCGGGGGCCCTGGAGCACCCTGCCCTGTTTTGGGTTGGCCGGCTTACCTACAGTGAGCATTGTTTCTCGGTGGACATCAGTTTGGGTGGCAGATGACAAAGCCCATGGAGACAGCACCAGTGCGCTTGCCTTCCGCTCGGAACATCCTTGCAGGCATTTCTCACAGAGCAGTCATTTGCTCAGTGAGCCCATGTTCCTTTGTATTATAAAGTCTACCTTATACACAACTCAGCGCTCTTTCAAATTCCTCAGTTTTGCTAAGATACTCTGGTCATTGTTCGAGTCCCTTAATTCCATTTGTTTTCCTGGACCATGATCTGACCATTTAGGAGGATCGTAGCCTTGATTTCCTGGACCCTCCCCTGAGAAGGTGCCATTTAACGCTGCCCTGTGACTGAACAGTGTAAATGCAAGAAGAATCGAATCGAAGCCTATCCCTGCAAACTTCTTGATTTAAAACAAAGTATATTAAAACCGGTTCCTAAAATTACAGTAGTGATAGATCTACTAAATGTTTTTCTTTGTGGAGGAGGGGTTTCCAACTTAGGACTTGGGTTGTCTGTGTTAATTTATTTGAACTTGAGGGTAAGATGTTTTTCATCAGAAATGTTAAACTTCATACTGATACCAAAAACCATTGATTATTAAATTCATATTCTTTTCTAGGCATCCTCTCAAGAGAATAAAACGGTCTCAGAGGCTGAATCGAGAATCTTCTGGTTAGGACTTATTGCCTGCCCTGTGCTTTGGGTGGTTTTCGCCTTCAGTGCCCTCTTCTCCTTCAGAGTGAAGTGGTTGGTGAGTACCAGGGCAGAGCTAGGGCACCATTGGGGCGCCTGCAGGGTAATCACAGTAAGCAGCCGTCGAGGCTAACATTAGGGACCGATGTTGACTAGGCAGCTTGATCATGTATTTCCCAAGTTTGATTTCCCACGTCTGCTTTTTAGGTATTGCTGAGCAGAGTCAGGTGAAAGACTCCATGCACCAGTTCTCCAGGTGCCTAGGAGAATTTTAATTGAACCCACCTTGTATGGAGATGGCCAGATTAATCACATTATTACCTTGTTGGATGAAGATGTTCAGTGAATTCCAAACAAACATGTTTAGCTTAATTTGGAACTAACAGAGTAATCTTTTTGAAAATGTTGGTTGGTAATCTGTTCTGGCTCTCTATGCTTATATGGTAAATGTTGTCAAAACTTAGTGGCTTAAAACATCAACAGTCATTTTATGATCTCTCACAGTTTCTTTGGTTGCGGAGCCTGGGAAGGGCTTGTGTGGAGGTTCTAGACCTTAACGTAGAGCAGTCAGCGTCCTGCAGCCGTGGCTGGAGAGGCTGGGAGCTGTGAGGCATCTCCTCTTCATCAGTCCCGAGGCCTCCTGTGTGCTCTGAACATATGGCCTGGGCTTCCTCATGGCCTGGTGGCCCCGTGGCGGGCAGACTGCGTCCTGGCGGGTCCAGCTCCAATTCAGTGTTTCAGCTCACAGTCTGAATTACCTTTTGCAACTGTATGTGTTCACTCAGGCTACCGTAACAAGATACCACAGACTGGGTGTCTTAGACAACAAAACTTATTTTCTTACAGCCGTAGAGCCTGGAAGCCTGTCCAGTGCTTCGGGTGATATCTGCCTTCAGGCGTAGGCAGGGTTTGTTTTTTCTGAGACCTCATTCCTTGGCTTGTAGATGCTCATCTTTTCCCTGTGTCCTCATGGTCTTCCCTCTGTACGTGCCTGTGTCCTCTTTTCCTCTTACAAGGATGTCAGTCATATTGGATTAAGGCCCACAGTGACTTCATCTTACTTTAATCACCTCTTTAAAGACTCCGTCTCTAATTGTGATCGCATTCAGGGATACTGGGTTTAGGACTTCAACATACGCACTTTCAGGGAACACCATTCAGCCCATAATAACAACCTAGCGCAGAAGCCACAACATCACTTTGCCACCTATTCATATTCAAGGGAATGGGAATTAGGCTTTACACCTTGATGGAGCGGGGAGGGTAGAGAAGTTTCTAGAAGAGCATGTGGAACAGGCAATATTATTGCTACCATCTCCAGAAAATGTAATCTGTTACCCCAAACTGTGAGTCTTGTTCTTTTAAAAGTTAAGTTTGTCTCACTTATTGATAGCAGATATGTTTTAGCCTTATTTTTTTTTCCTTATTTTTTATTATTTTCTTGTCTCTGTTTTGCTCTATAGGTTCTCTTTTTCTTTGTGTGTACATATACATAAATACTTTCCTTTTTGCGATTCGGAAGCTTTATTGTCTACTTCTAGTTTTTCTAGTATTTATCTTTACTACATGCTTGTATCATACATTCTTTCATAAATTAGGAAATGTACTTAATATCTGATTTCCTGCTATGGGATGGAGATGGTGAAGCCAGCACTCATGGTTTCTCCCGCCTTTCCTCCCTGCTTCCTCCTCTGTATTTTGTTGATTGTATAGTTCACTCTTGAACAACATGGGGGTTAGGGGTGCTGACCCCCCCACACAGTTGAAAATCTGTGTAAAGCTTTTGACTTCCCCAAAACTTGACTACATAGTCTTGTCTTAGTTATTTTAAGTAATACACTTAAACCTGTTTATAGACTTAACAGACTCCGTTTAGAAAAAGGAAATGAAATACTCTTTACACTTTTTTGTTTCTATCCTTTCTATCACCTGAGTTTTGTTTATTCCACTATTATTCTTGTTGTCAAGGTTTGTAACAGTTACCTTTCGAACAATTTCTGACTGTTCAGTCTTTTAAAATACAGTATTTTATTTTACTACAGTATTTTAAAATACATTGATTGAAACTTTTTATTGCAGCTTTTCCTTTTACCTCTTGGATGGTTAGCTACATTTCATTGTTGGGTGATTTTTTCCAAAAAACTTATAGGTGTTACTCTCCTTTGGCTCTGTCATGTTTAAGAATATGAGCCTAGTGACTTTATCCTTGAATGACGACTTGGCAAGGTGAATATCTTGGGTCACAGCTGCTTTTGTCATTTAGAAGACACCATTTCATTATTTTCTTATATCGAATTTTGCAGAGAAATCTGAGGCCAGGCTTACTTAATCTCCATGTAAGTGAGTGAATCATTTTTCTCCCTGGACAAAGAATTTTTTTTATTGTTGAAGTTTTAAAATATCAAAACCAGAATGTCCTTGTGTATATCTTTCTAGATTGATTTTTCTGGAAACTGTGTGCCCCTGTAATATGCAGCTGCAGATTTTGCTTTGAATCAGGAAAATTGTCTTCTGTTAAGTCTTTAAGTTTATTTGCATTCTATTTTTGTTTGTTTGTTTGTTTGCTGGATCACTTTTATCTGTTCTCATCTCCCATCTTTAATTTGCCTTGAGCTCTAAGTTTTCTTCTGTTTATTCACTCAGCAAATATTTTTAAGGGTCTCCTGTGAGCAGACCTGTCCCAGGCACCGGGGTATTGGTGGCGGCTGGATAAACAGGTAACTGCCCGGGTCGGCTGACGCTCTCCCAGGGGATAACGTGGACGCACAGTAGCTCCTAGATAAACGATGCAGAGCAAGAGCAGAGTGTGCAAGGGCGAGAGCGGGGGTCGCTCCGCACGGGGAGCCTTCTCTCCCTACGTCCGTAGCTCTGCCGGCTCTGTCCTCATCTCCTGTTGTTATCTTGCCTTCATTCTCTTTGACTTCTTGCCTTCAGGTTCTTGCATGGGGCAAGGTATTCCCAGGAATGCTTTGTATTTTGGTGGACTGTGCTTCTTCAGAATAGATTCTTCACCTGTCTCTTGCACACTGTGTTCTTTATTTTTACTTGTTTGTTGTAGTATTGCATAGATGCCCTTCCACTTTGCCCCTTGCAGGCAGCTCTGCCCAGACCTTCTCTTTATGCTGGCATCGTGTGGGTGAATTCCCCTGACGGATGGCCTTGCCACGTATCTGAGTGACCTGGGTTCTGCCGGGGGCCAGACTTCGGAGGCCTGAGGCTCAGGCGTGAGGGGGGAGCCCAGAGCCAGGCTTCGGGCGGCCTTGTCTGGCTTGCTGGGGCTTTGCCTCTTTATGAAGCGGAGTCTTGCTTCCTGGTTGGGTGTGTGCTCTGTTGGGGTTCTCCCCTTCTGCTTTAGATCCTTCGTGAGGCCCTGGAGCCTTAGCATCCATCTGGGAGAGTCAGGCCAGTCTTTCATTTTTTTCTCCTTTATTTTTATTGTTGGCACTTTTGCTGATGTCCCCACTTTCCTCCTCGTTGTCCCCATCTCCCAGCCCCAGCTCCCCTTTCCCTCTGGCCATCACCACACTGTCGTCTCTGTCCGTGGGTCATTCTTACATGTTCTTTTCGTTAATCCCTTCACCTTCTTCCTTCCAGTCTTCCCCTCGCCCCTCCCCTCTGACAGCTCTCAGTCTGTTCCAGGTAACCACGCCTCTGTTTCTGTTTTGTTGGTCAGTTAATTTTGTTCATCAGATTCCACATACAAGTGAGATCATACAGTGTTTGTCTTTCTCTGACTGGCTTGTTTCACTTAGCATAACGTTCTCTAGGTCCACTCATGCTGTTGCAAAGAATAGGGATTTCTTTTTCTGCCTGTGTAGTATTCCATCGTGTAAATATACCACAGCTTTTCATCCACTCATCTAGTGATGGGCACTTGGACTGTTTCCAGATCTTGGTTATTGTAAATCATGCTGCATAGGAATGCATATATGCTTTTGAATTGGTGTCTCTTCAATAAACGGTGTTGGAAAACTTGGACAAATACATGTAGAAAAATGAAACTAGGCCATACACAAGAATAAAGTCAAAATGGATAAGATGTAAGTCACAAAACTATACAAATCCTAGAAGAAAACATAGACAGTAAGATCTCAGACATTCGTTGGAGCATTCCTTTTGCGGATATGTCTCCCAGGGCAATGGAAATAAAGGAAAAAATGAACGGATGGGACTCCCTCAGCCCAAGAAGCCCAGTCTTTCTTTAGCAGTGGTTCCGCTTCCCGAACCGGGGCAGGGGAAGGCGATGTCACAGGGGCCTGGGCTCACGTTAAGAGCACAGGGGGGAAGGGGGCCCCCCCAGGCCCTTCGCGAGCCTCCCCCGCTCGCTGCTCTCTGCAGGCCTTCAGCCCCGTGACCGGTGGTGCTGCGCCTCCGCCTCCGCCCCCGCCCCGCCAACCAGGGGGCATCGCGTGTCGAGCTGCCGGGTCTTCCTGCCTCTGGGGGGTTGGAAGGGGCTGCTGCTCTCCTGTCTGTTTCTGCGTTTCCCCCTTAGGGTTCCCTGTATCCCCTGGCCTTTTGCCTCTAAGTTCTTGGGGGCGCTGATTACTAGTAAAAGTCTTCCTTAGAGCTTCTTTGGACACTTAGCAGCTGTATAGAGCGACACCAAGCTGGCTCTTTCTCTGACAACCGGCCCTTTTTTATATTTGTTGGTACAAGCTCATTTGCCTTTTAAAAAGTCTCTGCTGTTTATATCTTAGGGGGAGGGAGATCGTGGTATCTGGCTTTACTGCGCCTTTGTAAGCCAGGAGGCTGCCTGCTTTCACTTCCAAATGCATGTTCACGTCCGCTGCCCGGGGACGCGGCCGGTGCCTCGGCGGTGCCTCGGCGGTGCTCACGCTCAGCCTGTGCACTGGGGGCCCGGCGTGTTGGTGATGCTCACGCAGGGTGGTTCCAGTAGGAGAAGCAGGGGAAGTGGAAGGAAATTTATTTAAATAAAAACATAGTTTTATGTTTATTTAGGTAACTAGCAACCTTATGCAATTCTAATGTGCTTATTTCTGTGAAACATCAATTTAAAACAGAAAGTACAACTCTACATACTTCCTTTACTAAGGATTTGAACCTATCCCCTAATTAAAACACTGAAGTCCTCCTCTCACTTGCTTTAAATCGCCTGCACTGCTTGTTAAGGAGAGTAAGTCTGGATTGAAAAAAGACGTTCTCTGTAACTGTCCTGTTTTTTATAGATGTAAATGGTCCCCCCGTAATCCTTTTACTAGCAGATAAATTGAAGACTTGGTTTTGTTTTGTTTTTTTCAAGAGCCTGTTGGTAAACTCGGCCCTGTAGGCCAGATTCAGCCCAACACCGGTTTTTGTAGATTTTCACTGGAACAGCCTTGCCCGTCGTTTCCGTGTTTGGGGGGCTGCTCTGGGGCTGCAACGGCAGAGTTGAGTGCTCGCCGCGGAGACCACGCGACCCGCAAAGCCTGTACCGGAACTTCGCCGGCCCATTCTAGAACATTTAACCATGTGATCCCCTTATGTTGCCCTAATTAACTTTATTTCCTTAGTATTTAAGAGTAGGCTTGATTTTCTTGTTCTCAATCTTTAATGACCTTGGTGGGGTCGTCCGTAGGGTCCCAGATGTGAACGCCAGGAAGCAGCAAGGCTGCCGAAGTGCGTCCCTTAGTGCCCACCCCCGTCCCCCGCACCCACCCGCCTGTCCCCCAGCAGAGGGGCGCAGCTGTGGGCGGCCCCGAGGCGCTGGTGTGCCGTCCCGGCAGCCTGCTGAGACGCACGCTCGCTAGCATCGAGCGGAGATTCACCCCCTCACGTGCTCAGTGTGCTGAACTTGATCTATTTCTTGACCTTTCTTTCGTAATGAATTCTTCAAGGAGTAATTATCATTTGAGCCTCTTCCCACTTTCGCTTTTTTTGTATCTTTATACACAGGCCCATGGAAAATGGAGACAGAATGGCCCCCCCACTGCATCCCCGAGGCTAGCCTGGTACCTCACAGAACATGTGTACTTAACCAATACCTGCTGGGTGGCCGATGGGGTGCCTGGTGCAGAGCCGGTGTTGGGTCGGTCTGTTCTGGCAAGTGGGGCAGTCTTACCGGAGCAGCCCCCCTCTGAGAGCTCCCTTTTCTTTTTCCCATGACCCCTGCCTTGCCTCATTTATGGCGCAGAGAAAGGTTAGTCACTTTAGGGCCAGTAACCATTGATTAATTTTCTCTTCCCCAGGCAGTGGTTACCATGGGTGTGGTGCTGCAAGGTGCCAACCTGTACGGCTACATCAGATGCAAGGTGGGCAGCAGAAAGAATTTAACCAGCATAGCCACATCGTACCTGGGAAAGCAGTTTTTAAGACAAGTAAGCGTTTTCTGGATGTGAGGATGAATTTGATGTGGTCATTGACTAACACAGTGACTTCTAACTCTTGTAGAGCTTAATTTTTATGAAATGCTTAAAGTTTTTAAGGCACATATTTAAGTATGAAATGAAGATGATAAACTTATTTTGATAACTTCTTGGGGGCTTTTAGGACATTGTAGAAATGTATGTCAGTGTCCTGAAAATATTTTAAAACCAGAGAGATAAACTATCGTTGATAATAACATTTTTTTAAAGAATTTATTTATTTATTTTTAGACAGGGGAAGGGAGGGAGGAAGAGAGGGAGAGAAACATCAATGTGTGGTTGCCTCTTGCTCATCCCCTACTGGGGACCTGGCCTACAACCCAGGCATGTGCCCAGACTGGGAGTTGAACCAGTGACCCTTTGGTTTGTAGGCTGGCTCTCAGTCCACTGAGCTACACCAGACAGGGCTGTAATAAGTTAATTTTTTTTAAAAGTATCTTAAGTTCAGTTAATTCTTTAATGCTTCTCATTAGTTCTGGTGGCTCTAAGAGTTTCGAAGAATGCTGTTGTGTGGTTTTAGGGTTTTAAGAACGAGAAACAAAATAAAATTAAAGGTTGTTTTAAAGTACTCAGATTTTGTTTTTAGAACATACAGGTTTTATTACAGTTCCCCAATATGAATATTTAAATCAAGGTTTTTGATGAAATAAGTAGTGGTTGTTAAATCTCTTGGGGAAAATGATGAAGTGTCTGCATGTGGTAGGTTGGTCAAGCAGTGTGGTGCTGGACGGAGGTGCTCAGACCAGCTGTGCAGCGGGATCAGCTGGAGGCTGAAGCAGGGATCCCCGGGTCGCACCGCCACGCCTCCTTATTCACTGGCTCTGGGAGGGGGGTCTCATAATTTGCATGTCCCCAGGGGGTGCTGGTGCAGCTGGTTCAAGGGCTGTGCTTAGAGAACTAAAGCCGTGGGAGATTTAAGTTCCTACTCCAGGATACACAGCTAATACGTGGCACAAAACTAGGGCTCACCCCAGCTCTCCTCTCTTGAAATCCATTGTTCTTTTCATTGTACTGTACAGCTTCTCTTGTATAAAGAAGTAGAGAAAATGAACATTCATGTAGGGACATGATTCTCCACCCGAGGGTTTTGTGTGGTTCCAGTATACCTCGCTGTGGTCCGCCTTACGCTAATTGTCAAGTGTGTGCTTAAGCGGGGTTTTTCCCCTGGGATTTGCAGGGTTTCTGAAGTGGGGTAGACGCTGAATACCGGCAAAATTGGATGTTGAGCCTGACATAACGTGAGTAGGATCCGTGGACTTACATGGCCCGTGCTGATGGTCTGCTAAAATGAGACCGGCCTGCCGGACATGTGGGTGGATCCTTGACTTGCTTCTCCAGCATGTTCATAATTTTTAACCTAATTGGGCCATTGAATGTAAGTTAATAGAGTAGCTGGCTCTGCTTATAAATACAGAATATTTTCCTAGTGCTTTGAAGTGTGGTATGTTAAGTAAAATCGCTTTGTTTGTTTTTCTTTTTTATTAAGGAGTTCTTACTCTCTTACAGAGTACTGGAGAGGATCAGACCTCCTGAGGAGAGGGGAAGAAGGCCTGTGTGCTCTGTTACACTGGGGACGACTGAAGAGATGCTTGACTCGGAACGTTTTAGAACTCAGCACATGTTGCAGAGAAGAGTGTTGGATTGGTTTTTTCACTTTAAAACTTACTTTAAAAAAGTAAAGTTTTTATTTCTAGCATTTGGGGCTTGAAAATATGGTACTGCTAGAAACATTGTCAAAATTTGGTTCATTGTGTACATATGTGTATGCTCAGCCATGTAATATCCACATATCGCACTTGATGAAAATATTTATGTGTACATCTGTAACGATGACCCTTGCATTTTGATCCGTAGGACATAGCAGGATGTTCTTAATCTCCTTTCAAAACTCTGTGTGTTTATTATATTATTTCTGTAGATTATCTTTAGAAGAAATTTTGTTTCCATGGTAAGAATGAGCATTTTGATTTATGTATAAGTTAGAAATAATTATTAATTTTACAACTTAATATATACTCATGATGAAATTTCTTATCCTAGGCATTCACAGGCAGATAAAAACCAAATTTGGGTCAGTGGCATGAACTAGTTTGTAAAACTTTATTTTTACTTGTAACAAATCGTGTATTTTAGGCTCAATTCATATAAGTAAATCTTCACAATTTATGTGAAAGGGATACGTAGAGGTTGCTTCTGTTCTGTTCATTGGAACGGCGGCTGGACTTGACTTGGAGCCTCCCAGAAGCACTTCAGTGGTCTTGGCCCAGTGAGGCCTGTCTTTCCCACTAAACAGTACTATTCTTATGTCATAGTAAGAATAAGCATTTAAACACCTGGCATAACAAATGCCTAAAGGACATTTTATTTGATGAATCTTTTTTTTTTCCTTGCTATAGTGGGGATATTGTAAATCATGCATTTGTATTAATATTTCTTAAAAAGCAATATATGTAACAGTCTACAAACTGTTATAGATGTCTGTAAATTTTCTTGTAGGTATACTTAAACTTTGTTGGAGTCTTAATCAACAGATTATTTTGTCAGTGTATTTATACATTGTTAAAAATTTGTAAAAGCTGTTTTGTTTAATTGGAGTGATAGCTTTGAAGGTGCATAACTTTATATTTGTATAAAACTCTACTGTTTACAAAGCACTTTGGCACGTGCAGTCTCATTTGATCCTCATGACGCACCTGCTTTGCGTGAGGCCTGTGTGCAGATGAGGGAATGTAACTTCAGGTGAGTGCGTGACTCGCCCCAGGAAACAGGTTGCGGGAAGACTCATCAACGTACGTTACTGTTTTCAGAGGAAATATTCGTCTCTAGTGTCTTTTCTTTCTTTTTTAAGATATGTGAGAGAAGCATCAATTGGTTGTCTCTCACACGCCCCCTCCCTGGGATCTGGCCCAACACCCAGGCATGTGCCCTGACGGGGAATTGAACCAGCAGCCTTTCACTTTGCAGTATGACATCCAACCAACTGAGCCACACTAGTCAAGGCTCCTTGGTATTTATTTCAATGAAATAAAACTTAGCGTCCACATGAAAACCTGCACACAGATGTTTGCAGCAGCTCTCCTCATAATTGCCCCAAATCGGAAGCAACCAAGATGTCCTGAAGGAGGTGAATGAATAAACTGTAGTCCATACAGACAGCAGAACATTATTCAGCACTAAAAAGAAATGAGCTCTCAAACCATGAAAAGACGTGGAGGAAACTTAAATGCATATTAGTAAGTGAAAGAAGCCAATATGAAAAGGCTACAGAACATGTGATTCCTACTGTATGACATTCTGGAAAGGGCAAAACTATGGAGACAGTAAAACATCACTGGTTGCGAAGAATGGGGGTGGGGAGAAGGATGGAGCACAGATTTTTAGGGCAGTGACGTGTTCTTATTCTGTATAATATTATAATGATGGGTACATGTCATTACACATTTGTCCAAACTCAAAATGTACGCCACCACGCGTGCACCCTAAGGTAAAGGGCGGACTTAGTGTGATTATGATTTGTCAGTGCAGGGCCATTGACTGCAACCAACGTCGGGGAGGCTGACGATAGGGGAGGCTGCGTGTATGTAGAGCGTGGGAAATCTTCGTATCGCCCTCTCAATTTTGTTGTGAATCTAAAAGTACTCTAAAAAATAGTCTTAAAAAATATCAAAAGAGATTGCAGGTCAATAGTCTAATCTTTTGCCTTAGGAAACTAGAAAGAGAAGGACAAAGTAAACTCAAAGGAAGGAGAACGAAGGAACTGACTAGGAAAAATAAAAAAAGACTGAAATGACTAAAATCAGGGACGATGGAGGGGACACGACCGCTGAGAAAGCGCAATCCGTGCTGAATACTTTGCGTGAAGTGAAGGGTTGTCCCAATAGAATCTAAAGCGTTATGTCTGTCTGTGGTGATGACGTTGTTATATAAGCATTCATTGTGTTTTCTCCAAAAAGTTCTTTGTATGGCTAGTTTCATCCTCGCAGCATGCCTAGAAAGCCGGAGGTGGTGTATGCAGGAAGATGTGATTGTGAAGAACGCGTGTTTGAGTCACACTGACCCAGGTTGTGGAACCAGTCTCTACATCCTGGTTTTGACTTTGAACAAGTTACTTATCCCACTTTTACAGATGAGGCAGTAAACGGAGGGTCATAAGTAGCATTACTTACCCTTTAGTGGTGGTGGGGGGTCAGTTCCTAAGAATTAAATGAGATAGATAATCCATTTAATTATTCAGCATAGTCTTGAGCACTCAGTAATGGCAATTTATTTAGAGAGCACAAGAGAATTGTTTAGCTAGTTGAAGATGGGGCTACCAGAAAGTCTAACCCTCGGTAAGTGGCTTCTCTCTAGATTCACATCCAATCTATGGCATGGAGAATTCACAGCAGTTACGGGAAAGAATGTGGATTCTTTTTTTTTTTTTAATTTCATTTAGAACAAGTCAGATCATAATATTATGAGCTGGTAACTTGCTATAACATTCGTTTATAATTTATTTTATATTTGAAACGCAGCCTGTCATTTAATGTTCTTCAGATTGTTGAAATTCAACTATGCTACGGAATCTTCATACGTGTAACTTGCACATCGTCCACTAGATGGCAGCACACCAACATTAAATAAGCACCAATTAGCAGCCTGTTATTTACTTGGTCTAATGGAGAATGATGGTTTTCCTAGAAAATTTGCCTGTAAGTAGTGCACGAGAGCTACATCCATGTTTCCTCTTGTGCAATTAATTAAAATCAGTGCTGATGAATACACAGATGCTGAATAAGTACAATAATATAGTACCTACAATGCACTGAGCAATAGGAACTATCTGTGATACCTGCGGGCCTTCCTTAAAGTGCCAAACACACCCATCCCCTTTGAACAAATCAGAACTCTGAGGGTTAAGGGGCCACTAGCTTTCCCAGAGTCATACCTCTAGAGAGAGGTGAAGCTGGGCCTTGTCAATCAATGGTGGGGGAAGACGATGACTTTGAATACAAGATTCGTTGGATTTGAAGCCAATGATCACCGCCAAGTGTCGGAGTGGGATGGAAACCTGGAATTCTCCTTTAGCATTGGGCCAAAGGTGTACATTGAGAGGCATCTTTGTAAAGCAGAGTTGAAACAGTAACAATGTATGGAGCTCTCAATGGCAAAAGTGTCTGTTAAAGAGTAAACAGCTGAAGAGTAATCCCCAAGGAGTAAGATGCTAGGCTGAGGGCTAGGGGTCCCTGCACTGGGAGCGGGCCGGGTGTAAGGGCCGGCTTCGCAGAGACACTTAACCCCTTTGGCGCCTTGCTGTAACCCCATGAGGGACATCTATCTCCGTTTACAGATGGGGAAACCGAGGCTTTGAGAATGTAGGAATTGACCCAAGGTCGTGGCATATCTAGTATTTGATGGCGCCAGGATTCTGACTTGGGCTTCCGCTGCCAAGTACCACACGCTGTCTAGCAATTCCTTGTGTGTCTGCAAGTCTCCTTGTATCAGTTGGGGTTCTTGAGAGAAACAACCGGTTGGAGAGAGAGGTATCTGTACATATCTACAGCTATGTGTTAGTAGGGTACATTCCTTGACATAATCTCTTTATGTAAGTGTGCACATCCCTAGGATGAACGTGCACAGACACAGGAGGTTTATGTCGAGGAAGGGGCCTGGAGGACGGTGGGAGCTGGCCGGCCCTGTTCAGTAGGGCAGGGCCGCAGGCTGGGACGCAGGCAGGCGCTCATGCGGCACACTCCAGGCCGCCTCTGTCTTTCCTCGGGGAACAATCCGTTTTGCTCTTCAGGTCTTTTAACTAATTGCGTTAGGCCCACCCACGTATCTAGGGCAATCGCTTTTAGTAAAGGCAACAGTTGAAGATGTTAACCACATCCACAAAATGCCTGCACAGCAACATCTAGATAACTGAGTAAACAATTGGGTGCTGTAGCCTAGCCAAGCTGACACACAAAACCAAACACCGCCCTCCTGCAGCTGTCTGGACGCTCTGCCCCAGCAGGAGCCTGGCTCTCTGGCTTGCCTTTCTATCCCCAGCGCCTAGCCCGTTGCCAGGCACCGAGTGGCACTCAGTAACCATTTACTGAGTGTGTAACCACCTCTACCAGAGAAAGTGGGCGTATGCAGCCTTTAGTCAGCTATAGACCTGGGCCGGCAGACTCCGCCCTCTGGGGGGTCCCCGCACGGGGTGGAAGGAGGTGAAGGGGAAGCAACTGATGGTCCCTCCTGCTGGGGCCGTAAGAAGGGGCTGCCAGCACCAGGAGCCAAGGAGGGGTCCTTGTAGGACACTCTGCTGTGCATGTACTGTCTTTGTTTTTAGGTTTCTGTGGGCACCTGTTTCTAGCTCCTGATGCTATTTATGCAACCTTGCCTCTCAGAATGAAGCGCAAAGGTTTTCGAGCTGAGGTTAGGTAAGGGTGTGTAACCTTGGATCTGTGAGCGCCTGTGGTCACTGAAAGACCAGCCCCGGAGCATCCTTCTGAGACCCAGCAACCCTTCTGAGAAAAGACAGAGACTGCACAGTGCACCCACCCAGATGGTGACAGCATCGCCCAAGAATTGGGCTACAAATGCCCTCCCTTTGGGAGCCTTTGAGCGTCTCATTTTGTTCCTCCCTCCACTTTAAAGAGAATGGCGTCACCTCCTACTTGGTGAGCATTGAAAAACATCTCGGAATGCTCGCTTATCTTTTTCCTCTCCTTTCTCTAGGATTACATCATGCTGCCTTCTAGAATTCTGTCCGTCACCCCCTTCCTTAGGTTTATCTATATAAATAGCCTGGCAACAACCAAACACTCGTCTTGATACCCTAATACCCAGGGCAGAGAGGGACTTGTAAGAGATGCAGAAAGACTTGTACGGATCTCAAAGAACGGGACTAGGGGAGGTAGAACTCTTGCTCAGACTGACCTGTATACCCTCTCCCAACCCCAAGCCTCATAAGCTGAGGCCCTAACCCTCAACGTGACTATTTGGAGATAAGGCTTTTAGGAGGTAATTAAGGTTAAGTGAACTCATAAGGGTGAGGTCCTACTCTGAAAGGATCGGTGACATTATAAGAACGAAAAGAGAGGGATCTCCCTTCCCAAGTGCACGCAGCAGGGAAAGGCCACGTGAGCACACAGAGAAGGCAGCCGCCCGCAAGCCAGGAGGAGCGCCGTCCTCCGGAGCCAAACCGGCGGGCGCTGGGAGCGGGGCCCCTCGGCTCCAGAACTGTGAGGCGTGACCGCGTGCTGTCTGGGCTCCGTCTGCAGTATTCTGCAATGGCAGCCCAAGCGAATACAATAGGAATCATAATGAACTGTAATGTTTTAAAGCTTGTCTCATGGAGGAGGTAAAATGTGACACAGAAGCATGAAGGAAGGAAAAACTAATTTCATGAAGTTGTTTTCACTTTCAGGAAGAAAATAGGGAAAGGACAGTCTAAATCAAAGGAACTGCTGAGGCAAAGGGGTGGAGAGTAGTGTGCAGGCGCGTACACACACACACACACACACGCATACACACGCATACACACACACGCCACCGTGCAGCACAACCTTGGGCGGCACCTGGTTCTCCTCCAAGTAGGCCAGGCTTCCCTCAGCAGCGTTCTCTCATGTACCTGAGGCAGCT